CTTCACTTGCGGCGTTTGCCGTAATACCTGGCTTTGAGCGAATGCTCGGATTCCTTGGCTTCTTGGGACTTATCGGTATCGCAACACTGGTTGAGTTAACGTCCCGGAAGCCTGACGGTGGTTCTCAACAATCTAGCAACGCCTGAAAGCCACCTCACAGATTCCTGCGAGCGTAGTGTTCGCAGATTCATGGTGGAAGATTCGATGGACTTCGCCAGCGAGTGCGCCGTCTGACTACCACTTTGAACGGCACACGTAGGAAAAACTCATAGGCCAGCTACTGCGGCGGGCGATAGCTGATGAGTTGGGCTTCTTGCTGGACTGCGGTCTTCGCGAAGGAGCGCCACTTCTGTTCCAGCGCGGTGACGCCGTCGATGTCGTAGTGGGATCTTAGGGCATGGTCGTATCCGTGTTGCATGGCGGTGTCGACGAAGTCGACGATGGCCGTGGGCTCGTCGTGCTGGAAGAGGAAGTTTACTAGTGAGAGGCTCTGCCCGTAGAAGGGTGGGACTTGCTCGGCCGAGGTGAACTCTTCCAGCTTCAAGATCTCGATCATCCGCAATGCCTTGCCATTCCTGAGGGCATATTGGCAATCGCGTTGATGGAGCTTCCGTTTGGCATGCGAATCGGCCATGGTGGCGATTCCCTCGTCGACCCAACGCGGCGGTTGGCGCCCTTCGAACCGATCGGCCAGGACCACGTGGGTTAACTCGTGCGGCATTGCAGTGAATTCACTGCGGGCATCTACTAAGAGGTCGACCCGACGGACGCGCATTTGTCCTCGTTCGTAGCGAATGAGACTGCTGCCGGAAGTCTGAGCCCCGCCACCAACGGCTTGCTGGTAACTGGCTCGCGAACGGTGCAAGACGATGTCGCAGCGAGGTTGCCACTTTGGTTGTGGGGCTTCGCCTAACCAGATGCGTTGCAATTCAGTTCGGAGGTGCTCGGAGTTCTTCGCCACCTCTGAAGCTGAAGGCCCACCGGTGAAGGAGTAGACCCGAAAGTTATCGGACTCTGCTTTGTTCGATGCGTTGTTCTGGCGTTGCTGGGCAACACCTACCAAATCACTGCACAAAGTGACCAACAGGATCGGGAACCAGACATAACGCATTCGTAGTGGATCCAATCAAGGAAAGAGTCGCAATTCCGCCAGATGTCAGAACTGGAGGAAACACCCACCGCCGAGACGCAATTGCGGGCAGAAGTTCAAATACCGTGCCGGCCGTTTGAAGCAGTTGATGGAGGGCCAATTACAAAGTCGTTAAGTGCCAGACGTTACGGCATTTGAGCCGTAGACTGAATTGTAGAGTTGAAGACGCGAGGTGTCGTAAGATGCGAATCATTCGAGCATGTAACGCTGAATAAATGGGCAGAGGCGAACCTGACAAAACTCGCAATATCCGGCTGAGCCAAAGGGTTTTTCCGAGACGGTTCTCTTGGCACTAGGAGATGCTAAGAATCTGTAGAGAGGAAGAACGTAGAGTTCAGGAGCTTTGGAAGCAGAAGTCACATTTTCAATCGCGGTCCGACTTGGAAGAGGAATCGATTCTCTTCGATGGGAAACAGGATCCGCACAATCCAAGAGCCCTAGGGGTCTGGAGAAGCAAGATGTTGAAGAAGCTTTCGGTGGTGTTAATGGGTGCAGCAGTGTGTGTTGCGTGGGGATTCGAAGCGAAGGCGGCAGACTATCCCTACGGAGCGTATGGTGGCGGCTCGCGCGGTTACCAACAGCCTTCGCAGTCTTATTCCGGCGGAATGGGCTATTCGTATGACTCAGGCTATCGCAGCAACTCGTACGACCCCGGCTATCGCAGCTTTTCGTATGAGCCGAGCAGCATCGCTGCTGGTGATATGGTCGTCGTGACCGGCGACAACACTCAGATGAAGCGCGGAACGGATGTGTTGGGTAACATTCCTATTGGAACGGAATTCAAAGTTACCCAAGTGAAAGATGGATGGCTTGGCGCGTCCGTCGATGTTGACGGCAACAAGATGAATGGATGGATTCACTCACGAAACGTCCGCATGGCGAATTCAGATGACGCTTCGAATTCGAACGATCAGGCCGAAGCTTCGTCTGGACAAGAGACTCGACGTTTCTCGTACGAGCCGCAGCCTCAGCCGCAAGTAACTCGTCAGTATCGTAGCAATCGAGGCAACGATTCGAGCATGCGACCGTGGACGCTTCAGCGGGCCAATCCTAACCGCGCGAAGTAAACCGAGAGGGACGACGTTTTAGGCAACTTATCACCTTCACGCCGTGATCGAATGGATCGTGGCGTGAAGGTGTTTTCTTTTGCGGTCGTCGCGTAGTTTAAGGCCTTCACAAGTTTTGGAGATTACCGTGAAGCAGAGACCGCCGTGGCGGGAGTTTGCCCTCGAACGGTTTGCAGCGAAGCGTCGCGACGCTGATCCGCTCGTTCGGCAACACGAGCCGTCATGGCGACGAACTCTTCGCGTGTGTTTTCGGGAACTCCCGTGAGTTTATCGGCCAGGCGATGCATACCGTGAGGGTTCACCTCGGCGGCATCGGAGAGGCTTTGGATGAAGGCCATCGTCTGGGTGAAGTTGTGGTCGGCCACCATGCCTACTAGCGGGCGGAACGTCTTGGCCAGGATGTCGGCCGTGGAGCCGCGATCGAGACGCACGAAGATGTCGAGCCGCCCGGTGATGTAGTAGTGACCGTCGGTCTCGCGAACGTAGCCCGACTTCATGATGATGACGCACTCCCCACGGACCGGTTTGATGAACATGGGGCCGTCGTAGATTCCTTCGCCATACACCACCTGGGTATCGTGGTTGCGGTACAGGATCTGGACTTTGCCCAGCGTGCCGGCGCCATCTTCCACTTGGTACGACTGTTCACCGGTTCGCTGCAGGGTTACATCTTCCAGCCCGAGGAGATGCCAGATGTTGACCATGATTTCGGGATTGTCGAGCGTGAATTGATACAGCTCGGGGTCGCAGCGAATGACCCTGGTGGGCAGCCTGCGAAAGATACTGGCATTCGAGATGACTTCACGCACCCGTTCGCGCTCGGGGCCGCTTAAGCGGTTCTGCGGAATGCCGGCAATGGCGTCTGCCTGGGCTTCTTTGCTCGAGGTGCCTTTGGTCGGATCGTCGGCCGAGGCGTTGCCTGAGACCAGAATGCTCGACCAGCCGACTACGGCAATGGCTAGCAAAGATTTGTGAAGCCGAGAGCTTCGGCGAAGGCGCACACCATGGGTGTGCTGTGTGGCCATGCGCAGCCACGACAGGTAAACCTGTAGCATAAATCCCCCCTCCACAATCGGTCCGTGCGGCGTCCCCCGGGGTGTGCGCGCCGTTGCGTTGCACCACCGCGCCGCATCTGTAGACCGACCTAGAAACCTATTTCGGCCAGTTCGGGTGGTGAGGGTCAGATAAACTCTGCGGATTACCGTAGAAGGCTCCGCCGCTGTCGCTCGGACGCATGCATTGCCATCGTCTGCAGACTGACCTTGTCGTGCGAAGGCTTCTTCTCGCACAATGCCCGGCCTTTTCTCGCCGCTGTACGTAACCCCAAACGGCTCGAGCCAATGCGGAACCCCATGAGGGCGATCGTTGATATGAACCGCCTCCGCACGCGGAAGCGGTCGGTGTATGTCGTTGTGGGCTTGGTTGGCCTATTGCTGTGTGGGCTGTACTTCGGCATGCGGCAATTCCCCGCTTACTGGGAACAGTCTCTGGCGACTTGTGAAAGCGAAGAGATCGTTCCGCGGCTGCACCGCCTGATTGAAATGCGACCCGATGGGTTATCCAGGGTAGTGGCCTCGCTGGGTTCGGACCGTGATCAAGTATCGCTAGGTGCGGTCAGGGTGTTGAATCAGCACCTAACGGAGTGGGAGAAACTGCGGCCATACGTGGGACGTGCGAAGCTTGCAATTCTGGCGGAAGAACTTTCGCTGGGTGTGGAGGGCTTTCCTCCGCTGATACAATACGAGGCTGCCAAGCTTGCGAAGCGAATGCTGCGTTGGCCGCCGGGACCTGACTCTGAAGCCCAGACCCGATTGGTTTCTTACTGCGATGATGTGCTCCAGGCGATCGAGAGCCCCGCGACACTCGAGCAAATAGCAACGAGTCGAGCACAGGACGTGTCGCGATCGGACCTAACAAGGATGGCAGCGCGGGCACCTGTTCATCCGGCTTCGATCGAGATGCCCGGCGGTGGGCTTCCGATTGATCTGCACGACCGAGAGCACGTGTTGGCCGAGATGCAGGAAAACGCGACGGGCGAAGCTTTGCAACCAGCGGGCGAGGCGACCGAAGTGGAAGCTCGAACCCGGCCGCAAGTGGTGGCTTCTTTGCCGGGGCAGATTGAAGCCGTGCCCCCTGGCAATCACCAACCGTTTGAAGTGCGTCCGAAGCAGCCACCGGTTGAAGTAGATCTGCCGGAGTCTTTGCCGAACCAGCCGGCGAGGCTATCGGTGGATAGCGACTTGTTGGAGATGCTGTGGAACCGCCCGCAGGACATTCCCAGTTTCGAGCTACTGCGGCTGGCCCAGATTGAAGATGGGAGTACGGCGGATCGGGCTTGGAATGAGATTCACGCCCGCGACATCCCGGTGAAGTTTCTCGAACTTGGCTTACACCTGACCGACCCCGACCCTGTGGTGCGGCGGCGTTGGGTTGAGCGGCTACCATCGTTGCCGGGTATCGATGCCCGACCGTGGTTGCTGGCCCTTAGCAATGACGATGATGCCGAAGTGCGAATGAATGCCTTGGTGCTGATGGCGACGATGGGCGACCCTCGAATCTTGCAGCGGATCGAGCAGTTGGCCCGAGATGACCGCGAACCGCAGATTCAAGCGCAAGCCCAGCGAATTCTTGCGTCGCAGAAGAAGTGACGCGGAGATCGGTCTTGCATCATCTCCAAAGTCAACTCACTTGCTGCTAGGGCAATGTTCTTTCTGCGGCACGAGCTTGGATAACGATGGCGAGGTTGGGGTGGCGCTCGTTGATTTCTTTTTGAGCCGACTGACTTAGTTGGTCACTGGAAATTGCCAGGGCCTTTAATGTCGGAATCTCAGCTATTCGCAGGATCGCTGCTTCGTCGAGTTTGGTATCGCTGACGACAAGTGTCTCTAGCTTGGGCATACTGAGCAGGGTATCGAGCGACGCGTTGGTCACATGCGTGGAGGCCAGGTTGATCACTTGTAACGAAGGATGATCGGCGAACGGTTTGATCGCGACGTCATCGACGTTTGTTTGCTCCAGGCCGAGCTGGTTGAGTTGCTGCAGCGGTGCGAGCTTGCTAACGCCGTCGGAGGTGACCTGGGTGAACGACAAATCGATGCCGACCCAGTCACGCTTCTCGAGCAGCATCGGCAGGCTTGAATCACTGACACTTGTTTTTCGTAGTGAAAGCCAGTTGATGTCTGGTAGATGCGCCCAGTACGACTCCATCAGCCGCAGATCGCCATCGGGCAAGGGGATGCCCTCGAAGGAAAGGAATTTCTCTTTGGGATCGACGACTCCATCAAGCTGGTAGATACGAGCCATCGCTTGAAGCTGCGGCTCTTCTTCCGCTTCGTGAGAAGGCGAAGGTCGCTCGTCGATCTGAAAGTCTTCGCGATGCGTGAGAATGAACGCGGCCATTGCTTCGGCGGCCAGACGATGAGCGATTTCGTTGGGGTGTTGATCGGTGGGATGGACCCATAATTCAGGACCGGAATAGTCACGGTAGACTTCTCGCAAGTCTAACACCGGCACTTGGTTCTCATGGCAGAAGTTATCGACCCGATCGTGCACGGGCTGGAAGGGGTAATCGCCGTTTAGTTCGTGAAAGAAAGGGAAGACCGCGACCATCAGCGGGATATTGTCTTGCCGGCAGGTTTCAACGATTTTTAAAAGCGCGTTGCGGCACACGTTCCATTTCTCGCTCGTGCGATCGAAGGAGGCGAGGCTTTCGTTGATGTAGCGGCGAGCGACGACTTGCTGCAAGATGCGTTGTCGTGCCCAGGACCACAGATAAGAATAGTTCGAAAGCCAATCGGGCTGTTGAGTGATTCGCGTGTAGTTTCGGTAGAATTCGATTAGGGGCTCATCGCTTTCCAGGTTCTGCTCGACATCGTTCGGGACGAAATTGACGATGACGAGATCGGGATCGTATGCCAAGCCTCGGCTCAGCAACATTTGCGCTTGGTGCACTGTGTTGTTGCCCGAGATTCCGGTGTTGATGGTTTCTATCTCTGAGGGGAGGCCGGCCTGATTGAGGAGTGTTTCGAGCTGCGAGAAGAAGGCATCTTCCGCATGAACGCCCTGCCCCATCAGGTAGCTGTCGCCGAGACCCAAGATCCGGTATTCGCCCGAGGGCTTGGCAATCGAATGTTCTTCGTCGCGCCAACCGGCTGAATTGAAGTGGTGATCGACTGCGGTGCTTGGACCGAAGTAACCGCGAGGATCTGTATGGTAGTAGGTGCGGTGGGTGGATAGCGGGATATAACCGAATCGCGCCCATCTAATCGGGTCTTGTGGATCTCTAATGCATTTGTGAGCGTGAGCCTTATGATAATTGCCGTGGATATCGGCAATGCGAAACACGACTTCCATGACGAGTAAGGCAGCGCAGAAACTGGCCACCGCTAGGAGTAATTTTCGCCACAGATTCGTCAACGCTGGCTTCTTCATTCCTCGGCTTCACCGTTACCCTGATTGCCCACCGTGGTAGCTCCTTCAAGCAACTGATTGTCCCAGAGAAACTCTTCGATTGCAGCAGTGGCCAATTCGTGAGCCAGTTCGTTGGGATGGTGGTCGGTGGGGTGAACCCACAGGTCGCGGTCTACTCGCCCACGGTAGATGGTCATCAAATCGAGCACCGGCATGGAGAGCGATTCGCCCGTCTCGCGAACTAACTCATGAATCTCGAAGAAGGGGTAGCGATCGTCCAACTGGTAGAACTCAGGGAAGATGATCAATGCCACGCGAAAGTCATGCTCCTTCGCAAGTTCGGCGGCCCGTTCTAAGGCAGCTCGCGAGACGGTCCAATCAACATCGATTTTGCCGGGTTGGGATAAGACTTCGCCTGCTGCTGCGAAGTAATGCTTGCGATAATACGACTCAAGATCTTGCTGCATCTTGTGCGCACGACTGACGTGTTGCACGAGATCGACGAGGTAGCTGTGTTTGGCGAGCCCCTCAGGGGTGAAGTAGATGCCTAACCCCTGTCCGTTGTTGACGAAGGTATAGTCTGAATAAGCATCGTTGAGATAGAACGAGATAAGGACTAGGTCGGGATCGTACTCGAGCCACTGATGTTCGAGGTAGAGAACTTCATCGCGGGTGTTGTAGCCGAGCACGCCGGCGTTCATCACTTCGACCACCTTGGTGATCTCAGGATTGTCATTCAAGCTGACATCGAGCCGACGAAGGAACGTGTCTTCTTCCTTCACGCCTTGCCCAAAAGTGAAGGAATCGCCGATACCCAAAATGCGGAAGGTGCCTGTGGGCTTTTCTTTTGTCAGTTCGGGTCCATGCAGACCGTGAGAGTTGATGTTGTAGGTGATGCCGTTATTGTCGTCGAAATATCCCCTGGGATTGGTGGCATATTCCACTCGGAAGCGAGTTCCGGGAATATGCTCTCCCATTTTGACGCCGAGGTTCTCGAAGCGACTGTAGTTCTTGTAGACCCCTTTCCCCCATCCACCGAAGCTGGCCAGGCGCTGAAACTCAGAGCCATTCCACCCAAACCAAATTGGTGGCGGATAACGTTCAGGTCGGACATCAAAAACTCGCAGCCCAGCTTCGGCGACAAGTACTCCCAGAAAGAGACCAAGGAGCACTCCGACCACTCGAATGGCAACCTTTCGCATTCGCGAAGGTCTTTTTGCAGGGGCTGCCAGTGGGGGAGGTTTACTTTTCTTCTTTCGTGCCATCATCATTCCATGCTGTCATCCCAGGCGACGCTTCGCAAGATGACTCGAGAAGGAAAGCCAAGTTCATGGCGAGCTTACCGGAACCTGCCGCGAAGCACCTAGAAGATAGTCGGCGTTTCGCCGAGACGCCTCGGCTTCGGCGGGATAACCAATTTGGTCGAGAACTTGTGCGAAATTGTAATGACCTGCGGCGAACTGGGGGGCCTGTTTCGTACAGGCGTCGAGCGAGTCGACCGCCAAGTCGTCTTGTCCCATCACATGCATCGCGGTGCCGAGCGCATAGGCAACACGGACACTGTCGTTCGCCATATCCAGACCCACCGATTCGTAGTTGTGCCCCGTAGAATATGCCAAGCGCTCTTCGTTCACCTGCGGGGGCCCCCAGGGCACGGGGGGCACTGCGTATTTGCTAGCCTCACAAATATGATAAACAGCTTCGGGGAATTCACCTCGTCGGGCAAGCGTGAAGCCCAATCGCAAGTGAGCAAGTTCACTGTTGGGGTTCTTGGTTAGTACATCGCGCCAGATGGGTTCGTTGTCCGCACCGCTCCAGATGGCCGATTGGGCTAGAGACCCGTAAGCAAAGAGCAGGACGATCACAGTCGCTATCGCGCGGCCTGCCATAAGTCGGCCAGGGGATTTGGTGAACACCACGGTTGCAGTGCCGACAAGAACCGCTAGTAAACCGGGCATGGCCGTGTACTGCCAATGGTCGGCAACCAGCGAATATCGCATGTACATGATGGCGATGAAGCCGAGCACGGGAAACAGGTTGATGAAGTAGTATCCTCCACCAGCCAGGGGAGCCGCGCCCCAAGTATTTCGATACATCCAGAACACAACGAACAGCGCCACTAGTGCGAGAAGGGGCACGAACGCTAACGGCTCGGTATGGCCCAACTCCCAGCGAGGGTAGACCACTGAGAGCCCGAACGGCCAGACAGTCTCCCAGATATAGAACCACACGACGTCCCCCGAGATCGCCAGGCGGGAGAGGAAACCATCTTGACGGGCATACTCAATCCCGAGCTGTTCACCCCGCATCAGTGTCCCCACCAGACCCAAACAGAACGAAATCACCAGGAAGGGACTGCAGGCAATGAAGTCTTTAATGGCAAGTCGGCGTTGCCGCCACCACACGCAGACGAGCATTGCCAACGGCCACATGACCACGGAAGACTTGGTGAGAAGTCCTAGCAGAAACAGGATGATTGAGGCGGCGTACGAACGTTTGCTCTGCTTGTCGTAGTAGTGGAAATAAAACAATAGAGACGCGAAGACAAATCCGGTCGATTGCACCGTTTTCCGTTGCGATATCCAGACTACCGATTCGACGTTGACGGGATGAACCGCGAAGATCATCGCACATAGCCAAGCTCCAGGCACCTTCATCCAGCGAAGAATCACCCACAGCAGCACACAGTCGATGCTGTGCATGAGTTGGTTGAGCACCCGATAGGGCGGAGCCCATTCGCCCCACAGTCGCCACTCGAACCAATGTGTGGAGTAGTGCATTGGCCAGTAATCGTACTGACTGATATCGAACCAGAGACGGAATAAACCATCGGGAGCACGTACCCTGGGGTTGTTCACCACCCAGTCGTAATCGTCCCAGAAGAACGTACCGGGCAATGCAGGCAAGTGAACGATGAAGGCCGCTAGAAAGATTACCCCGGCAAGGAGCCACCAGCTTGCGACTGATTGATCGGGGAGCTTTGAGTTCTTGCGTGCAAGATCACCCGTGGTCGATGCATTTGGTATTTCAGCTTTTTGCATCAGGAAGCACGTCTACCGTGGAAACGGTTGTCCGAACGAATCGCGGCGATGCATGAGGACAACGTCGCAACGTTATTGTCTGCTAGTTGAAGCTAAGCTCTTAGGGTATGGAGACTAAGAGAATTTGCCGAATTCGTTATTCTAGCCTGTTTAAGTGGCAACAGTTAGACTTCCCGACACATTACACAGGCCGAATCACGCGCCCCCCAGTTTGTCGAGCGAGTAGAAGCTGGTCGGGCGGCAACGGGCTGAGAAAGGTTGTGTCTACCGGTGCTACCAGTCAGAAGTGCCCTTGGTGTACGAGCATCATCTAGTCAAGAATTGGTGTGACAAACCGATTCGCTGCGGGCTATTATGTGCACCGGGAGATGGCTTGGTTGCAGGGGTCCGAGTTGTCGACCGAGCAGCACAGCGGGGAATCGCCGGGTCAGGCAGCAATGATCGGGGGCATCCGATCTTCCAGAGGACCTCAGCAACGTGAGAAACGCTCGCACTGCATGGATGTATCACGCAAGCCGCAATCAACTCTCCATCGAAACGCTCGAAGCGCGACGGGTGCTTTCTACAAACTCCTACGCCGAACTCTTGGCACCGGCGGTTGACACTGGCATTCAGCTTTCCGGCTGGGAAACCAGAACTCTCACAACACACGGTTCGACGGTCACATTCGAAGCTGATCCGTCAGTTGTTGAGCTTGGACAACAGGTAGAAGAAATCAGCGACACTTCTGCGCTGGGCAGCTTCAATATTGTGATCAATCCAGGCTCCGCATTGGCCGCGAACCAAGCTGCGCTCGACGCATTTGAGCGGGGAGCCCAACAGTGGGAAGCTTTCATCTCCGATCCAATAACCGTGACGATCGATGCGGACTTGGAAGTTCCGACCAATCCTAATGTCATTGGAACCGCAAGCAGCCGCATCTTTATTTACAGTTACAACTACATCAGAAATCTAATGGTGTCCGACGCCGACTCGGATGACGCTATTCTTGCGTCTTTGCCTACGCAATCGCAGTTCAATGCATCATTGCCATCTGGCATCGGACTATCTAGTTCACTCGCCTCGAACAAGTCGGCCCTCAAGGCACTTGGTGCGACGGGAATCGATGCGCAGTATGGCGCCCGCGATGCGACCATTACCTTCAATCCTCAATTCACATTCGATTATGACAACAGCGACGGGGTAACTCCCGGCACGATTGATTTTGAAACGGTTGCCGCTCACGAGATCGGACATGCCCTGGGTTTCACATCGATTGTCGATACCGTCGATACGTATCTCCAAGCAGGAACCTCTGGCAACGTTACTCCGCGGGCATTTGATCTTTTTCGCTTTCAATCAGGCGCTGGTCCTTCGACTCCCTCAGAGTTCACCACATTCGATCGCTACTACTACTCTGGAGGTGACTCGCTTTTTTCTGACACCAGCGATGAGTGGCGATTATCGACGGGGGTTAATACAGGTGATGGTCGGCAGGCTAGCCATTGGAAAGACAATGGGTTGACAGGTGTCCTGATTGGCATCATGGATCCCACGTTGTCTTACGGTCAAACAATGGATATCTCGACGGCCGACCTTAGGGCACTCGACCTCATCGGCTATGACATTATTATTCCAGCGGGTAACGCTCCCCCAGTACTCAATACGCTTTCTAATCAATCGATCGACGAAGGCAGCCTGCTGACTTTTACCGCCACGGCTTCCGACCCTGACCTTGGCGACCAGCTCACTTTTAGTCTCGGCCCCGGTGCACCGGCAGGGGCTTCGATTCATCCGACGAGTGGAGTCTTTAGCTGGACGCCGAGCGATAACACTGGCAGTCCCTTCTCGGTTGATATCATCGTAAGCGACGATGGGACGCCGATTGAGTCGGACTCTCAGACCTTCAACGTTACGGTGAACAACGTGGCTCCCACGGCGGCGATCTCCGGCACCACGGCCATCTACCGCGGTGAAGAGGTGACCTTCACGCTAACCGCCACCGATGCTTCGCCCGTTGATCAAGCTGGTTTGTTCACGTTTGAAATCGACTGGGACGGCAACGGTTCGGTCGATCAAACCCTGGTCGGGGTGCCAAGCGGGACGACCGTACAACATGCGTTCCCGAATCTCACGCCTGGAACGAACATTCAGGTGCGGGCGACCGACAAGGACGCTTCGACCGGCAGCTTCAGCCAGTTGCCCATCACAGTTACACCGCACGTGTTGCGTGATGACGGGTTCGGCAACACCGACCTCATCTGGGGTGGTACTCCGCTGTTCGATGCGGTGTTCGTCCTGGGGCAGGCTCCTGGTATGTCGATCTACTTCCAGATCGAAGGGCTTATCCCGCAGAACCGCTTGGTGTTCCTCGGCTCTGCCGTCACGGGCCGTGTGATTCTGCACGGTTATGGGTTCACCGATATCCTGGCCGGCGAGTTGGGCCCGGGTAATGTGATGGAGATTTACGGCGGCGATGGCGACGACATCATCGTCGGTGGTTCGCTGGGCGACTTCCTCTACGGCGGCAATGGGAACGATGTCATTATCGGCGGCACACGCGCCACCGATGGTGGTGACTATATCTCCGGTGGCGAAGGTCGTGACTCGATCTACGGCTACCTGGGTGCCGACACGCTCGATGGTGGTGGCGGCGAAGACTTGATCGTGAGCGATCACTTCTTGTTCACCGACCAGCACTCCGCCATTCAGTCGATCCACGAAGAATGGAAGTCGGCCCGACCGTATTCCGAGCGGATCACCAACATCATGGGCATCACCTCGACCGGTGTGAACGGTCAATGGAAGCTCCAGCCCGGCGTGACGATTGTCGACGACGGTGCCGAAGATACGCTGATCGGTGGCCTAGGTGCCCTGGACTGGTTCTTCTACGACTTCGATGAAGACCTGCTGGGTGACACGATTGAGGTGGGTGAGGAAGAAACCGATTCTGATCCGTAATTGCCCTTGCTTCGCATAGGACTGAGGTCTGTTTCCTGGGCTGTCCTCTAAGATCTCGGCTTTAGAGGGCTGTGCATCGAAACTGGCATTTCTACCAATGAACTGCTATTCTCAGCCCCACAGAGGTGGAGTTTCTTCACGCTTTTCCGGGGGGTAGGGATGCGAAGGTCTGTTGACGGACGATGTGGCAACTCACTTAAACGCAGATCACTCCACCGCATCACTCCGCGCCGTTCCACACGATTATCGTCACAAGCTGCCTGCGCGCTGAGTGTCGAGCACCTCGAAGAGCGACGATTGCTGTCGGTTACCCCGGAGATGCTATTAAGCAACGGTGGATTCAGTTCGAATCCCGAGAACTTCACCCAGGTTGGCGAGGCCGTATTTTTTACGGCGACCACGAGTGGCTTTGGGACTGAACTGTGGGTGACCTACGGCACTTCATTTAGTACGAGGATGGTGGCCGATATTAATCCGGGGACAGTGTCTTCCAATCCGTTCAATCTAGTCGCGTATGAAGACCGCTTGGTGTTTGCTGCAAGAGACAGTAGCAATAACTACGAGCCATGGATATCTGATGGTACCGAAGCAGGGACATTCCGCATTAAGGATATCAACCCGTTGGGGTCGTCCATGCTGTCTCTGGAGCTCAATCCATATTCGTATGCTCCGGGAAGTCAGGTATTCACTCCCTTCAATGGGGACCTTTATTTTTCTGCCTATGAAAGGGACCACGGACTGGAACTGTGGAAGACGGATGGCACCGAAAGTGGGACCGTGCTGGTAGCTGATATCAACCCAGGAGCGGTAGGCTCTTATGCAGGCGGGTTTACCTTCGAAAGTGAGTACGGTCTCCCTGCCTTATTTAATGGCGGATTTGTTGAGAGCGGCGGAAATCTCTACTTCGGGGCAAATACCGCGACCGAGGGCTTTGAGTTGTGGAAGACCGATGGCACTCAAAGCGGGACTCAGTTGGTCAAAGACATTCTCCCGGGCAATCAAATAGCAGGGCTTTTCACCCAATACGCAGACATCTGGGGACTGACGGATGTCGATGGCACCCTTTTCTTCGCTGCGTACGATGAAGAGCAAGAGCATGAACTTTGGAAATCGGATGGCACTGAAGCAGGTACCGTTCTGGTCAAGGATATCAATCCTCAAGGAAACTCTTACCCGTTTCAACTATCGGCAGTGAACGACGAATTGCTCTTTTTTGCATATGGGGGAGACGACTATTTCAATTTCGATCTTTGGAAATCGGACGGGATAGAGGAGGGAACCGTTTTAGTCAAAGATTTCCCGAGTGCCTCCTACTACACTTACCCTCCCTTACCGGGGCAAGTCGCCGTTTCCGAAGGCAAGCTTTTTTTCACCATCGATGGTGGCGGACCAGGCGCAGAGCTTTGGAAATCGGATGGCACGGAGAGCGGGACCGTGCTGGTTTCCGACATTCGACCTGGAGGACATGGATCGGCTCCTTACAGTCTCACTCCGGTAGATGGCGGGATCGTCTTTTCGGCTGACGACGCGGTGAATGGTCGTGAGTTGTGGGTGAGCAATGGAATTCACGATGGAACTCAGCTTCTGGCCGACTTGAGACCCGGAAGTGGTAGTTCTAATCCCCTTGATCTTATCTTTGCGGGAACCAAGGTTTACTTTTCTGCAGACGACGGCACCAACGGGCGGCAACCTTGGGTGATTGACCTGATGATTTCTCCGGCCAACCCCGGGGGCCCGTACATAACGGAGCAAGGTGCACCGATCGTCCTCTCGGGCGAAGAGAGCACGGGCGAGATTACCCTTTATGAGTGGGATCTGGACAACGATGGGCTGTTCGATGATGCCACCGGAGTGAACGCGACATTTGATGCCGTTGAAGCGGGAACGTTTACCGTGCGGCTGCGGCTGAATGGAGAAGGCGGACCGTCCGCAGCGACAACGGTCACGGTACTGCCGGAGAGTGCGAGTATTGGGGGGCCCTACTTTGGAGAGAGTGGGACGCTGATTTCGTTGGATGCCACCGGCAGTGTCGGTGGACTGTTTGAATGGGACCTGGATGACGACGGGCTTTTCGACGATGCCACTGGGCTGAACGCGGATTTCAACGCTACGGCTGATGGTGTGTTCGACATAAGTCTGCGTGTGAATGGCCCGGGAGGGCCCGTCGCTTCGACCACCGTTATCGTGGAATCGGCCATCGCCGAGCTTGGTGGTCCGTATACGGTATCACAACACCTACCGCTAACGCTTACCACCTTGGGGAGTGCGGGCACGCTCTTCGAGTGGGACCTGGACAACGACGGGCAGTTCGACGATGCCGTGGGAGAGACGGTTGATTTCGATACCTCGGTAGCAGGTGAATTCAACGTCGCAGTGCGGGTTAATGGCCCGACCGGTCCCATCGATGCGACCATGGTTACGGTCACTCCCGCGATTGCCGACGTGGGGGGGCCCTATTCGGTGGCTCAGAATATCCCATTTACGCTCACGGCATTTGCCGGAGGAGGTGAGCTATTCGAATGGGACCTGGATAGCGATGGACAATTTGACGACGCCATCGGGACCAGTGTCAATATCAACACCTCCCAGATCGGTAGGTTTTATGTCCGCCTACGAGTCAATGGCGACAGTGGCCCAATCGACAGCACGTACGTCGATGTAGTTCGACCGAGCGCCGACCATGGAGGCCCCTATGCGGGTTTTGCGGGAACCCAGATTCCGCTCAACGTAACGAACAGTACAGCGATACTTCATGAATGGGACCTGGACGACGACGGAGAGTTCGATGATGCAGTAGGCGAGAACGTCTTCTTCGATGCGACAGAGAGCGGATTGTTCTACGTCAGCCTACGTTTGAACGGACCTGGTGGCCGCGTTTACACGACATCTGTAACCGTTCAGGAAGCTACGGTTGACGCGGGTGGACCTTATGCGGGCAATCAGTACACACCCATTCTGCTTATAGGCTCCTCGAATATGAGCGGCTTGTTTGAGTGGGATCTTGACGATGATGGTCAGTATGACGATGGGGTTGGAGAGAGCATCTTCTTTCCGGCCGATTCCTTGGGTGTATTCAATGTTGGTCTACGAGTGACGGGGCCTGTCACCCGAACCACGACGACCACGGTTCTCGTCGATCCAGCGACAATTGATACGGGTGGTCCTTATTTTGGGGTCGTTGGGACGATGATTCCGTTGACCGCCACCTCGACGATCAACGGGCCCTTCGAATGGGATCTCGACAATGACGGCCAGTACGACGATGCAGTGGGCTCAAGTGTCAACTTTGAGCCGACGAGCACAGGCGTATTCACCATCGGCCTGAGAGTTAATGGACCCGGCGGGCTTATCGACTCGACGAGCGTCACGGTAAGCAGCTCGACCGCGCCAACGGCAACGATTACGGGGCCTGCGCATTCGTATTATCGGGGAGAGAGTGTTAGTTTCATGCTGGAAGCGTCTGATCCTTCGGCCGCAGCCTCGCCTGGAGTTTTTACATTCGAGATCGATTGGGACGGTGACTTTCAAATCGATGAGACGATTGCCAACGTGCCCAGCGGCACGGCGTTGAGACATGTCTTCACCTCACCGTATACCGGGTCGATTCATGTACGGGCCACCGATAGCGACAACGAGACCGGCACGTTCAGTTCAACGCCGGTAATTGCGGACACCTTCGTGTATCGCGACAACGGACAAGGAAAGCTCGACCTGATCTGGGGCGGCACACCTGGACTCGATGTGGTTTACGCGTCGGGAACGTCGACAACACTCTCACTATACGTGCTGATCGAAAACACCACTCCCGCCCTACGGCTGCATAACCTTGGCACGATAACAGGCAAAGTTATCTTGTATGGCTTTGATTCCCTCGACGTGCTTGCAGGAGAATTCTTAAGGTGGAACGCGATGGAAATTCACGGGGGCGAAGGTGATGACGTGATTGTGGGTGGTGCGATGGGCGACTTGCTGTACGGTGGTCCCGGCAACGACACCATTATCGGAGGCACCCAATCAGTCGACGGACATGATCTGCTCTCGGGAGGAGAGGGCCGTGATACCCTGTTCGGTCACTTGGGTGCCGACTTCCTCCACGGGGGTCGCGGAGAAGACTTGCTTATCAGCGACCGTTTCGTTTTCAGCGACGTGGCTGCCGGGGTACTGAGAATCTCCAACGAATGGAAATCGGATCGTTCGTATGCAGAACGAATGAACAACATCCTCGGAATTACTTCCACAGGGCTAAACGGAAGCTGGATACTAAGCCCTAGCAATACCATCATCGACGATGGCGAGGTGGACTTCCTATTCGGAGACGTCGGCACCGACTGGTTCTTCTTCAATTTCGACGAAGACCTGCGTGGCGATACGATCGAGATTGATGAAGAGGAAACGGATAGCGATCCGTGATGTGATCTCACGCGGGTTGGTCGTGTAGGGGTTCGCGTTTGTGGCCGCCGGTGAGCCAGTCGAGGACAAGGATGGCGACGGCTCCGGCGATGGCGATCGCGATGCAGGCAACAACGTGGCTGTCGATGGCGTCGGGCCAGGTGTTTTCGAAGAGCTTGTGCTTCACCTTTTCGACTTCCGGGGTTAGGTCGCGTTGGAAGGGCCAGATCTTTCGCAGGGCACCGATCATGAACCCGCAGAGTACGGCCATGGTGGGGGCTTCGTGATGGGCGAGTAGCCACCGAAGGACTTTGCTGAACGCGATGAGCCCGACGGCGCAGCCTGCCCCGAAAACGAGGACGATGATCAATTCAGGCATGCCAACCTGGCCGCGGGGGAGGGCTTTTAGGATGTCGGTCAGCGGGAGATAGGCGCCCATGATCAGGAGGATGTAAGCGCCGCTGATGCCGGGCAGAATCATGGCACAGATGCCGATCATTCCGCAAATGAAAACGTAACCGTAGGTGAGTTCTACTTCTTCGCCACGCAAGCCGGTGAGCCAGAAAGCGAAGGCGGCCCCGGCGATTCCCAACAGGGTGAGCAGGAAACCATGCTGCATGTGTTGGACGTGGATCATGCGAGCGACCAGAAAGCTGGAGGCGAGGATGATCCCGAAGAAGGCAGCCAGGGTGAGTTCGCGTGTGTCGGTGCTGGAGAGCAACTGGTTGACCAACGAGCCCAGCGAAAGTATGCCGATCGCGATGCCCAACAATAGCGTGACGAGAAATGTCAGATCGATGTGGGCGGCTGCTTCGCGAATGCGACCCTTTCGGACATGGGTGATCAGTTCGACATCGACGTGGCTGATAGCCGTAACGAGCCGCTCGTAGATGCCGAGAATTAAGGCGACGGTTCCGCCGGAGACTCCGGGAATCACGTCGGCACCGCCCATCAACATGCCGCGCCCCACATTGACGGCGGCCCCCTTCCCCGAGAGTTTGGTCGAGTTCATCGGCTGTTTCTTCACTAAGGGTGTATGTGAGTGGACGCTAGCTATAAGTTTCTTGTGGCGTCGCGGTGCAAAGCGATTGGCCTGCAAAGATAATCGCCCGGGGCCGTGCTGCCAACTGCGGTGGGAACGGCTTTCCTTGCCAGGCAGCAATGCCCAGAACTACCACCGGACTTTTTGGGCCAGATATTCGGCCTGCGGTGGTGTGAGTTCGTCGAGCACCCGGCGATCGATTCGGGTGTTCGAGTCGATGAGGACCCCATGTTCTTCCCCGTTGGGCAGTGTTTCGACGAAGGTGGCAGCTACTAAGGAGGCCCCTCGCAAATCGGCCGCACGGAGGTCGGCCCCCGTTAGATCGGCTCCTTCCAGGTCGGCCTCGCGGAAGGATGCTTCTCGGAGATCGGCATCGGTGAGCACGGCGTTCGAAAGGTTTGCTCGATCGAATTTGGCCTCCCGCAGGATAGCACCGCGGAAGTTGGCACTTCTTAGGAGAGATTCGTTCGCCACCAATCGACTCAGATCGAGACCGGCCGCCTCGATTCCGCGGAGGTCGAGTTTGCTGATGTCTTTCCGCTCGAGGATGTCCTGCGCTTGCTGTTTGGAAATGTTGGTGGCGAGGTAGCGCTGCTGGAGCCAAGGGTCGGCTGTGTTGTGGTAGCCGGCGGTGCTTTCCCAGAACCCCAGTTGATCGGCGGCGAGCAATTCCACGCGGGCCAGCCACTTCACACTTTTGTAGAAATAGCGTCCGGGCACAATCACGCGGAGCGGGCCGCCATGCTCGACGGGCAGTGGTTCGCCGTCGGCCTCCCAAGCGAGCAGGGGTTGCAACTCTTCGATCGTATCTAGTGGAAGCGAGGTGCTGTGACCGCGATCGCTGTGGGCGTTCATTGATACGAAGCGGGCATCTTCTAGCGGGTCGGACTGCTGAATTAGTTCTGAAAGCGGGACGCCGCGAAACTGAACGCCGAGTTTTGACCATCGGGTGACGCAGTGGATGTCGATGGTTGATGGAACGGAAGGTAACTGTTGTACCTCGGCCAGCGACCATGTCCGGGGGTTGGCTACTTGGCCGGTTACTTCGAATGAAGCTGCGAAACTCTGCCCGGGCTGTTTCTCGCCGATGATCGGCCATTTGCCGGCGGCGACCAGTTGTTGGCCGGGCGGGAGTTTAGGGTTGGCTGACGACATTGGCTTGCCGAACGGGTGAGGGCGAGACTAGCTCGATTCCAGTTCGGTCCCCAGATCGTAGATTTCTTCGGCGTCGAACACCTGATCGTTCGATTCGAACAGGCGCCGCAGGGCCGCCTTGTGAATCTTCATTTTGGTTCCGCCAACACCGATGGCCCCGTAGCAGATGATGCCTTCACGCTCGACTCCGGCGTCTTGCACTTCGATGCCCTCCAGGCCCACGGGCGGAACGGCGTTCAAGTCGACGGCCACCTTTAAGTCGCTGGCGGAGGTCAATTCGACTCGGGTGAGAAGCTGGGCACCGGCCGCTCCAGCGGCGATGAGCACTTGGGAACCGGCGACCGCACCGCGCCGGGCCGTTTCGCTATCGCTGGCGTGCGGGGTGAGCAGGCTCGCGTCGACATGTTCGGCAAGCGCTTCGCAGACCCCACGGGCGCGATCGACACTGCGCGAGCAGACGGCAACGCGGGCCCCCTGACGAGCCAGTAGACGGGCGGCCCTTTGCCCTACTGGACCAGTGGCCCCCAAGACAGTGGCCTGGCACCCTTCGAGCGATACATGTCGCGCGGCGGCCAGCACTGCGGCGGCGGCCGTGGTGTTCGCCCCGTTGGCGTCCATCATCACCGAGACATTTAACGGGCCCAAGAAGCTGCCGGTCACTTCCTTCAGCAGTGCTTCGCCGGTGGCGACGTTGGAACCGCCGATGAAGATGGCCGAGCTGTGAAGATCCTTCATCCCCCGGGTGAAGATGAGGCCGTAGACCAGGTCGCGAACTGCGGCCGGTTCGATGGCGGCGTGACGGAGGAGATGATCGACGCCGGCATCGACAGCAACCACCCCGTCGAACACGCTTGGCTGAGGGTCGCTATCGAGTTGCAGGAGAATTCTCGGTTTCGATCCGTCGCTTGGGCTCATCGTCGGCCTCCGCAGAAAAACGCTTGTCGCGCGTGCAACGTGCCATCGAGGAACGGGCCCCGATGGCACGTTAGTTTACGCTTCTTAATTCATCACAGCACCACTGGCGTGGCGACGCACGAACTTCGGCCTGCCTAGAAACCGCGGAACGGGTGGGCGGCCTCTTCCTTGCCGGCGAGCATCTCGTCGACCGTAGGCTTGCCGGTCATGGCGTTGGAGATGGCGTCTTTGGTGGCGGTGTAGTTGTAGTCGTAGATCTTCTTGTCGTCTTCGGCGCCGGGGTGAATGAACACACCGCACACGATGACGAGGTCTTCGGCCTGATCTTTGGCAATCACGCCATCGGCGACCGAGTCGGCCACGGCCTTGGCCACGGCGGCCTGGGCAGGACCGAACATTTGCACGGCTTGTTTCATGCCCTTGATGGTGACCTTGGTGATCATCACGGTCGAGGGCTTCACCGCCAGGTTGGGCGTGAGCACGGCCAGCAGGTTGTTATGGCCTTCGCTCTGGCGACCCAAGGCATTGGCAAACGCGACGCCAACCGGTCCGTCCTTATCCCCGATCAACAAATCAATATGGGCGATTTCGTTGCCGTCCCCGGCCAATGCTTCCCCGACATACATCGACATGACAAACACTCCAAAGTCGAATGGATTAAAACCAAAGCCACATGCCGGCAGCCCGTCGCCACAACCCCTACGAGCCCATGGTGTTCCAAATCGCCGCCGGAGCCAAAAAGATAACAAAGCGAGGAGTGATTGCAAGGTATGGGGCACTGCACGACTGATCACTCGGTAGGGGCGAATAGGTGCTTCGCGAAGAGTTTTTAGGATCGTCACGTTGCATGAGAACTGCTGACGAGTCGTTCTTTGCCGATTGCACTTGAGTTCTGGGGCCGCCCGCAGTGATATACTGCCCCAACCTTGGGGAAAACACCCGTTATCGAGAGTTAGCCATGGCCCGAGATAAGAACGATTCCAGTCTGTCCCGGTCGCCTGCCAGATTGAGATTGCTGCTGTGGTTGATCGCCATCCAGATGGTGTTGACCGCTCCGTGGCCGTTTTTCAGGTCGTGCGATGTGAACATTCTGGGGTTCCCGCCGTGGGCATTTTATTGTTTTGTAGCCACGGTCGTCTTCGGCGTAATGGTGAGCTTGCTGCTGCAATTTGCGTGGGACATCTTTGCTGGGCAGGAAGCGGGCGACGATGGGTGAGGAGTCGCCACTGCTCGGCGCCGGAGGCATTCTCTTTGTCTCGCTGTATGTCGCTTCGCTGTTAGTTGTGGGTTGGCTTGGGCGTAGAGCCCGAGAGCAACACACGCTGAGCGACTTTTTTCTAGCCGGGCGACAGTTGGGGCTGTTCGTTTTGCTGTTTACGATGTACGCCAGTCAATACAGTGGGCTGACGCTGATTGGCTTCGCGGGCTCGGTCTATCGCAGCGGGTTCGTTTTCCTGGTCTCGATCACATTCGTTCTCGGGATTGTGGCCGCCTACCTGGTGATTGGGCCGAGGCTGTATCGCTTGTCGATGCGGCAGCAATTCGTAACCGTGGGCGACTTCTTGCAGTTCCGCTACGGCAGCCAGAGTTTGGTGCTGCTCACTTCCGCGATTTTCTTATTCACGCTGGCCAATTACATCCTTACCAACCTGAAGGCAATTGGGCACCTGGTGGAGGTCACTACCGGCGGCGTGGTTCCGCTGGTTCCGGCGATTGTTGGGTTGGCGCTGGTGATGGTTGCCTACGAAAGCCTCGGCGGGATGCGGAGCGTGGCTTGGACCGATACGTTGCAGGGGATCATCTTGCTGGCGGGCTGCATTGGTATCTTCCTGCTGGTGCTGTGGGACTTTGGTGGCCCCTGGGAACTTGCCGAGCGTTTGCAGGTCGAACGGCCCGACTTCTGGAAGCCCCCGGATCTTTATGGAAAGCTCACTTGGCTGGGCACCCTGGGGCTGGTGTTCTTCGGACCGCCGATCTATCCGCACGCGATACAGCGGATTTATGCAGCCCGAAATGAACGTGCCCTGAAGCGGACCTTTCAACTGCTGTTGGTGATGCCGTTCTTGACGACGTTGCCAGTGATCTTCTTGGCGCTGATCGGCGCCATCGACTTTCCTGGTCTTGATCGGACGGAGAGCGACCAGGTGGTGTTGTACGTACTCACCGAAATCGGCACTCAGCAACCGTTAGCAAAGCCGTTCTTGATCCTATTCGCGGCTGCGGCCCTGGCTGCCATCATGTCGACGATCGACTCGGCACTACTGGCCTTATCTGCCATCTTCACCCAGGACTTCTACGCCCGCATTCGCCCTAGCGCGACTCAAGCCCATCTGACGATGGCAGGCAAACTCTTCTCGTGGCTATTGATGATCGTGCTGGTGTACTTGGCCTGTACGCTGCCTCAAACGCTGTGGCGTTTGACCGAGATCAAACTGGAGATTCTCACTCAGGCTGCCCCGGCCATCTTCTTAGGGCTATACCTGAAGGAAGTTCGGGCGAGAACCATCGTTGCGGGCATCCTGATCGGGATCGCCGTGTTCTTTGGTCTACAAGTTGTCACGCTCACGACCGGCAATCCCTTCTATGAACGCCCCTTCGGCATTCAGGCCGGAGCGTGGGGACTGGCGAGTAATTTTCTCTTCGTTGTAGCTGTTTATCGCTGGAATCGATAAAGCCACATCCGGGATTCGCCGGTTCTAAATTCAAATCGAGCCGATGATCGACATTGTATTGAATTGCATGTCGAATCGCCCCAAAGGTTCATCAATCGCCTTGTTCGCACTCAAGTGCTAGTTCAATGAGTGCTTCGAGGTGGGCTTGGATGGGCTGGATGCCGTCGTGGCGGATGGCGGTGATGATTTCCGCGAACATGTCGCCATCGTTTCGAGCGCCTTTGAGTGTTTCCAGGCCCATGTTGATCACGTGTAAGTTGCTGCGGACATCGTGGCCTAGCTGGCGGATGTGCTGTTGACGATCGTCATTTGGGGTGGGCTGTTGGTTCATCGGGCTGATCTCTATTGTTGAAACTAGAGTGCGTTGAACTGGCCGACCGGGATGACCGAGGGTGGTTGATTCGTTGTTCCCTCTGCGAAAACAACGAATGGCATCAGTATAACGGTCGAACAGCACTCAGGTGAAACGAACTCGAATCGGTTCGAAGAACGCAGCCTTCATGATGGCGGATCGAGAAGTCGCTGAACTCGGACGTTCATATAGAGCAGAGTGACGGGATCTCCGAACTGGTTGTACATGGCCACGTCGGCCGCATCACGACCGTAGGCGATGGCAACTCGGGCACCGTTCAGGTTTCCCTGGGTCGGGTCGAAGGTGTACCAGCGACCGCCGACGTACGCTTCGAACCAGGCGTGAAGGTCCATTGGCTCAAGCGTTTCGAGGTAGCCGACGACCATCCGCGATGGGATCGAGAGGGCCCTGCAGAGCGCGATGCCAAGATGGGCCATGTCACGGCAGACGGCCTCGGTCCTCTGATTTACACCAATGGCGGTGATCACTTGCTGGCCAGTGCCGGGCACGTATTGAATCGTGTTGCGAATGTAATCCACGATCGCGGTGCACTGATCGTAGCCGGGTGCGTAGCCGGCCGTGAGGGCGGCGGCCATCTGAGTGAAACAGTCGGATTCGCAATAACGGCTAGGAAGGAGGAACGGCAGTGTGTCGTTCGGCAACGCTTCGACAGGAACGAATGGGGCGCCGGGGGCGGTGTCTGCGAAATCGGCCGAATGAATGTCGGCCGACGTGCGAATGGAGAACTTTCCCGCGGGAGCGACCAGGCGTTGGCAGAGATTCCCGAATGGATCGGTGAACTCCACCGCCGTAACGCTGGGAGAAAGGACGTACTGCTCGCGCGCCACCCATTGTTGCAGTCCGCTGCGGGGGCGGAGCATCAGCAGGAACGGGGTCGCCGTGGGAATCTCAAACTCGAGTGAACATGAGGCATGCAACCACATGACGGGGCTTCTTCATCACAAATGGGGCCTATATCGAAGGTGCAAGAGTAACAAGCAGAATAAAACAAGACCTGCGATTCGTATATGGCCGGGGGACCGGTTTTTTCACCCATGATCGTCTGGGGCTGGGACGCGCAATCTACTTGGGTGGCTCCTCTTCGAGCGAATCCATACGCCGGGCGGCCGTGTATAGTGCACTACCCAGGAAGAGAATCAGCAGCAGGATCACACCGCCTAGGAAGATCGGATTGTTGATCAGCTCGCGCCATTGATATCTTTTCGGTTCGGCATTGAATGCCGCGGCCTGGGGCGAGCCCAGTTCGGTCAGGACTGGCTGGAACCCTTGCGTGAGGAGGGTTTCGACCGCGACGGTGTCGTACGCGGGCGGTTCGACATCGAGGCTTCTGTAGAGAAGCTGGTAGCCCTCAGTCGGTTCGGCGAGGAATACCAGTTCGTAGACGTTGCCCTGTGCTTCGACGTCTTCGACTTTCAAGGGCGCGTTATCGCGATTGTTGATGACCAGGCGGTACTCAGCGTGCCTTGTCTCGGGGAAATCCACTGTGAGTTCTTCACGCTGCAGTGACTTGTAATCGATCCGGGAAAGCACCGCTGTACTGATGGAGTGCCATGTGGTGATGGCTCCTTTCTTGTGCGGAACCTCAACCGTGACTTGCCGGTTGAAGTTCTTTTCCGGGGTAATCAGCTTGAATTGAGTGAGTGGTTGCTTCCTGGTATCGATGCGAACCAGGGTTTGCTGCTTCTCGTGATCCTCTTCGATGAGGATACTTTCAACCTCGTAGCTTGTCTTTTCGTCGCCCGCTACAGAGTCCTGGAGGGTCTCACGCCAGAAGTCGATGCGTTCGATTCGAAAGGGGCGTCGGGCGATAGTCACTTCTTCAAATCGCTCGGTTTCTTTCTCGCCAGTCAGGCGACGGGTCAGCTCTAGCAGCTCTGATTCCTGCTCGGCGGTGACATCGTCGATGACGATTCGAAGAAATCTGTGATCGCTTTCCGGCAGCTCGATGCTGGTTTGTCGAACATCCATGTAGCGGGAGTAGTCGAATATCACGGCTTCACGTTCGATAGGCTCCCACTGTTGTCCGTCGGGCGAAACCGAAACCTGCACGCGTTGCTCAAAGTTATCAAGCGGGGTAATCACGGTGAGCCCCATGGGATGGGGAGCTTTCTCGTCGAGCTGCAGAATGATCTCTAGCCCACCGCCCGGCAGGGGTTTGGCTGTGAAGTCATCGGGCGTCCAGGTCTTACGCACTGTGCTTGCGCGGGTTGTTCGCACTCTTCGCAGCAGGTAAGGAACGGTCGCCCCGTTTCCGTCAACCAGTCGGAGATCGGCGAAGTCGTGTTGCAGGTTCGCGTAGATGTCTGAATCGAGCCTGATCGCGAGTAGTTGGTCGCGTTGGATCTCACGGGTGTGTACGTCGCGCGAGAACTGGAAGTTGATGACCTCGCCCTGTGCCGGGTTGGCGATTGTGCAGAGCAGAACGGCGGTCCAGAAGAACGAAGATCTCATGCGGCATCCTCCTGCTCACGCGGCCCTTCGATGGCGAAGGTCTCGCGGTACCGTAGGTAAACAAACGACCCGCTGAGGACCAGGATTCCCAGGAGGATGAAGGCGATGATACGGTAGAACTGTTCGAGCTGTGAGAGGTCGACGAAGAAGACCTTCCAGGTGACCACCGCGAAAAGGCCCAGCCCCAGGTAGCGTAGCGAGCGGATGTTCTTACCGATTCCTCGCAGGATGAGACCCAGGGCGAAGAGTGACCACAGAATTGAAATGCCGCCGGTTCGTAGTCCGTCGACGTAGACGTGCAGGAAAGAGTTCACTTCGAGGGTGAGGTACACGAACAGCATGGCCAGCGAGCCGAAGCCGAAGAGTTTGGAGGCAACCTGTGTGTGATCTTTGCGGGTCAGCAACAGGTAACCACTCCCGAGGAACCCGATGACGGCTCCGAAATCGAGCAGTCGCAAGGCGGCGTCGCGGAAAGAGTAGCCTGTGCCGTAGAGCATCTGGTGCGTTATGTCCCAAGAGGGGAGATCGAACACGAAGACTTTGACCAATAGCCCTGCCGCAACTACCAGCAGCAGATCGACGATCGCCCTGCTCTTCCGCACGAGCGACTCGTGCAACAGAACGCCACACATCGCCACCCACAATAGCGTGAGCATCGGGAGTTTGATCGGCTCGTAGAGATATCCAAATGTGCGGTTGAACTCGAGGTTTAGATAGACGAAGACCATGCCGAGCGCGACACCAACCGCCAGCCGCATCGCCCGGGCTCCGCTGAGCCAGCCCGAGATATCGTTCTCGCTGCCGACAAGTTTCTGTGCTGCGGCCTCTTGCCTGGCAAGCAGTGTGTAAGCTCCGCCGATCGAGGCGATGGGTACGCCGAACATGACCGCACGTTCGGCCAAGTGCTTGAGGTACGCCAGCAGCGGAATGTCTTCTGCCGAAGGGCCTCGCAGGAACTGCTGCGGAAGGTCGATCAAGCCGAAGCGGAACAGCACCAGGGCATACAGCAGATAGCAGACGTGCCGGAGGAATTCGCTGCCGATCTTCCCGGCAACCCACAGCAGCACGAAGGCTTGAATCGCCCAACTAACGGTCACCCACTCGCGGGAGAGCATCAGGGGCATGGTGATGGCCAGGAAAAAACTGGCAAGCCCTATGAAGCTGACCAGCAGCTCGCGGTCGACTACCTTACTTCGCAGGAAGTAAAAGACGTGACCTGTGTAGAAGGCGGCCGCCGCCAAGGTGACCAAGGCGACCCATTGTCGGCCGTACATGTCTTCGACAAGGCTGTACGAAACAGCGAAGAAGACCGCCGCGTTTGCCCAGAGGGCCAGCAGGTCCAGCAGATTCGATTTCGATTGATTGACGAGTTTGTAGAGGAACGTCATCGTCGAGAACAGCACGAAGAACGCTGCCGCGAAAGGCATCACTTCCCAGAAATGTTCGGATGTATAGTCACCCATCGCTGAGAAAAACAACGCATAGGTGGCCCCGAAGCTGAGGTAATTGACCAGCGGCCAGTTCTTCCAGTAGCAGATGCCGAGCACGCCGATTCCCAGCACGAACATGTAGCCGTAGAGGCCTGGGAAGTTGACCGCCCCGGTCGAGAGCATCACGGGTGTACCGTAGCCTCCGATGATGCCCAGAACTGCGACCAGGATTGAATTGAAGCGGATGGCAATCGCCCCGGCCAACACCGTGACCAGTGTCATGAGGCCAAACGCGAGAGGCATTTCGATGAGCTGATAGAAATCTGCCGCGGCGAAGACGGCAAAGTAGAGTGTTGCAAGACCGCCTCCCATCAGCCCCTGCCCCAGAACGTGATAACGCCGGCCCAGCATCTGCGTGCCGGCGACTAGCATGCCCAGTCCGGCGATGGATGCCAACGCGACTCGGCCCACTTCGTTGATCAGCCCATGGTCGACCGAGTACTTCAAGAAGAAGCCGACTCCGACCACGAGGATGAGGATGCCGATTCGCAGTAGCCATTGGCTGGCGAAGGCGAACTCGAACGAAACGCCTTCAGGCACGTGCTCCTCGCCGACGACAATCCAGTTCCACATTTTGCGAAGCATGTCTCGCGCCGCCGTCTCGAACCGGCTGGGGGTTCTAGGTTCTGAGTCGACTGCGACCGAGGCAGCGGCTGCGGCTAAATGCTCTGACGCAGAAGGTACCTCTCCAGCGGTCACGGGCTCTTTTGTGGTTGACCAAACCGGTGTGGGGAAATCTTGTGGGGGCTCTTCGATGGCTTGTTCGATCAGCTCGGCCGGTTCGGCGTACTCGGATTCTTGTTCTTCTGCCTCGGGCTGGCCGGCCGGTTCTGGAGGCGATTCTGCGGTTGGGAGTCGTTGTTGTTCCTGCCAGTCTTCAAGGTCGTTCCGCAGCCGGGTGATGCTCGTGCGGAGGTCCCGAAACCCCTCAGCCTGCTCTCGCCGGGTCTGAGTGAGCAACGTGATCGCCACGATGGGAAGGACGATCAGCAGGAGGAGTGCTGCAACGCCGAACAAGACGACAAGACTTTCCACGGGCCCACCTCATTTCGCGCAACTAATTACCGAGTAATGCCTTACGCCTTCATGGCGCACGACAGGCTATTAATCAGGCGAGGAATCGAGGCGTATATCACGCGGAAAAACGTGTTCCGCGGAGAAAAACTTTGGGTTCGCTTTAGATACGGACCGGGAGCGACTGCGGCAGATTGGACGGCCCTACACCATCACAACATTCGAAACACTACGGCGAGGGCACGCTGGTGGGATCGACGATGTTGATGGTGCCGAGGGCGGTGACGGTGGGAGCCCCGCCGGAGGTGGTGTTGCCGTGATGAGCGAGATTGCCGTTGTCGGAATCGGAGAAGCTTCCGCCGGTGCCGAGCGAGCCGCCCAGGTTGAACGTGCCTGCGGCTCGCATGTCCATCAGATAGGTGTTGTTCGCGTCGTTGTCTTCCAGGAACAGGTTGAAAGTGCTGCCGGCCGAGTTGCTGGCGAACAGGGAGAAGTTGGTTGTGTTCACTTCGTTATTCCGGGCAATCACGTTCAGAGTGCCAGGACCGTTGGCGAAGAATCGCAAACCTTCGGTAAGTAGGCTTACGGAGGTTCCAAACGTGTTGTTTTCGACCAATGCAGTGAAGGTGCTCGTATTCGATTCCAAAAGAATTCCGAAGTCGGTGCTGTTAATCACCGTGTTGTTTCGCACGATTGCTGTACCGCCGTTGTCGAAGAAGAACAGGCCAAAGTCTCTGAAGTTGCTGATGGTATTACCGTCGACCAAGGCGTCACCCGTGTTTTGAGTGAAGAGAATGCCCGCGTTGCCGGTGTTTGAGATTTGTTCACCCGTGATCGTGAGATCTCCGGCAACTTGAACGATGGTGTACCCATCGGTGCCGGCTGTATTGAGCACATTGCCCTGCATGGTCAAGTCGCCGCCTACGCCCATGACTCGAAATCCGGTCGAACCGATGTTGCTTAGTTGGTTCGACAAGATATCGACGTTGCCACCGACGTTCGAGAAGATGGCCCCTTCGGTGTCGGTGTCGTCAATCAAGTTATTGGCAAAGTGAACGTTGGAAGATACGTCGAAGAATTGGTAGGCGAAGTCGTTGACGGTTCTGACTTCATTGTGGGTGGCCACCACCGAGCCGGTAATCTCGCCGAAGAAGGTTCCTTCCTCCGCAGTATTGTCGACATTGTTGCGTAGATAGGTGACGTCGCCCACCACGCGATAGACGAATGTTCCGGTAGATCCTGAGTTCATCACCGTATTATCGGTGATGACGATGTCGCCGGTCACGCCTGCAACTCCCAGACCTGGCTCAGAGGTTGTTCCGTCGACAACGTTTCGGCTCATGGTTACATTGCCGAAGCTCGATCCGCCAGGGTCTCCAGCCACGATACCAAGTTCGCCGCTGTTGGTTGCCCGATTGTCGACGATCGTGACGTTCCCGTTGAATTCTTGAACACCGATGGCGAGGCCCCCGGAATTCTGCACGGTGTTCTCTGAGATGAGTGTCTCACCAGTTAAGCCTGCGACACCGATTGCCACGTCGAATCCGGTGTCGCTTACGGTGTTGCGACTGATGGAAACGTTCCCCACGCTGGAACCACCTCCGAAGGTGCCAGCAAAAACACCCAGCATCCCGCTACCTGTGACTTGATTATCTGCGATTGAGACATTGCCCATGAAGTCTTGAACGGCGATGCCGACCTCGGCAGAGTTGGTGATCACGTTGCGATTGATTGAGACATCGCCCACGAGGCCCATCCCGCCGATTCCTACCTCGCCCGCTCCATCGACATGAATACCGGAGACAATCGTGTTGGAGTTTACGAACACGCCAACTTCGGCAGGACTCTGGATGAGCGGCAGGCTTGTTCCGTTGGTCGCGCGAGGCAACAAGAACGAGCCGAGCTGCTGGGTGTTGATGTAGTGGTCAACGCCTTCACCGAGGAACTGCTGATTCGGCTGCAAGCTGATGGATTGACTGAGGAACACACTGTCGGCGTGTGCGTAAATTACATCGCCGGCAACCGAGCCAGCTTCGGCCTCGGCCAGTGTTTGGTACGGTCGGGCCAAGGTGCCGTCGCCGCCGGGGGATGCTGCACTATCGACGTGAATGATATGAAACGCCTGACCGTCGGTCGGATCGATGGCCATGATCGGAACTTGCGAGTAGCCGCGGGTGACGACGATCTGCTGGTTGCGTGGGGCGGTCTGTCGCAGTCGATTTCGAGCCGAGTAGCTGCAGCCGCGGGCGCCGATTGTGGTTCCACCGCCGAACCGCCAAGTGACTCCGAAAATCAAGTTCGTGTCGAATTCGCGATCGTTCTGCAGCGTAAGCCCCAGGTCGAGATTCTGGGTGAGGCTGCCTTCGACACGTCCCCGGGCACCGTAAATATGCGGATTATCGTCGCATTGAAAATGATAAAAGCCGACCGCCGTGCGAATGCAGCGGCTGAAGAGTTCTGGGTACCAAACGCGTCCCAACTCCAAGTCGAAGCCGTCGTAGGCGGTTTCGGTTTCTACGAAAGAGCCAAAGACAAGGTTATTGTCTTGAAACTCGAGGCCGCCGTTCATGATGGGACTGCCAACGGTCGATTGTGTGGTGCCGACCGGAAGGTAAGCGTTGCCTCGTAAGTCCCAGACGTCGCCCACGAGCTCAAGCGTGACGCCAAGCTGATGGAACGTGTTGAAGTTGCGACCGTCGACGTCGTACCACAGGCTTGCGCCCCAGAATCGATTGTTGGCGCGGTTGAAGCTGCGATAGCCCAGGCCGGCATTGCCGACGGAGTTTGCTTCGTTGGTTAGCGAGTATTGCCCGTCGAGGAAGAAGAATTCGTCGTCCGGAGATGATGGGAGGAATACCCCCAGCGAACTGGAACTCTCTTGAATGCCGACTCCGTCGCCGACGAAATGTCGTAAACGAAACGAGCCGCCATTGTTCGAGAGCGGAGCGATGCCAGAGACCCGGCGACTGCCTTGGGGTGCGGTATCGAAGGAGAAATCGCCGGCCGACACATTGCCGTGGAGCATCGCGGCCGTAGCTGCGAAGGCGAGGAGACGAAGGATTTTCTGCCCCTCTGTCTGTGCCGTTTTTCTCTTTGAATACCCATCCATGTAAGCCACCTGTGATTCCCTGCCTGCCCCCAATCCATGGGGAGAATCTCGCTTGCAAAGCTATCGACGGCGGCAATCCGCAGGCTTAACCTCGCAATTAGCGGCAATCGTGGCCGGCATAACCGTTTCACCCCTACGCGGTATCAATCGCAATCCCGGAGCAACCCTCAGCGTTTAACCGGCGGGAGTATTAGCCGTGGTGGACAAGGCCCCCTCTGCTTGTCCACAACGGTTCCTGACCTTGGTGGGTTCATGGGGCAGTGAAACGACAACTCGGGCAAGTATCGCAATGCGTTGTTGCCGAAGAGATTGCCAGCTAAAGTTGCACGCATTGTTCTTCGAGGTGGAAGGTAGCAGCAAACGGGGAGTCGAGAGTGAGTTCCGATGCTGAGGTGAAAACCGAAGAAATTGTTTCTGAAAGCACAGTCACGGGAGAGTCATCTGCAAATTCACAAGACTATCCACTTTGGCTCGCTGCGGTGTTGGTGGGAATCTTTGTCGTGCTTGTGTTCCGTGGGGTTGGCGGACATGGCTACGTCTACGACGACAAGATCAACGTGATCAGCAATCCGCGGCTTTATCCTCTGTCGTGGGAGAATCTGAAGTACTTTTGGACCGAGCCGTACGCAAATATGTATGTGCCGGTCACCTATACTGTTCTCTCGCTCGAGGCGCAGTTCGCTGCCAGGGTAGATAAGGAAACCGGACGGGTCGGTCTGGACCCGAGGGTGTTTCATTACGGCAATTTGGTGCTTCACCTGGCAAATGCCTTTCTGGTTTTGCTCCTGCTGCGTGCGGTGTTTGGGCATACCCTGGCTGCAATGGTTGGTGCGTTGCTGTTCGCTCTGCATCCACTGCAAGCCGAGACGGTGAACTGGATTACCGAAACGAAGGGGCTGCTTGCCACGTTGTTTGGCCTGTTCGCGATCTGGCAGTATTGGTTGTTCGCCGCCGGTCGTCGGCACCCTCTGGCGAATCGCCCTGAAGTTGCTGCCGAGGGTGAGCATTCATCTGGGCGGTGGTTACATTACATTTTGGCGACCGCGGCTTTTTGCTTGGCTTTGCTCTCCAAACCATCGGCAGTGACGATTCCGCTGATCATCTTGCTACTAGATGCGAGTCTATTGCGACGCGGACTGTTGAACTCGATCGTGCCAAGCATCCCTTGGTTTTGCCTGTCTCTTGCGGCTGTGATGATCGCACGCGGAGAGCAATCGGTCGAACAGTTCCGGGATGTGGTGCCGGTGCTCTATCGTCCCGTGATTGCGCTAGATGCGTTGGCCTTTTACTTCTACAAACTACTGGTGCCTTGGTGGCTGAGTGTCGACTACGGGCGACAGCCTTCCTTTGTGCTACAGCACTGGTGGAGCTACGTTACCTGGGTTGCTCCGTTCGTCATCATTGGCTTGATCTTTCTGCTGCCGGAACGCCGCAGTTTGCTGGTATTCGTCGGTGTATTCGTCGCTGCCTTGCTGCCGGTGTTGGGAATCATTTCGTTTGGGTTCCAGGACATCTCTACGGTCGCCGACCGTTATGCTTACTTTGCCATGCTCGGGCCGGCCATGGCGTTGGCCTGGGTGGTAGAACGGCACGAACGCCCTTTGGTGCTGGGCGGTATTGCGGTGATGTTTCTACTCCTGGCCGGGATTAGTTATCTGCAAACCCAGTATTGGTCGAACACACAAACACTTTTCGAGCATGCGCTGAGCGTGAATGAACGGAGCGTTACTGCGAACTTAGAATTGGGCAACTTACAGGTTAACCGAGATCGGGAAGCGGCTGCTCGGTATTACTGGGCAGCGGTGGATATTGATCCCGAACACGCTGGGGCCAACGCGAGTTTGGGTACGGTTCTATTCGTGATGGGAGACTTACGCGAGGCGGTTGCCCGACTTCGCACGGCCATTGAAGTAAAACCAGACAACTTCTTGGCACACTTCTATCTGGCCCAGGCCCTGATTGCCCGGGGGAACTTTGATGAGGCCAGAGAGCACTTCGAGCAGACGCTGAAGTACAATCCGAACTTTTCCGATGCGACCATTCAGTTGGCATGGCTGTTGGCCACATGTCTGGAAGACGAAGTACGCGACGGTCCTCGGGCTATGGAACTGCTGAAGCCGCATCTAGTCGAGAGCGAACAGGCCAGCGTAGCCGCCATCGATGCGATGGCCGCCGCGCAGGCAGAAACGGGCGATTTCGACGCTGCATCACAGACGATCGAGAATCTGTTGCGGCAGATCAAACAGCGGGCCGAGCATGATTCGCGTTGGGCCCCCTATCTGAAGGCAGTGCAGGAAAGAGCACTTCTATATCGGGAGAGGAAGCCTTACCGGGGCGGACCGACGCATCAGTTGATTCCGGTCGGGGCAGGGTAATTGGTGAGAGGGAATCGAGACCCTATTGATGGGTTGCTCAGCAAGATCCCTAGGATTCGTCGCTGGGCGGGGTTGCTTCGGCGGCTGGCCCAGCGGATGGCGGGGAGGCGGGGTTCGCCTGGTTGGCGGCCTGAATCTCGGAGTCGACTCCTTGATTTGCTTCGTGCAGTGGTCGGTCGGTGAAGTAAAGTTCGAGACGTCGTTGGAAGCGAGCCTGCAAGTCTGGGGCCTGCATTTTCTCGGCCATACTCAGAGCGCGACGCGTGGTTCTGACCGCATCGTCGAACTGCCCCAGGGCGGCGAAGGCGGCTGCTTGTGTATCCAGGTACTCGATGTAGTCGGGAGGCAGTTCCTCCGTGAAGCCATTCACCAAATCATTGGCCCAATTGAGAGCTTCTTGACCATCGCGGAGCGTTGGATCGTTCACGGTGGCCAAGATCCAGGCCAAGTTGTTGGCCGCGATGTGCCACCCATCCCACGTATCGCGGTACTTGAGTGCCGAGCGGTACGCCTCGACCGCTTGTTTGAAGTTGCCCAGATTCTGGTGGGTGAAACCGATTTGATAGTAAGCACCTGGGTAATCGGGATCGATGGCTAAAACAGCTTCGTACTCCTGCAAGGCTTCATCAGTACGACCCTGATCGGCTAAGAGATTCCCAATACCGATGTGCGCGTTGATACTCTTTGGGTCGATATCGAGAATCTGGCGGAGAGTGGATTCGGCCTTTTCGATCTGGCCCTGAATCAGGTAGACGTTCGCCATCTCGAGGAGTAATTCGACTGATGCAGGGTTCAGTTCCAGGGCCAGCAGCAATTGTTCCTCGGCAGCTGCGTAGCGTTGCTCGCTTTTCATTAAGGCCGCATTCAATCGACGAGAAGTTGCTAACAAATTCTGGACCTGGGGATATTCCGGATCCTGTTCGTAGACCACTCCGAGCAGATCGATGACCTTGTCCACCGCCTCGCGGTTGGGCCCTGCGCCGGGTTCGCCCATTTGCCGGATCATGGCGTGCGCGATTCCGAAGTTGGCATCGACCAGTCCCTGACGGATATCTAAGGCCTCGACGAATTGATCGATCGCCTGAGGGTACTGCTCTTTTTCGAGGAGCAACTTGCCAAGACTGACGTGCGCATGGTAGTACCGCGGGTCGCACTCGATCGCATGTCGCAGTAAGACGTTTGCCTCTTCAAGACGACCTTGATCTTGATAGGCCATGCCAAGCGCGTTAAGGGCGGGTGCGGCATCGTGATTGATGTCCACGGCGTGCTGCAAGTAAGGCACGGCCTGATTCACGTCACCCTGTTCTCGCAACAGTAGCCCCATGCTGACGAGCGACTCCAGGTGCTCGGGATAAATGTCGAGGGCGGCTTGGAAATACTTTTCAGCCTCGGCGTACTCCTTATGTGCCAAGCGTTCGGTGCCCAGGTTCGAGTAGGCCATGAAACTGTCGGGATTCACATCCAGGGTGTGCATGAACAGCGTATCGTTGTCCTGCCAGAAACCACTTTGGCGAATGCTCAAAGCGGCCAAGACACAGAGGATGATTGCCGCTGCGTACTTCACCGCTTTGCGATCGGTACTGGTGATGAGCCAGGCGACTGCCAGCGCGGGCCCCAGCATGGCCAGGTACATGTAGCGGTCGGCCACCGTGGAATAGAACTGAAATGCGAAAGGGATTAGCCCCAGCACAGGAAGCAAGGCGATGGCCGTGATTGCGGCGGCCGTCAACCACGGCTGAGGGCGTTGCAAGCGCCACAAAAGCGCTACTAACAGGGCCGGAACGAACCAGGTCAAGTAACCCCACCAATGCGTGACGACGTGCGTTGGGGTGCGGCCATAATCGGTAGACAGTCCCAGTGGGACAAAGAACTTGTAGATGTAGAAGAAGAGGGCGTCGCCTGCCACGAGTGGCCGGACCCACCAGAGCTGAGCCTGGACGTCGCCCATGCCGGTTTGGAAGCTCGAAGTGCCGTAGGCGACTCCTGCGCTGATCAGCGCCCACACTACCAGCAACGACCAGTCGCTCCATACTTCGGGATGCCCCTTGGGTCGTCGCCCAAGCCAGGCAAAGTCGATAACCCAGGCCATAATCGGAATCGCAGCCGCCGAAGGCTTCGAAAGCATGGCGAGAATGAACGCGATGGTGGCCAAGGTGTAGACGATGTACCGTCCAACCGGAATCGGCGGGAGATCTTCTTCCTCGTCGTATTCCTCCGCGGACTCTTCCGATGCGTTTTCGGTAGTTTTCTTTTCCGCTTTTGGCGGTTGGGGCTTTTCGTCTTCGACCGGGGCTGCTTCGTACTCCATGTCGGTAACGCGGAGGTAAAGCCACAAGGCGATCAGACCAAACAGGGCGGCCAATAAACCGCGAGCCTCGGAGGCCCAATTGACGGACTCGGCCTGAAGCGGATGCACGGCAAATAGCAATGCCCCAAATACCGCTCCGGGGAGGCTCTTCACGAGCCGGCGGAGGATGACGAATACCAGCAGCACACTCAGCGTGTGTAGCAGAATGTTGCCGGCATGAATGGTGCTGTGCGAATAGGTGATGAGCCCAGCCCACCAGGTGTAGGCCACAGGGCTGTAGAGCCCTGCATAGGGGCCGCCCCAGATCTGCCGAAGTCCCTCTTCCGATGGAGGATTGAGGAAGGGGTTGTCGGTGATATTGATACTGTCGTCCCACAACAAGAACTTGTTCGTCGTGGCACGACCGAAGGTGAGGACGCTGACAGCGACCAGAATCAACACGGCAAATACGACCGACTTCCAGCCATATCGCTCAGTACTTATTGATTCCGGCGACGGCTCCTTCGTAACAGCAGCGGTCGACATCGGCACGGGTTCGTTCGCAGAGGCTAAACGGGAAGAAATGTCGTCCACAGAACACACCCCTTGGACCGACGACCTAGTCCATCGCAAACCCTTATCCTAGTCGCGCCGTCAGTTCTTTCAACTGAACGGGCCGGGCATTCCGCCGCAATGGACAGCGACAGGCTATAGATGCCGCGAGAAAATGGAGGTTCGGCGCCGATAGAGAACCGTAAAACCGGTCTTTGAGATGGGGCACTCCCGGAGTTGGCCACAACGTAGCCGCTCCGGTGGCGTGCTAACCCGAGTAATCGGTGTAAGCCTTAGTACAGGCTATTGCCATAGGCCGGCTGATTGCCCGGCTGAGAAGCGGGATTCGTACTGGCGTTGGGGGTGACCAGGGGTCCTCGATACTCGTTGTTGAACCCAGGGTAGGCCGGCAATGGGCTGGAAACGGGGGTGGCCTGGACGGGGGCCGTACCTTGGGGAGCCGCTGACTGAGGCACCATGTGGTAACGCTGATCAGCAGCAACCGCGTTTCCTTGGGCTTGGCCACCGGCCAGCATGTGTTGCCACCGCTGAGCTTCGACCAGACTGGGGTCGGCGGCCGCGGCGTATCCAAAGTGGCGAATGGCCGCTTCGTTGTTGCCCATCTCGTGAAGGAGATAGCCTATGTTGTAATGGGCGATCCCGGAGCCGTGCACCATGGCCAGGTGATCGTAAGCCTCATCGACGCGGTCCATCTTCACCAACACCTTGGCGATGTTGTTGCGGTACAGCTTGCGTTGTGGCTCGAGCTTGATCGCCGAGCTAAGTGCATCGACCGAGGGCCCCATCATCCCCTGGCGAGCGTAGCAAATGCTGAGATCGTTGAGTGCGGTCGCCGAGTCGGGGTGGTATTTCGTGGCCTGTTGATAAAGCTCGGTGGCCTCACTTAAACGACCCTGGCGGTCCATCAGGTGAGCGTAGCTCAACAGGGCTTCGAGGTCTTTCTTGTCGGTGTCGAGCGCTTGCTTGTAGCTTGACTCGGCGCCTTCGACGTTTCCGGCCACTTCCTGCACCCGGGCGATCGACACAAAGAACGAAGCGTCGGGCTTACCCGTGGGTGAGTTAACCGAAATGGGATCCATGGTGGTCGGATCGCGGGGGGCGACGACATCGCCGGCTTTGCGTGCACCACGCTTTACGCTGTCGGTCACGCTCGACGTCATCTTCTTGGTCGAGCTGGCGACCGAACTGGCCATGCGCTTGATGGAGCTTTCTTTGGGTTCTCCGTCGAGCCCAAGGGCCGGAGAGACCATGGGACGAGAGCTCAGCTCACTGGCGTACTCGTCGTAGGGTTTGTCGTAGTCGACCTCGCCTGAGAGCGCGACGTCGGAATCTTTCTTGAACTTATCGGTCCAGGAAGTCCAGGGCGACTTGCTCTTGGAAGAGAGCGACTGATCGCTGGAGCATCCAACCAAACTGATCGCCATGGCGATCGACGCGACGTAAGAAGCTAATACGAGCTTACGCACTTGGCACCTCCTGGCCAATGCGAGCGGGCGATGGTTCTTCGGGTCGGCGATCGCCGAACGGGAGAAGAGAGAAGTGCCCGTCGCGGTTACATCCCTGCATAGTTTTTGATCGGCCAGGACTCGGGTGCCACTACACCAGAATCGAGGGGATGGCCAATCGAAGGCGGGTGAGAAGACTGGGGGAAACCAGTCTCCAGACACCGCCACTGCCAGCATTGCTGGTCTTGCAAAACACTATTTCCACATGATGTAGAACAGCCCTAGCGCGATCCCAGCGGTGCAGAGCAGCAACAACTGGGTGGTTCGCTGGCGATTGATCCAGCGTTCCATGTAATCCAGGTCGCCGCTGGCCACCCGAGTGACAGGTTGAACGGCCTCGTAGACCGCCAGGTAAACCCTGTTCTCGCGGATGGTCTGCGTTGCTTGCTGAGTGCCCGGCAGTTCGAGCTTTACGGCAACCGCTCCGCTGAGCGATAGCAACACGATGAACACACCAAAGTAGAACCGCCAGCCGTGACCCCGCCGCTCTCGTTGGAGCCGTTCCTCAGTGATCCGTCTTGGGCTGCATTTAACCGGACACATTTTCGTGACCTCGCTTGACCAGGTGCCCCCCGTTTGTGGTTGAGCTACCCGATCAAGTGGGCCTCGAGTTCGACATCCTGCCGCCCTGACGCACCAGTGAGTGGCGTCAGTCCACTTCAAGCCTTCTACGTTCGGGCAGTCTCGGCAACGGGATCGATTCGCGGAATTTGCGGCCGATCTCGTCTACGTAATCTGCTGGATAACTCGGTGCGGCCAGGTTCGACTCGGCGACAGCGGCTTCCTGACCGTCTCGCGTGACCGCCAGGAAGTCTTGAACCGAGGCGATTCTAACCGCGGTGTCTTCTGATGTTCTTGCTGCGTGGACAAAGACCTGACGACGCTCGAGGGCCGGATCGGTGAGGATCCATTGGACTTTCAATCGCCCTGCTTCCGTTAGTCGGTTTGCCTCATCGAAGTGATAATGCCCTAAGGTATTTTGTCGTTGCCAGCCCTTGTTGATCATGATCTGGAACGGGGCAGCGGCCGCCGCTCGATCTGGATACACGTATGGCAAGGGCCAGATTTTGTTTTGTTCGTAGTTGCAGCAGAAGCTCGACTTCTTGCTCGGCCACCAATCGGCCGATACCGGCAGGGCTGAACCCAGCACCAGTGCTACCACAGCGGTAGCAGTCAAACAGCGTCGCATTGCGTATCCTCCTGATTCGCAACCCCACGGTGCCGGCGACTGACGCGTCGCCTTCGGTGGGTCACATCCATGCATCGGTCGAGCAGCCCAGCTCGGCCTGAAACGAATATTCTGATCCGCACACTTACTCAACTATCGGCACGCTGGTGGCGAAGACTATCGAATGATCCGCCAGAGTGTCCTTTCTAACGGCCATTTCCGATGGATTCGCCACCCCGCGGCACGAACTTTTCTGCTTGTATCGATTAGGTAAACCTTGCCGGTTGTTGGCCTGGCAGGCAGCCTAACCTCCTCCCATCGCCGGGAACATTTCCCGAATCATCGTGATGGCGGCAGGACCGACCAGCACGACGAAGATGCCGGGGAAAATGAAGATCACCAGCGGGAAGATCAGTTTGACAGCAGTTTTCGCGGCCCGTTCTTCGGCCAGTTGTCGTCGTCTGGTCCGCATCGATTCGCTTTGCACGCGTAGCGCCTGAGCGATGCTGGAACCGAACTTGTCGGCTTGAATCAAGATGGCGGCCAGCGATCGCAGGTCGTCGACCCCGGTGCGGAACCCCAACTCGTGCAGGACCTCGGCTCGGCTTCGGCCCATTTGCAGTTGGAAGTTCGAGAGGGCGAATTCTTCGCTGATCACCCGGCAGCTTTTCTTCATTTCTTCACTCACCTTCCGCATGGCCTGGTCGAGACCGAGACCTGCTTCGACGCACACGACCATGAGATCCAACGCGTCGGGAAGCCCGAGGAAGATTGCGTCTTTCCGATGCTTGCTGATTAACAGCAGTACGAGATCGGGTAGATAAAACAAACCGCCGGCGAGAAAGACGGTGTACATCAGCGAATTTTGGGTCATTCCGTAGACCCCCAACAACGCGCCGCCACCGCCAACCAAGCCGATGATGAGCCCGAGGAACTTCAACCCAAGGTACACACTCGAGGTGGCCTCACCACGGAAACCGGCTTGTGTGAGCCGACTCTTCAGCTTGCCAACTTCGAGTTCGTTCTTCGGTTGCAGCGGAGCCGCCAGCGCGGGCGAGGCCTTCTCAATCACCCGCGACATCGAGTCTTTTTTCTTCGCTGGTCCGCCCGCTTCGCTACGTCGGCGCAGCTCGGGGTGACTCAGTTCGTCTAAACGTTCTGAGGCCCGACTCTTCTTGTCGGCCAGCAAATCGAGTATCCACCACGCAGCCGCGGCGAACATGCCGAAGATGGCGATTGGAAGCAATTCGGTAAAGTTGATCAGTCCTGCGAAGATCACGATTCGATTACACCTTGATGTTAATGATCTTGCGAATTACCAGTGCACCAAGCACCTGCATGAATACCGCACCGGCGAGCATTTGCTTACCTAGCGGATCCGTGAACAAGACCGTCATGTACGCGGGATTCAACTGATACACCGCCAAGAACAACACCGGCGGCAACGCCAACAGCACGATACCCGAGAGGCGACCTTCGCCGGTGAGGGCTTGGACTTGCCCCCAAATTCGGAAACGTTCTCGGATGAGGTGCCCAATTTTGTCGAGGATTTCGGCCAGATCACCACCGGTTTGCCGCTGCAGAATCAACGCGGTGGCGAAGAATCGCAGGTCGAGGTTCGGCACTCGATCGGTCATCGCTTCGAGCGCTTCGTCAAACGGAATACCCAGGTTCTGTTCGTCGAACACCCGACCGAATTCTTCAGCAATCGGGTTGGGCATTTCTTCTTGAACAAGATTGAACCCGGCGGCCAAACTATGACCGGCCCGTAAGGCCCGGCTGATAAGTTCCAAGGCATCGGGCAACTGCGCAGCAAACTTCTTAAGGCGCCCACGTCGTCGAAACAACAGCCACATCAACGGCAGCAACGACATAAACAACGCGGCAACCGGCAACACACCAAAGGGACTTCCGAGGTACCAAGCAATGACGGCCCCAGAAGTACCCAGGGCGGCCGAGATGGCGAAAAAGGTCGATGGCTGCAGCGAGGTATGGGCTTGCTCGAACAACAGGTTCAGGTTCGTCAGGCGATTGAAGAACTCTTCCATCGCCGAAGGCATATCGTTCAGCGGTTGCGCCAAAACGCTGTCCGAGGCTTTGTCGCCACTCTTCATCTTGCGGTTGCCAGTGAAGAGGTCGATCCGATCCTCGGCCTTACTGTCGGTTCGCTCGCGCAGCAAGACGGCCACCGCGCCGACGAGCGCGGAGACGCCTACAAATGCGGCTACTGAGATTAAAAACGGGCTCATGCCAGTAGTTTCTCTTGCTGAACGGGAAGCGTTGGGTGGTTAGGCTTAGTCTTGCAACATCACGCGCTGGCGGAACGCACTTGCCGGTAGGCGAACGCCCGCCGACTCAAGGCGATCCATGAAGGTCGGGCGAATCCCGGTGGACTCGAACCGCCCGTAAGCCCGACCGTTCTCGTCGATCCCTTCCTGCACGTAATGATAGATGTCTTGCATCACGATCGTGTCTTGTTCCATCCCGAGAATCTCGGTGATGTGCGTGACCTTACGCGGTCCGCCCTGCAAGCGGTTGGCCTGAATGATGAGGTCGACCGCGCTGGCGATTTGCTGACGCATGGCCTTGAGCGGCAGTTCGAAGCCGGCCATGGTGATCATCGTTTCAATACGGGCCAAACCGTCGCGAGGCGTATTTGCGTGGATCGTGGTTAGCGACCCTTCGTGACCGGTGTTCATAGCCTGCAACATGTCGAGGGTTTCCGGTCCACGACATTCGCCGATGATGATACGTTCAGGACGCATACGCAGAGCATTTCGCACCAGGTCGGTGGCCGTGATGGCACCCTTGCCTTCGATGTTCGGGGGCCGCGTTTCGAGTCGCACCACGTGATCTTGCTGCAACTGGAGTTCTGCCGCGTCTTCGATCGTGACAATACGATCGGAGTTCGAAATGAAGCTCGACAGTGTATTTAACAGGGTCGTTTTACCCGAGCCCGTACCACCGGAGATGATCATGTTGAGTCGGGCCTTCATGGCACCTTCGAGCAACATCACCATCTCGGGCGTGAACGCCTTGAAGTTGAGCAGGTCTTCCAGCTTCAAGGGATTGGCACCGAAACGACGAATGGAAACCGAAGCCCCGTCGAGGGCCAACGGTGGAATGATTGCGTTCACACGAGAGCCGTCTTGGAGACGAGCGTCAACCATCGGACAGACTTCGTCCACGCGGCGGCCGACTTTCGAGACGATGCGGTCGATGATTTGCAGCAAGTGATTGTTGTCGCGGAAGACCACATTGGTCTTCTCCATCTTGCCGCGACGTTCGACGTAGACGCTCTTCGGGCCGTTGATCAGGATATCGCTGATCGTCGCATCTTTGAGCAAGAACTCGAGCGGCCCCAAGCCGAAGGTTTCGTCGAGCACTTCTTCAATGAGCCGTTCGCGTTCGGCACGATTGAGAAGGGTATCTTCGCTGTCGCAGAGATGTTCCACCACCAAGCGGATTTCGCGTCGAAGCGTGTCGCCTTCGAGCTCACCGACCCGGGTCAGGTCCAGCTTGTCGACCAACTTGCCGTGGATGCGGCGCTTGAGGTCGTCGAATTCCTTCTCTTTGCTGCTTTCAGCAGTCGTGCTTTCCGGGAGGGCTTTCACCATGGTGGTTCACATCGATCGGGAGGAGTGATTGTTTTGCTAAGGTGGTTGGCACTTTTTTCCGCTACGTGCCCCGGGAGGGTATCCCCAGGAAACATAGCTCACGAATCGAGTGCGGGACGCCGCCGAAACAAAGGGTTAACCCTGCTAGCCACAGGCGGTTATGTCTCGCCGATGGAGGGGTTTTCGGCCCGGCTAGCCAAGCCCGCTGCCAGGTAGAAGTGGCCCATCTGAAGCAGGGCCTGCGGGGCATCCACGAGGGCGGTTCGCGCCCGTGCAATCGCCACAACCGCCGTTATTTGGCCTGCGGCTCTTCCGATCGTCCAGCCCAGAGGCCCATCAACCGGCCCAGGGTCGACTTGCCGCCGCTGTTGTCGGCGCGGGGCTCTTTTCCTGAAAGCTGATCGGCAAGTTGCAGAATCGATTGCGTGATTTTGGCTTTCGGGGCCTGCTCGATAAGCGGCACCCCGTTGTTTCGCACATCGACCATCGTGCGATAGTCGTTAGGCAACTGCCAGAAAACCTCTCGACCGATGGTGTCTTGGGCCTTCTTCACGCTGATCTCACCCGATTCGAGCCCGGCCCGGTTCACGATGATCTTGATCTTGTCGGCCACACCTTCCATCTCGGAGAAAGAACTCATCAGCCGGACGATGTTCCGGAGGCACGGCAGATCGAGTTGAGTCATCAAGAGAATATGGTCTGACGACTCCATGGCCACCATATCAAGTGGGCTATACGACTTGGAAAGGTCGAACACCACGTGGGTGAAGGTGGCTTTCAATAGCCCGACCACGCGAAGAAAATCATCCGGACCGATGGTCGCGGCGTCTTCCATCTGCATGGGGCGAGGCAACAGGAACAGCCCCGAATCGTGTTTGATCAACGATCGCTTCAACAAGGTGAAGTCGAGTCGCGATACGTTTTGAGCCACATCGACTAGCGTGTAGTCGGGAATGGTATCGAGGAAGACGTCGGCATCACCCAGACTCATGTCCAGGTCGATGAGGGCCACGGTGTTGGTGGTGTCTTGTGCTAATGAGCAGCCAAGATTAACGGCCAGACTCGTGCAGCCCACACCACCTGTGGCGCCGGCTACGCTAATTACCGTGCTACCACGCGTGCGTGATTCACCTTGGCCGTAGTGTCGATCGCTGATTCTTCCTAGCGCCGCGACCAGGTCTTCGATGTTGATCGGGAGCGAAATGAATTCCTTCGCCCCGGCACGCATGGCTCGCAGAATGAGCGAGCCATCGGTCGAAGAGCTAAGCACCAGGATGCTGCATCCTGGTGTCGTGGCATTGACCTTCTCAACCAGCTTGAGAGCTTTGTCGGAATCGGCATCGAGCGTGATGATGCCGATCTCGGGTTGTGTTTGCGAAACAACGTCCGCGAAGAACTCGTACCGAGAGCACTCGGCTTCGAGCCAGATCATATCCATTCCCAACAGCAACGTTTTCAGCGCTTCCCGGCTGTCATCGTTGGGATCGACAATCGCTAATCGAAGGACGTTCTTCATACCAATGAAATTCCCATGCCCCTGAGCGAGGGCCATCTATCGACAAGCTGCGGCCGGAGCTGACCGCAGTCATGCCGTATCATCTAGGCGTGGATATCGAGAAAACGTAGCTTAATTCTCGGTGTCAACGTCGTATCCCAGCGGTCCAATGAGACCTGGAGCGGCATTCGAGGTTGCCGTGGGAAGATGATAGGGGTTAGACGGCTGGTAGGGGTTGGCTGGCCCGCCTTGAGGCAGGGTCGCCATGTTGGGCGTCGGAGGCACTGCACCCAATGTCGATGAGGGCTGTGGTGGCAGCGGGGCCTGATTCATGTGCATCGGCTGACCACCACTGATCTGCGGCACCTGGAGGGAAATCTCCTGTTGCTGTTGCGGTGGTCCCTGATGTCGTCTGCTCGATTCGATGTAAGCCGTATCAGGCGGTAGATCCTGAGCACCCGCATCCGGCGTTACGACCGGGGGCTCTGGCACAGGTACCGGAGTACCCATCGGACCGGGAACCACTTCCGAGGGGCCTTCGATCACTTCAACGCCGGGGCCGTACATCATGCCCTCGCCCTGCGGATAACCACCGGGGTAGCCCTGTTGACCTTGGCAAGGACCACACCCATCTGGGCACGGCACTTCGATATGACCTTCCCAGAACAACTGGCGATCGTTCGGATTACACGAGTTGGTACCTGGACCGCCGCAAGGCACTTCGTGCGGATCCATCGCATCGACCAGCTCGGGGGTGACGAGAATCAACAATTCGATTTCGTTCATCACCGAGTGCGTGCGTCGGAACGCAGCCCCCACCCATGGCAGGTCGCCGAGATACGGCACGGCGCGAACTTCGTTTTCCAGTCGCGTTTGAATAAGTCCGGCGATGGCGAGGGTTTGTCCCGATCGCATTTCGACGCCGGTCTCTACTTCGCGAACACGCAAACCTGGGATGGCGGTTTCGTTGATGACCACACTTCGCGTGTTGTCAATTTCGCTAACACGGGGGCGAACTTCCAAACGAATGCGGCCGTTGCCCAGGACGATGGGCACGAAGTCGAGCTGAGTACCGAACTTCTTGTATTCGATCGACACGGTACCCAAACTTTGCGGAACCAAGATCGGGAACTCACCACCCACGTTAAACGAGGACGGACGTCCGCTGACCGCAACCAGGTCGGGTTCGGCCAGAATCTTCATCAAGCTGTTCTTACGCAGAGCTTCGAGCAGCCCAAAGAAGGCTTGTTGGTTGTTGATAATACCAAAGCTGGCAGTTTCACCGCCGGCCGCTTCGACCAGCCCGGTGGACGAAGTGAAGTCGCCAAGCAACCCGCTGATCCCCGAGGTGACGAAGTCATCGCCGTTGATCTGGACAAAGTCGAAGCCCAAAGTACGCGACTTGGTGCGGGAAATTTCCATCACCTTCACGTGCAGCAGCACCTGCTGGACACCACCCACATTGATGTTGTTGATGACCTTGGGATGGTAGTCTTCGGCAATGGCCACAATGCGATTGACGATGTCGGGGCGATCGACGAAACCAGAAACAATCACACTGTTCGCCAGCGGAATGACCTTCAGCGAGCTCTTCGGAAACTGCGACTGCAGCACCATTTCCAGCTCTTGTGCGTCGCCGTAGACGATCACGTCGACCGTGCGAATCTGGTCTTGCTCATCCCACAGGTTGACCTGAGTTACACCAGGTTTTTTCGCGAGGATTTGGATTTGCGTAGGTGAGAGCGGCGTGACCTCGAGCACCTCAGGGTTGTTCACCTGGGCCTGAGGGATCTTCTCATCGAGGGTCAAGATACGGCTGGTATTGACGATCATCTCCAGACGATCGTTCGCCATATCGACCTTGTAGATGAGCTCATCACGCTGGCGCACGTCTTGTGCGTTCGCATGACTGCTGTAGCCGAGCACGAGGATAATGGTCAATAGCTCGGCGCATAGCGCAAGCTGCCGCAAGAAGAGAGGCGCGTACATCCGTGTATTCCTTGCAAATCCGTTTAGCGGAATATTTGCACATCCTTGTGCCGCGGCCGGCCCATTCTTGGCAACCGCGTGGCGCCTTGCTGGCACCCCCCTGTGTCACGCCGCAATTTCGTCGGTCATCCTTCGACTAACGAAATCCGCTCTATCGTGTTTCGGATGTTGAGGGGGGAACTAATCAAAGATATCTAGTTATCAGACGAAAAATCCGTCGATCCGTCGTCATCGGCATCGTCCCACCCATCGTCATCGAAGCCGGTATCGTCATCCTGACTATCGTCGGCATCGTCAAACGGCCCATCTTGACCCGCGTCCATGTCATCATCGCTATCAATGACATCGCCCATCGCATTCAGTTCTTTGGGCAAGCGACTGTCTGCACTGAACTGCACTTCGCGGGCTTGGGCACCCAACACTAGAACCATCGTCCAAACATCCTCGCCACCTTGCGTCGTAGGTTCGGGTTCTGGCTCGGGCTCCACAACTTCTTGGGGGGTGCCGTTGAGAAGATCGAGGATATCGTTACCCGAGTCGTCGTACACCAGGCTGGTGTCGTCGCCGTCGCGTTCCTCAGAATCCAAGCTGAGCAGCTTGCCTATATCGGCACCATTGGTCTCAGAAGCGACGTCGTCCTCGGGGCTTCGCATGACAAGGCGGAGATTCCCGATCTCGGAAGCCAGTGCTACCAGTTCCGTCTCTTCGGGGGTGAGCAGCAGCGAGACGGTCTTGGCTGCGATCGATTGCTCGTCTGACAGCTCGTCGTTCTGACCGACCTGGTCGTTGACGGCAAACACACGCACGTCTTGCAGAATCGTACGGGTGATCGTTTGGTTGATGTTTTGGCTGGGATTGGCGCGAATGTGCACCAACACATCGACGCGGTCGTCGGGAAGAATCAAACTGCTGGAACCGCTGACCGAATCGACCCGAACTGAAACCGAGCGGTATCCCTTGGGGATCAAGCCGCTAACCGAGCGGCCGGCGTCTTTGCTGAGCAGCTTCGAATCGAGGATTGGTTCGCCTTTGACGATCAGTGTCCGCGAGCGGCGGTCTTCGACGTCGTCGAGGCTGAGCACGGCGCCTTCAGGCACCAACTCGACGGGCCATTCTTCCAGCCGAACATTCTGGGGGGTCAGCTCTCCACGAAGCCCGATGTCTGCCATCGCCACCAGAATCGACTTGGTCTCGCCCTTGGGCTCCGGTGGTTTGGCGCGATTAGTGGCCAGGACCTGATTGATTCCGATCGATGCTACCAGGCCGCAGCCCAGTGCAAGCAACAACAAAACGATTGACTTCGGTCGCATCAAATCCCCTCCCGGGGTTTCAAGTTAGGCGAGAATTCGGCGTCGCGCTTGGCTCGAACTCAGCCTGCAGATTTACTGTGCACTCTCACGGCGCATTACGGTACTGGCCTGCAGAGTTTCTCCCCCGATGAACAACGGCGTGGGAAGCCAGCTAACTTGATCGAAAGGTACGCTGACCGTAACAGTCACAGGTTCCCCAAAACCGGCGGAATTAGGCGGACTAGGATCGACCGTTACGTTCGCCCCACTCACCGAGGCCCCCGCAAGGTAATCGTTTACCGAAGTTTGCACGTCGGAGGTGGTGGTTCCGTCGAGAACTCCCAAACGAGCCCCTTCGCGGGAAGCGTTGGTAATAATCTGCTGTACCATCACCATTCGTCCGTATTCGATCATGCCGAACACCAACAAAAACAAAATCGGGGAGACGATGGCAAATTCGACCAACGCCGCCCCGCGTCTTTGCTTCCGGCACAACCGGAACATCTTATTCATCTTCGATAGAGTTCCCACGCCGGGGGATCCGCATTCGGTTTGTGTTTCGTCTGCTGCGGGGGAACCCGAAGTTGTTAGAGATTTTTGGACTGGTTTCATAGCAACATCCCCTCCCAGGCAAAGTAAGCAATCGTTCCGATGGCAATGGGGATTCCATAAGGCAACAGCAGCATCGAGCTTTTCCGCTCGGCGGCGATTACCGATAGCTGATTGGGATCTCGAATCGTCATCACTTCATTCAAGATGACCATGAACTGTGTCTTGTGCTTGTCCCAGGCACGACGATAGAGCACCATGCCCACGGCGATCACGGCACCAACGACGGCCGAAACACAGAAGGCGTAGAACGTGACCGAGCCCCACATCCAGGCACCCACACCGGCCAGGAGTTTCACATCGCCCGCACCCATGCCACCGATGGCGTAGGCTGGCAGCAACAGTGCGAGGCCAATCACCGTGCCCAACAGGCTGTAACCGAGCCCTTCCCAACCGAAGGCCACACCGCTGTAGACCCAACCCCCGATGACCATCGGGAAGGTGATCCAGTTGGGAACCTTAAGTTGAATGCCGTCGATAACGGCCGCGATGATCAAGGTGGCGGTAACCAACCAGACGGGCCAGTTCTCGATCAGGCTGTCGGCTACTTGCGATGGGTCGAACATGGGTGTTTCCTTTCAAGCCGGGAGTGGCCCGACGGCCACGTACCGCTTCTGTCGGTGTGATCTGAATTTGCAAGTGCGTGCTACGCACCCCGCATAGCAAATAGATAGCTCACAAACACGGTGATTACCGAAAGACCGTAGCAAACAAATTGCACAATGGCCTGAGGGCTCTCACCCCACAACAGGGGCATCATGGCACCAATCTCCCAATGGCAGTCTTGTACGAATCGAACAACCATGCAGGACTAGTTTGGCCCTACACAGAAAAGACCCCTTGAGGCCAACAACGGGCCCCAAGGGGTTGTGAACTCTTCTCCGAAGATGCGAGCCGCGATCGGCACCCGAGGGCGTCGACCGCAAGCTCGCAAGCATGCTTTACGGAGCGATGGAGTCTGCAACGTTTTGGAACGTGGTGTTGGCGTTCGTTCCGATCGAGCTAATCGCTGTCAAGCAGACGATCACGATCAGAGCCAACATCACCGCATACTCAACGGCGGTTGGGCCATCTTCCGATGCGAGGAAACGTTGCACTTTCTTGGCGAGCAATTTCATGTTTCTTCTCCCCGATTCGACTGGCCGTCCCGACCGTGTACGTAACTTGGTCGCGAAAATAGGACGAGCCAACCCTTCTATTGCGCCCCCTGTCGTCAGCGGCCTGAGTGCTGACGTAGGAAAGCCTAAGTTAAAAAATTGTCGTGCGCCTTCGAATTCGAATCGCGATTTCGATTGCAGATCAAAAGTTCGCCCTGTCAAATCTGGCAGGACCGTACAATCGTGATCGCTGTCCGTACTCTAGGGCAGACAGGCCAAAACTCTGGCGAGACAAGTGAAGATTCGCGTCTGAGCGACACTACCTCTTCAAGACGAGTGCCTCGCAAAGAAGAAACCCGAGGGTCTCTTCATCAAGGAGTTGCTCTCGCGACTGCCTTGACATTGAAAACATAGGTCAGGTTTGTTCGCTGTCAAACTTCGAGGCTTAAGAGTTTCTGAGAAAATGTGACAATCTTGAGGGCTCACCTTGCGCCTCATAGCGATCATTACACTCGTCCCTGTTGAATCGAGTATTTGTCGCGAACGACTGTCGCAATCCTCTCAATTAGGATGCCTCTGTCGGCCTATTCTGGAATGTGGGCTTTTCGTTTGAGGGCCAACTCGGCCAACAACGGATATCCGGCCGCGTCGAGCAATACTGACTCACCAAACGGACGTTCCTTCTGCAATAAGCGTGCGCGAAGGTTTTCAAGCGATGGCTGTCCCACGAATTCGACAAAGCAAATGTGCGATTCGTCGTCCCGATCGATTAACGCGGCCAGCTCATCTTGGTCTCCCCACTGCTCGACATCGATGCCGTCGACGCCCATCGATAGATATTGGAGCGGCCAGTACGTCCACCATTCGCTGGTGGCCAGCGTAACGCTCTCGGCAGTTCCGGACGCATTTGCGGAGAACTTCCGAATCAGCGTCTGCTTTGGTTCTTCACGCGCCGTGCGAAAAGCCCGGTGCGACTGTCCGCCGGTAGCCGTGAATGGTTGTAAATAGAGGACATAGAAGCTCACAAGAAAGCAGGCCGCGACGGTGGCCAACGCTCCGTTCAGCAATGGCTTCCGCACGTAGGTATTGGCAATCAGCCGACTCAGCCCCAGGGAGATTACCACCACGGTTGGGGCGATCAGGCAGATGCCGTAACGCTCGAAATGCGGAGCCAATGCGCCCGGGCCGGCAACCAGATAAAAGCCCACTGCTGTGAAGAGCCATCCGCCCAGGAGGCCCTGCACCAAAGCTTTTCTCTCGAGTGGCTGTGTGCACCATCCGAGAATCGACAGGCCGATGACGCCCCAGGTGGCGAGGGTTAGCAGACCCACGCTCAGCGCCGACCAACTCCACGCTTCTTCCGCGATCAACGAGCCGGGGATGTATTGGTAGGTGGTCACGCCGGAGAGTAAGTCGACGTATCGCCCGAGGAATTGTCCGAATTCGCGGGGGGAAATGATCCTTGTCGACGCCAGTGCAACCCAGTGGCGGAGTAGAAAAAGCACAGCCCCGCTGACGACTATCACCGCCCCGTAGACTAAAAATTTCAAACTGGTGGAATTAACGCGTTTGTACAACTTGAACAGTTGGGCCCGATACAGAATCGCGCAGGGTACAACAACCGCTGGGAGTAAGAACACATTGGTGGGATGCACGAGGACGGCTGCAAAGAAGCACAATGTGCCGGCGAAGAACCACCGCCCCGCTCTCTCCGGAGTTTGCAGTGCCACGAGTGGGCAATAAACCACCGGCAAAGTGAAAAGCAGCGATTGGCTCGCATCCCACCCGAAGCGGCTGTACGCCAGATTGATTGGGAGCACGGCCAATACGATGGTCGAAATAGTAGCCATCTTCAGCCCGAAAGCGCGACGAGCCAGAGAGAAGTTCACGAGCAGGCCCATCAGGCCACTGGCAGCCGCCACACTTCGTAGTTGCCAGAAGCCGACTCCCCACAGGGAATGCACGCCGCTGAGCGGAAAGAAATAGAACGGGTTCATCGGGTTCCCAGTCGGCGTCCGCCAGGCGACCGTTTCTCCGCGGAGCCACGACATGACTTGCACGCCATACCAGGCTTCGTCTCCGTTCACCCCGGGCACGTGATCCAATCGCCATAACCGGAACCACACGGCGATCGCCACTAGACCTAGCCCACAAGCCCACGCGACCCATCTCCCAGTGTGCGACGCGTTTGAGCTCTCTTGCTGCGTGGTTGTGAGGGTATTCGGCGTTTGAGGGTTTGTGGGCATGGTGCCGACGACCAACGGGATTACTAAGCGGAGTGTGGAATCTTCAAGGCTAACTTTTTTTCTCCGCTGTGGATGGTTTGCGAAAGACGATCGCCCCGGGCAGCGGACGTAAAGTGCTGCTGCGACCTAGAGTTGTATGCGGCTTGAACTTGCGATGGTTTCCGGACGACAGTCCCGCCGGAGGTCAACGTACGCCGCAGACGTGAGATGCGACGTCAGGTCGTGTCTTTCAGCAACTCACCTCTGCGCCTGTTGTTGCGTCCATGCTCTATCCGGCGAAGCCAGACTCGAACGTCGAACGACGCGCGACCATCGTGGTTACGCTTCTATGCGCGGGGATTCTTTATGCCGTGATGTGGCTGCCGGCAATCTTGGGGCACGTCTACACGGCCGATGATTTGGGGGCGTTCCATCTTCCGCTGCGGCACTTCTATGCAACGTGTCTTGCCGCAGGCGAGTCTTTCGCGTGGTGGCCGAACCTCTTTGGTGGGTTCTACGCCTTGGGCGAAGGACAAGCCGGGATGTACCACCCCTGGCACTTGCTGCTGTATCGGGTGTTTCCGCTGAACGTCGCTTGGAACCTCGAACTACTGACGAACTACCCCCTGCTCTTCGCCGGAACTTATTTCTTCCTGCGGCAACAGATCCAACGTACCGATGCGGCGCTGGCTGGTGCGGCCTTGCTGACCTTCTCTGGGTTCACCCTGCTGCACTTCATGCACGTGAATGCGATCTCGGTTGTTGCTCATTTGCCTTGGCTGTTGCTGGCCATCGATTGGGCAATGACGGCTCAGACCGCCAAGCATGTTCGTCTTGCCCTGTTGGCCATTGCACTTCTGACGGGTTCACAACTGTTGTTGGGCTATCCGCAATATGTGTGGATGTCTTGGCTGATTGAGGGTGGATATGTTTTCACGCTTTTAGCGAGAAATAAAACTGCGATGCGTCGTCTGCCCGCGTTGGCTTTCGCCGTGTTGATTGGTGTGGGCATTGGTGCAATTCAGCTTTGGCCCACGTACGAGTCGCTTTCGCTATCGGCGCGATCAAACGTTGATTCGACGTTCTCAACTTCCGGGTCGCTCCACCCCAGCAATGTGGTGCAGTTGGTCGCTCCATACCTGTTTGTCGATCGGGTGATCGGCCGTAATACGCACGAGTTGGGTTTGTACTGTGGGAGTGCCACGCTACTGCTGGTGGTGTGGCTTCTCGCCTCGCGAAGTGGGTTAGGAAACCTGAAGTGGCTTGTGGGATTTGCCGCAGGGCTTGTCGTCGCCGGGCTGTGGCTGGCCATCGGGCAGTACTCTTCGCTGTATCCACTACTGGCGAAACTACCGGTCATCGGGAGTTTCCGATTTCCTACACGTTACTTGTTGCTTGTTTATCTAGGCATGTCGCTGCTGGCCGCCGTGGCGATTGTGCAACTCTCGCGGCGAGAGGTTGCGAATCCTGCTAATCGACGGCAGGCCATCATCGCGGTGTGGTGTACCGTTGTGGTGAGTGCTCTACTCGCTGCAGTGGCCCCGGTGCTTTGGCCGTCCGAATACCTGGCAACCGTTGTTGTTCGATGGGTCGGGCCCGTGCTGTTGTTGGTTTCCGCAGCGGCAATCACGCTGGCCACGCTTGGATATCGAGTCGCACTGCCTGCGCTGGTTGTGTTGGCATTGGTCGATCAGGGCGTTTACGGCTTGTCGTATGCCGTCCTGCCGCACACGAAATCGTTCGACTCTTGGCACGAAAGTAATTCCCTGGCATCCATCGCCGGCGGTAATCGTGTGGCCCTGGACTTGGTTGGGGCTAAACGTGATGGCCCCTTCACCGGGAACGAAGCCACCGCCAGTGGCGTTTACCGCATCGACGGGTACGCCGGGCTGATTCCACAAAGTCAGCTCGATTACCGTCAGCTCAACGCTTTGCGTCTCGCCGGGGTGCGATGGGTCCATGACCGGGCGGCGGACAAGGTGGTTGGCTCGCTGGGAACTGTCCGTGGTGAATGGCATGCGGTTCCCAACACGATGTCACGCGTGCGCTGTGTGACGGAAGTGGTTGCCACCGACAACCCTGGAGCATCACTCGAGGACATCAACCTTGAAACCACGGCCGTGGTCGATGAAGGCACCACGCTCGAATTCGACACACAGCCACCCGGCACTGCCATGCTTGTGGACGACCGGCCGGGGCAACTTGGCGTGCGAACCACCACTCCCTCGCGACAACTTCTGGTCACCACCGAACGCTTCCATCCCGGTTGGCAGGCTTCCATTGCTGGTGAGCCGGTCGAGGCCATTCCTGTGAACGGCGACTTCCTGGGGTGTGTGGTTCCTACAGGCACGCATGATGTGACGTTTCACTTCAACGCCGCCAGCCATCGCTATGGGGCGGTGGTCTCTACGTTCTCGCTGCTAATCGCTTTTGGCGCTTTCTTATTCGTTCCCTCGAAACTTTTTCTCGCTCACCCGGCCCAACAAGAAGCACGGCCGGTCATTCAACACGACTCTCAACTCATCGAAACGCAACAGAAGGTCCTGTCATGACAACCGATCAATTCACAGCACCAACGTCACGACGAACACACCGCCCTTTGATCAGCATTGTGCTGCCGGTCTACAACGAGCGGAGTGTGCTTGAAACGCTGCACGTCTCGATCCTGAGAGCCGTTGAAGGCTACAACATGGACTACGAGATGATCTTCGTTGACGATGGCTCGTCGGACGGGAGTAGCGAAGTTCTCGATCGAATGGCTGGTAAGGACCCTCACGTTCGCGTTGTGCATTTCGCCCGCAACTTCGGACACCAGGCGGCCGTGCAAGCCGGGCTGGAACACGCCCGAGGCGATGCTGTGGTGTTGATGGATTCCGACATGCAGGACGCGCCGGAAGCCATCCCGCGGTTCGTGGATCAGTGGCGCGAAGGTTACGACGTGGTCTACGCCATCCGTGCCGACCGCAAAGAAAGTCGATTGAAACGGATGGCCTTCGCCGCGTTCTATCGAACGCTCTCGAGAATTGCCTCGACGCCCATTCCACAAGACGCCGGCAACTTCGGGCTGGTCGATCGACGCGTGGCCCGGCAGATTGCGGAGTTGCAAGAACGGGACCGCTACTTCCCAGGCCTGCGAAGTTGGGTGGGCTACCGGCAAATCGGTATCGTTGTGGAACGTGCGGCCCGTTATGACGGCCAACCGCGGGTGTCGTTCTGGGGGCTGTGCCGGTTGGCGAAGACGGCGATCTTCTCCTTCTCGTCGTTCCCGCTGTCGGTGTTTGGAGTGATTGGGATGCTTGCGCTGGGAATCTTCACCGCGCTGGCCAGCTTCTCACTTTTCTGCAAGCTGTTTACCAACCTGGCCATCCCCGGATGGACATCGCACATTCTGAGCGCCAGCTTTTTCGGAGCGTTGAACGCCCTGGGGATCAGCATTCTGGGCGAGTATGTAATCCGCATCTACGACCAAGTGCGAGGGCGACCGATCTTTGTGGTCGACAGCACGCGCAATGTCGAAGATGAAACCGCCGCTCCGGCGGCGATTCGTCGGGCCGACCTGCATGAAGAGTTGGACGCCCTGCACGAGATTCAACGTCTCAATGCAGAACTGGAGGCGATGCGTTCGCAGTTACTGAACCGAGATGAAACTGCAGAGGCAGAATCGCAGGTTGTCGAGCAGGTGTAGGTGTCTGCCGGAGGGCTAGCTAGACTGCTGAGCGGGTGAGTACCCAGTCGTTGACAGTCGGCTGGCCTGCCAGAGTTCACCGATGGCCCTGGGGGCAAGTGCCACGCCGAAGCACAGCAGCGGGGCGATCAGCGAACCCCAGTACTGGTTGAACGGCTGCCCAACGATTGCGAATGCAATCAAGTATCCGCAAACAGCCAACGTCATTCGCGTACCACCGGGTGATCGCCACGAGGCGAAGCCGAGCACGGCTAGCGGCAGGTAGATGGCGGTAACCCACTGCGGCAAGAGCAACAGGTAGCCGTTCATCTGCGCGGTGGAAAGTAAGAACGGCCACCCGCCGAATCGCACCCAGCTCTTTTCATGGGCCACGGCGTCATCGTGCATCAACTCATGTACCGTCGCCATATGCAGCGAGTACAGAGACGCGAGCGCGACAAACGCGACGGCCCAAATGGCAACCTCACGCCAGCGACGGTTCCACAGCGCGATAGCTGCACAGAGCAGTGCGTAGGGGAGTGCCAGTTCGCGAAACAAGACGGCCAGCAAGCCGGCGGATACTCCGACTCGAGCGTTTCCCCGAGCGTATCCGCAAGCTGAGAGGGCGATGAACACCCCGCTCCACAGCACGGGCATGACATAGAGATTACCGACCACGCACAACAGCAACACGCCGGTTAGCATCAGCCCGCCGATGATCGCCTCGCGGAGCCCGAACTCGTCTGCCAGCGTGCCGAATCCCCACATCAGGACCGAGATGGCCAGTAAGGCAAGCAGTGCCTGACCCAGCCTCGGGTCGGGCAGACGCCCCAGCAGCCACATCGGCAGTGGGGTGCGCCAGTTGAAGACCGATCGGGTTGGATAACCGCGCAATGGAAGTTCATCGGCCACGGCCGAATAGTATGCGTCGCCGGCATGCACGCGGGAGACGATAGCGTTGTAGAGCGCCACATCCCCTGCCCCGCGGCGTTGACCGTCGGCATTGCCGCTTCTAAGTGGAGAGAGGCTCACCGCCACCGAGGCGACCACAACCAGCAGGGTCAGTAGGAGCACTGCTCGCGCCTGAAGTGGTTTCAAATCGGCAAAGCCGTTCGTCGGGGACGAGGACGACACAGTAAACTCCGCAATCGAGGGTGGCCGAGACTTGCCACGCAGCATGCATGGCACATGCCAAGCGTAGCTCAGCCACCTCGGGCATCGCGGGAGTTCTCTACGTCTCGCGGGAGGATTGTGCGGATCGTGCGGGTCGTCAGCCCACTTGCGGCTCGGGGCCTTCGCCCGCTCCGAGCACCGCTTCTTCGGCCATCGCCTCTCGCGCGGTGGCATCGACCTTGTCGCGGAAGCCGAACCAGAAGAAGAGCAGCGTGATGCCGGCCCCGACGCCGGGCCAGTACCAAATCTGGGGCCAGTCGTTATTGCGGGCATGTTGCCATTCGGCGGGGGTGACGTAGCCGGTACCGGAAGCGTCTGCAATTTCGAAGGCTTTCACCAGCGAGTCGCGAGGGTAGGTGATCGCTCCGTTTTCGGTTTCGACAGTGAAGGTTTCGGGAAGTTGATCGACGTTGAACTTGCCTTCGTCGTTAAGGTCCACGTGGGCCGCGAGTCCGGTGTCGGTTCCGGCGGCCCAGGCCGGCAGCGGCATTTGCTCGGCGCCTTCGGCACTTTCAACGGCCACGGTGGGTGGCGAGAAGTGGTCCATCGTGTAGCCGGCGACCTTGGCACCTACGAACATACCAAGCCCCAGCGTGATAAACGCGATGAAACTTTGTGCGCTGGCCCGTTGTGAAATGTCGGCCTTCTTGTCGACGTAGATCTGGCTGGCCACGAAGAAGAAGTCGTAGCAGATACCGTGCAGCAGGATACCGGCGAAGATTAACGGCAGCGACAACGAGGCGAACAGGAAGTAACGCACAACCCAGGCCAGCATGCCCAGGGCCAGCATCTTCTTCACGCCCAGTCGCATGATGAAGATTGGCATGGCGGCCATGAAGATTACTTCTGACATCTGGCCGAAGGTTTGCAGGAACGTCGGGTTCCAGGCATCGATTTGCACGAGGAAGATGTTAGCCAGGCTGTAGTAGAAGGCTAGCGGGATGCAGATTAGGAACGAGGCCAGCACGAACACAAGGAACGAAGGGTCGGCCAGCAGCGTGACCATCGAGCTGCGACCTTCGAGCGGTTCGGCTGATTTGCCTTTCGGCGGTGTGTGCGGAAGGACGAAACAGAATGCCCCCAGGGCGAAACTCGTGATGGCTGCCAGATACAGCGGTTGGTTGCTAATCCCGTCGAGCAGAAAACCCACCACGGCCCCGGCGACGATCCAGCCGATGGTGCCGAAGACGCGAATCAGCGGGAATTCTTGTTCCGGGTCGCCAATGTTTTCGAAACTGATCGAATTGCTGAGGGCCAACGTCGGCATGAAGCAGACGGCGTAGGCCACCATCACACCGAAGAGAACCGAGAACTCAGGGCTCATCGCGGCGTACAGCAGCAGCCCACCACCAAGCAGATGCAGAAAGCCCAGTAGTTTCTCGGTGGCCAGCAGGCGGTCGGCCACATAGCCCATGAACAGTGGGGAGAGCATTGCTCCGATGGCGGTTGATGAATAGACCCAACCGATCTGATCACCGGTGAAACCTAAGGTGGCCCCCATGTAGCCGCCGAGTGCCACGCCCCACGCTCCCCAGACGAAATACTGGAGGAACATCATCACACATAGCCGAGCGCGGACGGACAGCATCGCAAACTCCCTGTAGACAAACTCAAAGCCGACAATCGCCAGGCGGGACCCTATCGAGGGCGATCTAATTCCCGGCTACCAGAAGGGCACATTCTAAAGTGGCGCAGCGAAGGAAGAAAGTCGCTAAGGGCGATTCACTGAGGGCGCGTTCGGAAGCGAGTAATCACGCCCAACAACACCATAATAAGTGTTGCGACCGTTTAGTGGGTCAATTTCTACGCGTCCCAATCCGTCGCCAGAATTAGGCGTTTGTACTGGCCAGGGCGTCGTCTCCAACCCACAGTCCATGGAAGCCGAAGGGAATCCGAGCGGGAATCAGCACTCGGGCCACTGGCGGACCGGCCATATCTCGGGCATCTACGATAACTAGCTCGCTGCGATTCTCTGCCTGATCGTAGATGTAGGTGAGCAGCCATCCGTCGTCTTCCGAGGTACTACCGGGCTGGGACACGAAAACACCCTCACCTCCGTCGCGGCCCGGGCCATGGGCGTGAATTTCGCGGGTGCCTTTTGTCAGGTCGTACTTCACCAGCCCGCTCTCTTCGGTGGTCATGGCATAGCCGAACTGTGCAGACCGCCCCAAAAGATTGTCGTTGACGCGGGGGAACTCGACCGAGATATCGTCAACCGGGGTTTCGTTTACTGCACCGGAATTCAGGTCGAACTTCCAGCGGTGCATTTTTGGTGCTTCAGGCCCGCTGCCAGCGAGAGGGTCGGAGGAGTTGGACGTACCGCCGGCCAGCATGTCGGGGAATGATTCGAATCGACAGGCTTCGAGCACGACGGTTTGGCCGTCTTCGTAGGCGTTCAGCGTGTGGAAGACATAGCATGGGTCGATTTCAAACCACCGTATCGAGTCGCCATCTCCATGCCGGGGTAAGATGCCCACTCGGGCCACGAACTCGGGCTCGTACTGCATCACTGGTTGGGCACGCATAGAACGAGCGACACTCAGTGTCACAGGCAAATCCATGAAGACCGAGTAGTTCTTGGTGACCGCGAAGTCGTGCATCATGACCGACCGCGGGAGGTCAATGGCCGTTGTCTTGCTGAGCGTACCGTCGGCAGCCACGACGCTGTGTTGCAAGTAGGGCGCGACGACCTGATAGCCGAAGAAGATCATTTCGCCGGTGTCGGGATCGACCTTAGGATGCGCGGTGAACGGATGGGCCAACTGCTCGTCATAAGTGAACTTGCCGACGGTCTCTAAGGCTGGCAGTCGAATCTCATGTGGTGGTCCACCTTCCCAAAGGGCGAGCATGCGGCCGTCGTGCCAGACCAGCGCTGTGTTCGCGGCGTTCTTGAAGGGGGCTTGGCCAGCGAGGATTCGATTCATGTCTGGCGGATCGAGCAGGCCGCCCCACAGGGATTTTCCAGCGGCTCGTTCTTCTTCGAAGCCAGCCGTGCGAACATACCGGTTGCGGTAGCTTGCCTGCCCGTCGCGCAGGAGCACGCCATGCAACATCCCATCGCCATCGAACCAGTGATAGTTGCCCTTCGGCGGAAACTGGGGGTTCGGCCCGTTGCGGACAAACATGCCCTGCAAACTCTTGGGCAACTCACCAATCACTTTCAGTTGTTCAGCGGTGATCTCCTCATGCACCGGAGCATAGTTGCCCTGCAGGAAGGGATTGTCGGGCCAGGCCTGTGGCGACGTCTCACCAGGGTTTTCTTCAGCGCGGCATAGATGTTTGTGTGAGGTGAGTACATGTGCGAGGCCGGCGGCTGAAATAGTGCTTAGGAAATCGCGTCGGTTGGGGGCCATGGGGACCGCCTCATTCTAGTCGTGAGCCATGAGTTACATGGACATTTTGCACCCGCCTGATTGTACCAGCTCGTTCACATGACTTGCCATCAAACCGACTAGGGAAATCCGAGAGCGTTGCAAGCTAGTCGAAAGAGAAACTTGCCGACACGTTGGTCACGTCGAGCTTGAACACCACCACCTCATCGAGCTTGCGATGCCGAATATACCAGACGACCCAGAAGAGAAGCGATGCGACGGCAATCACGATGAACATGGTCCTCAGGTCGAATTGAATGATAGGCTCTGAGGGCGGGGGATAGCGTCTTCTTAACCAGGGAGACCAGATCCAGCAGATCGCATACGTTAATAACCCCTGCATGACTCCAGCGATGAGAATATTTCGCCAAGCGACATAATAGTTCTCTTCACCCAGCACTTCGCGAGATGGAGGATAGCCACCAAATAGAATTATAGTCGAATACAGCGCCACCCCTCCGAGTGAATAGAGCACGATTAGAATGAGATGCCGTGTAAGAATCTTGATCCTGTCGCGTCGTTGTCCAGAGTCTGCTCCTATTGGGGCTTCGTCGAGTTCGTCAATCATCAGATCGACCCGCCAAGAGACATGAGTGTGATAGCCGCTCTTGCGATTGAAACTCACTAGATTCAACCTGAGGGCAGTGGACTTTGCATTTGCTGCGTCATTGACCTAAGAAGTAAAGCCTTCGATGTGGATTGAAGCTGCCGCTTGATTGCCTTGAATATCGTCAGCACAAACTTTACCGCCCCAAGGAGAAGAGTCCTATAAAACATCTCCATCGGAATCAGTCTACTCAGACTTGGATGAAACGTGCTAACAAAACCAATCCCCGTGACGCTTGAGCCATTCCACGAATGCTTCGCCGTAGATGAGTCCAAGCGAGCCGCAGAGTACGGCCCCGATCAGGATCGTATCACCAGAGAAGAGACTCCAGTCGTCGGGCAATACCCACATGCACATCCCCAGGCCGGCGAACGCGCCGATCAATCCGCCGAGGATGCCTCCCTGCAGACCGCTTGAATAGTGCATGAATTCCCCCTTGCAGAAGTTTGGTGAAGGTGACTTCTTTGGGTGATTCGGCGCAAGTCCGTCGATATTGGCCGCGCATGGGCTTGGGACGGATTTTGAGCTGCATTAAATCGGCTGCCAAAGGGTGGGGATGGTTCGGAATTGTCGATTCTGCTCGCTTCGCATCTAGCTCGGGCTCGCGTTCGCCGCGGGCGAATAACCTATGTTTGCCTTAGTCGACCTTGCTTATGACGCTTGCCAGGCAGGACGTTGTGCTTGGCTTGCATTCTCATTGAATCAACAGATTGAACCAGGGGACATCGCACATGTTTGATCCAGAACTCACTTCGCGCCGGGAATTCGTACAACGCGTTGGGCTGGCGGCCGGAGCGGTTGGGCTTGGTTCCTTTAGTTCGCTGAGGGCAGAAGACACGCCGGCACCGATGTCGCCGGATGAGATTCTTCAGAGCTTGATTGATGGGAACGAGCGATTCGCCTCTGGTAAGACACACCTGACGCCGCGCACGCCTGCCGACTTTGCTCGCGATGTTCAAGGGCAGGCTCCGCCGGCCATTATTCTTGGTTGCGCCGACTCTCGCGTTCCGCCGGAGATGGTCTTCGATCAACCGATCGGTGGGCTGTTTGTGCTGCGAGTGGCCGGCAACATCGTCGGCTCTGGCCCTATTCTGCTGGGAAGCATGGAATTCGCCGTCGCTGAACTCGGGGCACGCCTGATCGTGGTGATGGGACACAGCAGTTGCGGTGCCTGCCAGGCGGCGATCGATCACATCGAGAACCACGACCAACTGCCTGGCGCGATTGAAGGCATGGTCGACTACATCCGTCCCGTGGTTCGTCAAGTGCGCGACCTGCCCGGCAACAAGTTGTTGAATGTCACCAAGCAGAACGCAATCGACAACGCCAAGCGGCTGGAAACGCTCGGCCCGATCCTGCCCAGCTTCGTCAAAACCGGCGAGCTGAAGATGGTCGGAGCCTTCTACGACATGTCAACCGGTCGGGTTGAGTTCCTGACCTAGCAGGTCGACAGTTCAAATAGCTCGATGGCGAATTGCCGAGCGTTTATTCAATCCAAAAAGCTACGAAAAACCCCGCAACCTTATCTGGGACTGCGGGGTTTTTTTGTAGTGGAGGATAGGGGACTCGAACCCCTGACCTTCTGGCTGCCAGCCAGACGCTCTCCCAACTGAGCTAATCCCCCGAGGTTGGGTTTCTCGTGGGTGCGAAATCGGGTAATTTCGCAGACGCACGGGACCGACATGAAGTGTAGCTCGGCCCTGAGACCCTTGTCGGTGACGGACTTCCCTTTGTGCAGGAGACCTTGGTCTCTTGCGGAGAAGCCAGCCTAACATTTTACTAGCATTAGGCTTCCGACCGACAGCGGGTCAAATTAGCACTCGACGTGCGAGCTGTCAAGGCGTGGCTCCTCGCGTCGACCTTCCTTCTGATTCGTCATTTGTGGAACCTCCACTTTGAAAAAGATCATCGGCTACCTGCTGAGGTTCGGGCTTTCGTTCGGAGTTTTGGCGGCTCTGTTCTGGTGGTCGTCGCGCGATCCGCAGTTTGTGAAGAATCTGCACTCGCTAAGGGAGGTGGGTCTGGAGAACTGGCCCCTGCTGCTGGGCGGGTGGGCCATCATCTTTGTGGGCGTGCTCATCACGATTGTCCGCTGGTTTTTGTTGGTCCGCACGCTGGACCTTCCCTTTCGCTTTCGCGATGCCCTGAGGTTAGGATTCTTGGGCTACATGCTCAATTTCGTCTCGCCAGGAAGCGTCGGAGGTGACCTGTTCAAAGCCATCTTCATTGCCCGCGAGAATCAAGATCGCCGTCCCGAGGCCGTTGCGACCGTGGTCGTCGATCGGATTATCGGTCTGTACGGGCTGTTCATCGTCGCCACTTCGGCCATCATTCTCACCGGGCAAATAGGCGTGAGCGAACCGCCGGAGCTGCGGATTATTGTTCAAGCAACGCTTATTTGCACCGCGATCGGTGGCATCGGCATTGTGATGCTGCTGATCCCGGGTTTCACCAGTGGAGCCGTCTCCGAAATGCTGGGCGATATCCCACGAATCGGCCCGGTGATCGAACGGCTGATTGGGGCCATTCGCATGTATCGCCGGAATGTGCCCATCCTGCTAATCAGCTTGGTGATGAGCATGGCCGTGCACAGTTGTGCCACGATCGGCTGTTACTTGATGTCGATTGCTTTGCCCGGCAAGATGCCGACCTTGCAGCAGGACTTTCTCATTGTGCCCTTGGTGATGGTGGCCGGCGCGGTTCCGCTGATGCCAGCGGGCATGGGTGCCGTGGAAGCGGCGTTCGAATTTCTGTTCCTTAAGCTCGGAGACGGCGTGGCTCCTGGGCAAGGTTTGCTCGTGGGTGTGGCCTACCGGGTGGCGACCATCATCAATGCCGGCGTGGGGGCCGTCATTTTCTTCAGCAGCCGGAAGGAAATGGTCGAAATGATGCACGAAGCGGAAGCCGCCGCTGAAGAAGAAGGGCCCCCTCCACAACACACGATTCCGATGGACGAACATGGTACTGACGAATCGCCCAGCCCAACTTCTCCCACATCTTCGTCGCAGTAGAAACTGAAGCTCAGTCGAGCAGCGGCATCGCGGGGTTGTCTTCGTGCGGAACTCCGTCGACATAAACCTCACCACCATCGCTCACGATTGGTGGGGCCGTATTGCTCAGCAGTCGGGAATCTAAAATTACTGCCATAGCCGGGCCTTCGCAGAAGAGCTGGGCGGCACCATTATCGCCGACTAGGCAGCGGTTGATTTCCACTTCTGAGGCTCCGCAGACCGCGATTCCGCTGCGCCCGTTTCCGCGGGCGGTGATCTGCGAGAGCGTGGTGTTGTACACCAGATCGTGCGCGTTCACTCCGTCCAGATAGTAGCCCTGCACGATGAGATTATCGACCACCACGTCTTGTGTTTGACGCAGCGTGATTCCAACTTGCAGCCGGGCATGCGTGAGGGGGTATTCCTCCAGCATCTTACCGGGTTCGACGCGGAAGTGAATGTAGCCATCGACCAGGGACCATTGCAGAGGTTCCAACAGCGGGACAAGACCTTCGTCGGTGGGCGGCACGAATTCTAAGGGGCGATCGTTCAGGAACAGCCGTTGATAGCTCATCCGCTCGGGACGAAAGCGGTACTCGTCTTTGGCGAACGCTTCCCAGTCGTACACCGGCGTTTCGATCGAGCCGTCGAGCACGGCCCCGTTGCCCTGGATGATGAAGGGGCGAAACCCGTCGCCGGCATGTTTGTTCACCACCAGGGCGATGCTCTCGCGGTAAGGCACGCCGGTGTTGGCGATGACGATGCGGTCACCCTTTCGCGCTAGGTGGAGGGCCCGATTGATACTCTGGGTGGGTCCGTTGTAGTCACCCGTGGCCTGTGCTGTGAGCCCGTTGAAGGAGTCGTCGCCACCGGTGTTGCTAACAAACAAATCGCGGCCCGAGGCGGTTCCTAGCAGCGAGATTGTAATGATCGCTACCAGCGTTACGATTCGCATGACCTGATTCCTCCGAGGGCTCGCAATGATTCGCATTAGGTAAATCTAGCATGCCGGGAGCCCTGACTGATAAGATCCGGGCAGCAGCAGACAGGGCACCGTAGGGTTGGGGCCATTGAGGCAAGGAGACCGAGAGATGCAAAAAGTCTTCGGCACCGGACGGATCGAACTCCATCAAGGGGACATCACCCAGCAGGATGTGGATGCGATCGTCAATGCGGCCAACAGTGCCCTGGCTGGTGGAGGAGGTGTGGATGGCGCGATCCATCGCAGCGGAGGACCTTCGATCATGGATGAGACCAACGAGCGCTACCCCGAGGGTTGCCCGACCGGTTCGGCGGTGATTACCGGAGCCGGCACGTTGGCGGCACAGTATGTCATTCACGCTGTTGGGCCGGTGTGGCGGGGCGGGCAACAAGGTGAACCCGAACTGTTACGCCAAGCCTACGATCACTCGTTGCGACTGGCCGAGGAGAACGCTTGTCGGTCGATTGCTTTTCCGGCTCTGAGCGCGGGCGCGTATCGTTACCCGCTCGATCAGGCTTCACGGGTGGCACTTTCCACAGCGATCGACTTTCTTCATGACGTCGAAAACACGCTGCCGGAGACTGTGCGCTTTGTGCTATTCGACGCCGCCGTGTACGGCGCGTTTGCGGCGGCCTTGGAAGAGTTGGCCGACGGTCGCAAGTAATAGGCGTTACTTTACAACGAAGTTGACCAACCGGCCCGGTACAACAATGCGTTTGACGATGTTCTTGCCGGCAAGTTGCTCGGCGATGGAGGGCTCTTCTTGAGCCGCAGCTTCGAGCTGGTCTTTCGTGCTGTCTGCAGCAACGTTGATGCGGGCGCGAATCTTCCCGTTGATCTGAACCGGGATCTCGACCGTATCTTCCTTGATCAACGATTCGTCATATGTGGGCCAAGGCTCGTAGGCCAACGTCTTTTCATGCCCTAACAATTCCCACAGCTCTTCTGCGATGTGCGGGGCGAAGGGGGAGAGCAGCAAGACGAGGGCTTCCATTGCCCGCTTAGGACGGGGGCGTTGCTTGGTGAAGAAGTTGGTGGCCTCCATCATTTTGGCGATGGCCGTATTGAAGCCCATGGAGTCGATGTCGTTCGTGACGCCTTGGATTGTTTTGTGCAGCACGCGGTTCTGCTCGGCGTTGGGCTCGATGTCTTCGACATCGGGTGACAAGGCCATCTCTTCTGCCGAATCGTCGACGATCAACCGCCACACACGGTCGAGGAAACCTCGTACGCCGTTCACGCCGGCCATGTTCCACGGCTTGGTGGCTTCTAACGGGCCCATGAACATTTCGTAAAGTCGTAAGGCGTCGGCACCGTATTCTTTCACCACCGCGTCGGGGTTAACGACATTGCCGCGGCTCTTCGACATCTTGAAGCTGCGACTGTTCAGGCGAATCGATTGGTCGGCAGCCAACACAAAGTTCTCGCCCTTCTTCGTGGTTAAGTGGGGCTCTACGGAGACGGCCTGCACCTTTTGGCCGGACTTCTTCAATACCGGTTCGTTGCTGGCGTCGTCGATCTTCACTTCAGAGGCGCTGACCCAGGACCCTTCGTCGTTCTGGTAGCCGGTCATTTCGATTTCGCCCAGAATCATGCCCTGGTTGATGAGCCGCTGAAAAGGCTCGGGCTTGGTGATGATCCCGCGATCGTGCAGCACCTTGTGCCAGAAGCGGGCGTAAAGCAGGTGCAACACTGCATGTTCGGCCCCGCCGATGTAGAGATCGACCGGCATCCAAGCCTTCTCGACCTCAGGGTCGATGAGTTGCTGGTCATTCTTGGGATCGAGGTATCGCAGATAGTACCAGCAGGAACCGGCCCATTGCGGCATGGTGTTCGTTTCCCGCATGTACCGCTTACCGTTGATGGTTGGGTAAAGCCATTCCTCGGGGGCTTCGGCCCAAGGGGGCTCGGGGCGGCCGTGCGGTTTGAACTCGGTCATCTCGGGCAAACGCACCGGGAGTTGTTCTTCGGGGACCGGCACCAACTTGCCGGTTGGTTTTCCTTCCTTGTCCAACTCGTGGAGAATCGGGAACGGCTCGCCCCAAAAATGTTGCCGGCTGAAGAGCCAGTCGCGAAGTTTGTAGTTCACGGCCTCGCGGCCCACGCCCTGTGTGGCGAGATCGGCGGCGATCTTCTGTTTGAACTCTGCCGTGGGTGTTCCGTCGTACTGCGCGGAGTTGATTGCGATTCCGTTGCCCGGGAAGGGTTGCTTTCCAGCCAGCACGGCATCGCGATCGACCGAGTCTTCGTCTCCAGGGTCAACCACGGCGGTGATCGGCACGTTAAACGCTTCGGCAAACTCAAAGTCGCGGGTGTCGTGCGCGGGCACGGCCATGATGGCCCCTGTGCCGTAGCCCATCAGCACATAGTCGGCGATCCAAATCGGAATTGGATTTCCGTTCACCGGGTTGATGGCATGCGAACCGGTGAACACGCCTGTTTTTTCCTTGGCCAACTCGGTTCGGTCCAAGTCGCTTTTGGTACCCGCCTTCTGACAGTACTCCTCGACGGCCTTTTTCTGCTCGGCGGTGGTTAAGCGTTCGACCGCGGGGTGTTCGGGGGCGATGACCATGTAGGTGGCACCGAACAACGTATCGGGCCGGGTGGTGTACACGCGGAGGACATCGTCGGCGGGCTTGCGAGGGAAACCGGTCTTCGCTCGATTCTGCTTCCATTGCTCAAGTGCCTGAGTGGCCTCAGCGTCGCCGTGCATGGCCGGGAGGAAGAAGTCGACTTCGGCTCCCGTGCTGCGGCCAATCCAGTTCCGCTGAAGGAGCTTGATGCTGTTGGGCCAATCAAGGGTGTCGAGGTCGTTCTCCAAGCGGTCGGCGTAGGCCGTGATTCGGAGCATCCATTGGCGTAACGGAATTCGCTGCACGGGATGACTACCACGTTCGCTTAAACCGCCGATGACTTCTTCATTCGCCAGCACGGTGCCGAGTGCGGGACACCAGTTGACGGGGGCCTCGATTTGATAGGCCAGGCGGTGCTCGTCTTGGTACTGCTCGATTGCTGCTTGCCCCTCAGCTTTCACTTCCGCGGGAATGGGAAGCTCGGCAATGGGGCGGCCCTTCTGCTGATCGGGGTCGAACCAGGTATCGAACAACTGGAGGAAGATCCACTGCGTCCAGCGGAAGTAATCCACATCGGTCGTGGCGAGTTCGCGGTCCCAGTCGTAGCTGAAACCCAACATCTTCAACTGACGCCGGAATGTGGAGATGTTCTTCTCGGTTGTGGTTCGCGGCGGGGTGCCTGTCTTGATGGCGTGTTGTTCGGCCGGAAGACCGAACGCATCCCAGCCCATGGGATGCATGACCGAACGCCCCCGCATCCGTCCGTAGCGGCAAACGATATCCGTGGCGGTGTAACCTTCGGGGTGGCCTACGTGCAGCCCATCGCCACTGGGGTAGGGAAACATGTCGAGCACGTAGAGTTTCTCGCCCTCGGGCATGCGCGGCGCGGCGAATGTCTTCTGTTCGTCCCAGTAACGCTGCCACTTGGGTTCCACAGTTGCCGGGTTGTAACGAGGCATAACGACTCACGCTCTTTGGGGTTAAGTACTTACCTAGAAAACACTTGTAGCGAAGGCACCGAGGCTGCGAAGAATCACGGATTTTACTGAGCCAGCGGCCGATCAGCAATCGTCCCTTGCCAGCACGTGGCCGGGAATTGGTATTGAGTTGCGGCGAGGATTTTCCTACAAGGCTCGGCTCAACCGTCTGGAGGAGCCCTGCTCCGCCGGTCGGCTTGCTCCTCTCACTTCTCATCTGATGGCTTTAATTGATCCAGACACATCTCGTCTGGCGGAGGCTCGCGATGCCGCGATTTAGCGTCACCGCTGCTTTGATTTGCGCTTGCTGCACCGCTGTGGTGCAGGCGAAAGACGTGTTCCCCTACACCGCCTATGTCACGGCCAACGACGTGTACGTGCGCAGTGGGCCGGGCGAGAACTACTATCCAACCGAAAAGCTCGATCGCGAGACGCCGGTGGAGGTTTATCGCCACGATCCAGGCGGTTGGTACGCCATTCGTCCGCCCGAGGGCAGTTTCAGCTGGGTGGCAGCCGACTATGTTGAGCCGGTGGATGGTGATTACGCTCGCATCACAGGCGATCGCGTGGCGGCTCGCGTAGGCAGCAATCTGCACGATCAACGCGACGTCATCCAGATTCAGCTCTACCGGGGCGAAGAGGTTTTGATCCTAGGTGCCAAACAATTGGGCGAAGGTGCGAGTGCCCGAACCTGGTATCAGGTGGCGGCTCCCTCGGGTGAGTTCCGTTGGATTGCCGGAAAATTTGTCGACACGCAACTCGACGACGGGCCCCCTCGCGATCTGGCGGCCTATCGCAATCGACTGGTGCCTGAGGAATCTGGCACTTACGACTACTCGCCGCGCCGTGGTGGCTCTTCACAGGAAGACTATGCCGACGATCGCTCCCGCCGGGGCGACGATGTTGCCAGCCAGAACTACGACAACACTCCCGGCTCGCGACGTGTGGCTTCGCGTGATGGTAGTTTCGCGGTCGAGCCGGAAACGCGTGACTTCGGCGAACCGGAGTTGGACTACGACCGCATGCAAAGCGATGCTCCGCGAGTCTCGCGGGGCGGGGATGATCCCGTGCGGCAGATTTCCTCTCGGCCGGTTTACGATGACCTGATTGAAGAAGTTCAGGACATCGAGATGGCTGTTTCGCTCATCGTAAGCCAAGACGTCGCTTACTGGTCGTTCGACGCCGTGCGCCCACGGGCCGAACGGGCGTTGTCGCTCGCTGAAACCGCTTTACAACGCGGGAAAGCCCGCGCTGCGTTGAACAAGATCGCCCGCTTTGAAGAGATCCAGCGTCGCAGCCAGGCAACCCAACAACTCAAGGTGAAGACCGAGGCTTGGCAGCAGCAGACCAGCCTGGAGCGTTTACCTCGTAGCGGCAGCATCGCCCAAATGTTGGGCGGTCCGCAGCGTTACGATGGCACGGGCACCCTGGCTCGCGTTACCTCGCGTCGCCCCGGGGCTCCAGCGTATGCCCTGATCGACGAACGCGGCGAAGTTCTGAGCTTCGTCACTCCTGCCCCCGGTGTGAACTTGAGTACCCACGTCGGTAAGCAAGTCGGCATCGACGGGACCATCGGCTACATGCCCGAGGTCGATACCCAACACGTTACGGCTAAGCGAATCACCGCTCTCGATGGTCCGCTGTTGCGGTAAGTTGGGTACCGACGAGGTAAAACCGGTTCTTAGAACCGAATCTCCAACGAAGCGTTTCCACCTTGCAACCAGAAGTCGGTGTCGCTGTTGCGAGGGGCCGGGCGTGCCGGGCCGACGAGCGTTCCACCGTCGATCTGGGAGATGTTCACACCGGTGTCGATCTGACCGCCGGGTCGCGCCACATTCGTCACATAGATGTAGTTGTAACCCAACGATGCTTTGACGTAGTCGTTGAGTTGTAAGCCTACTGTGACGCCCGCCTCGGGGATGACCGTGAATTCGTCGTTGGTGTAGGTGCCAATGTTGGTCGGTTGAGCCAACAAACCACCCGGGGTGACCACCGTGCTGTTGGTATCGTTGATCGACGATGCCCCGTTGATCTGAACGCGTTGGTGCATGTTACCCAAAGCCACGCGAGTCAAAAATTCGAACGACCAGCGGCAGTGACGCACTTCGAGCATCATGCCAATTTCACCACCGTGAAACTGGTTCGAGGTATCGAATTCGTCATAGCTATCGAACGTGGTCCCAGGCACATAGAAACCACCCAAGGGAGCGACTGAGTCGCTGATTCGCACCCCTTCGTCCAAGCGGAAGAAGCGGTAGCCACCTAGCAGGTTGAAACGGTAGTTCTCTTCGAACGATACATACGTTGGTTTGCGAAGCGAAACACCGGCCGATTGGGCGCGGCTGTGCGTATCTACGGTGACACTTCCTCGAAGGTCGAGCGTTTGACCGAATGCGTCGACAAAGTTGGCGAAACCCAACTCAGATGCGTCAAACTCGGCGAGCCCCACGTTGTAGAAAGGTCGGGCCAGAATCGGGTCGCCCACCGAACCGATTCCGAAATGGGTGCTCTCTTCTTCCAAAATGTAGTAGTCGCCCACCACCGCCAGGAACTGCCCTTCGACCAGCCACATGCCGAGATTGATTCGCCCGCCGATGCGAACGTCGTCATCAACCCGTTCTTCACCGAAGATCACAGAAGTGTTCGGTTGCCCCAACACGCCGGCCTGACCTTGCGGTGTACCAGCGGGACTGGTTGTGGCTAGTGCGGGTAAGTATTGTCCCTTGGTGAACCAGCCAATCGCCTGGGTGTCGAACCACACGCGACGGCATGAGTGGACAATTTCCCAGAAGCTGCCGTAGCGATAGCAGTCGGCGGCCGATCCTAAGCCACCTCCTCCACCCCCGCAGCTCGAGCAGCCATCGCCGTAGCAGTCGCTACACATTCCTGTGTCGCAACCGTCGTAGATGCCGATGCCATCGCCGCAACTGCTTCCGGTGAAAGCACTGTCGCTGACCCAGGTCGAATCCATCGCCGAAGAATCGACGATCGGGGCACTGTCATCGATGGTGATGTACTCGCCAGGCGGTTCAGAGATTGAACCGTCGGAAATGACCCTCGTCGTGGTATGGGCGGCCTTCAACAGAGACACGTCGGTGCCCTTAGCCTCCTTCACGACCGGCTCTTTGAGTACCAGCTTGCTGTCCGGTTTCACCTGCTTCTTTGCAGCAGGCTTGGCCGTTTCAGTGGATTTCTCAGGATCCTTCGCCAGGCCCTGTGCGGGAACGACGAGACCCAGGATGGCAATGAATAACAACTTCCGAATCACGGTTTTCTCCCCCCTCCGGAATAAGCCGTGCCGCGTCCCGAATGTACGGGTTCGAACGGTCGGGCACGTTGTATCGATTCGACCGTTTGATCCGGTATTTCCAGCGAAACCCAGACAGGCAGCAACCACGACCCAGAGCGCCAACTCAGCACATTCCCCTGCTGGGAGCACAAACACCCCAGAGTAAACCGGCCTTTTGGTTGTGAATTGCGGACGCAGGCGGGCTTTGTGGTAAGCAACTTCTGGCGATATTGGCACTTAGACCCCTCCTGGATGATCTGGCAGGGCTCCGTTAGGCTCGAAAGAGGAACGAATTTGGTCGGAGCTATGAATCGCCTAGCAGTGTGAGGACTCAATCGCGTGGAACTGGGAAATTGGCAATTGGATGTGGTGAGCGGGGGACGTTTGCGACTTGATGGGGGTTCGATGTTCGGCGTGGTGCCTCGCCCGTTATGGGAGAAGAAACAACCGCCCGACGAACGCAACCGCATTCAGATGGCAACCAACTGCCTGCTGCTCCGCGATGGCCAGTACACGGTGCTCATCGACACCGGCTACGGCGGAAAGATGAGTGAACGGGAGCAAGAAGTGTTCCACCTCGACCAAGGTGATCCTTTGTTGGAGAGCCTGGCCGAACTGGGTTTGTCGCCGGAAGACATCGACACGGTGGTTTTTTCCCACCTGCACTTCGACCACGCCGGCGGAGCCACGACGCGTGACAAACAGGGCAACTTAAAGACGACGTTTCCTAACGCGCGATACGTGGCGCAGCGGGTCGAGTGGGAAGCGGCGGTTGGAAATGCGCCGGAACTCAAAGGTAGTTATCCGCTGGAGAATCTGCTCCCGCTGAAGGAAGCGAACCAACTCGAGTTGATCGAAGGTGAAGCTGAGATTGTGCCGGGCCTGCGCGGATGGCCAACCCCGGGGCATACGAAGGGGCACCACTCGCCGGTTTTCAAGGCCGGAGGAGAAACCGTGGTGTACTTGGCCGATGTGTGCCCCATGCAGGCCCACTTACCGACGATGTGGTGCATGGCGTACGACGTTGATCTGCTCGAGTCTCGCCGCAGGAAACCTCAAGTGTTGGGACAACTGGCCGACGAGAATTGGCTGGTGGTATTCTGCCACGACCCGCAGATTGTTGCTGGCCGACTTAGCCGCCACGAAAAGCGGGAATTCGTCGTAAGCGACCCAATTGAGAAACTTTGAGCGGGATTGGGTGACTAGCGTTTGATCGCCTCGATCATCACCGCTGGTGGATGTTCGAGGATATCGTTCCAGAACTCGCGATCTCCTTCGGGCACCTCGGGTGAGAGACTGAGGGCGTGAAATTTCACTTCGTCGAAGCCTGCGTCGGCGAACGCAGTTTCGTGTGCTTCCGCCGGTAAGAAGTAGTTGTCGATTTCGAAGCTCGAGTCCTTTAGGTGGAACGTCCACGTGACGACGGCACCTTCACGTCCCCGGTCGTCACAGTGCACCGTGTAGCCGTATTTTGTTGCATCCATGTCGAGGAACTGATCCAAGTTTGGGTTCATGTTGAAGGTGACGAATCGTCCGCGGGAGCAAAGTCTTCTCGCGACACCGCGACACATGAGGTTCAGTTCATCGCGATCGTGGGAATAGTTCAACAGCCAGGCGGCGATCGCCACATCGTAGTCTTGCTGTGGCCCCTCTGAACGGGCGTCTTCGACTCGATACTCGATACCAAGCGGATTCTCGCTTTCCTGGGAACTCGCCAGGGTGATCATCTCTTCGGAGATATCGACACCGGTGATGCTCGCGGCTCCAAGGCTCTTCAGCCGGCGGGTGAAGAAACCCTCGCCGCAAGCCAGATCGATGACCCTTTTCCCGCTGAGGTCGCCGATGAGTGTGGTGAAGGAGTATTCCTCGACTAGGGAACGCCACGGCTGTTGTTTTGCCTCGCGGTACTGATCGGAAATCTTGTTGTAGTCGGTGGTCATGGCCAACTCCTTAAGCCCGATCGAATGCGATGCAACGCGGCTCGCTCAGCCGTCCTGCGGTGGGCCATCCAGCCCGGCGACCCATTGCCGGAATGAGGCATCTAACTCCTGCCAGGATATCCCATCAAAGGCTTCCAACACACAATCGGCTCCGGTGGGGTCTTGCGCGCGGGAAGCGTGGAAGATGCGGTAATAGTCACGAAGGACTCCCTGCTGCTGCATGTAGAGGCAGAAGTATCGAGCGTGTGCGTAGTTCACGCCTTCGTCGGTTCCACGGAAGTCATCGTCGGTGGTTAGCTCTTCGAGCGTACGCAGTCGATCGCGATCAATTGCATCGCGGAGCACCGGCAATCGCCAGTTGAGTAAGCCCTCGATGCGGGGCGGGGCATCGGTCAATCGCGCTTGTTCGTGCAGAGACGCCAGACCTTCGTTGAGCCAATCGGGAATCTTGGGAAAGTCGAAGTCGGCCAGGGCATGGGTGAGTTCATGCAGGAGCGTTCCCCCGCCGGTCGAAATGTTCATCACCAACGTGCGTTGACGCGGCTTGTAATAGCCGAAGACCGAGATACCCTCATCGCCAAACAAAGCGTGGCTGTAATGGTCGTAGCTCTCAGTTCCGTTGAATAGCAACACAACGATCGGTTCATCCGGCCGCTTATCGAAATAGTTCGCCCAGAGGGCTTGCGCGGCGGGGTCGATGGTTCGGTGGTACCAACCATCGAGTGCCTCGGTCGGAAGGTCGCCGGCAATTACAAAAGGAACTCGAACGATGTGGTTGCAGTGTGGACCCAGTCGGGCGGCAAGCTGCCTTCCGCGTCGCCGACATGCGGCGTCCAAGGTTTCATCAACGAACTCTGCCGTGAGCATGTCGCCGAAGACACCAGCATCGCTTGCCGGCCCTCGACTCAGGTCGAACACCAGTGTGTTGCTCGCAGCTACCTTGGTGCTCGTGGGTCGCACCCAGTGCGATGCTGACCATGAGCAGAGCAAGATGGGAATCGGTCCCAGCACCAGTAAGATGAGTCGCAAACTGCTCAACGGATTCGACCCACAGAATGAACAACTGACACAGTCGGTTCCTCCCTCACAACTCACAAGTCGTGGAAGGGAAACCCGACACTTCTTTTCATTCTAGGGCCTATTGTCTGCCCGTGCGATAAGCTCTCACAACCCGTTGCGGCAAGCTTCGTAAACTATGCCGGTACTGTCGATCGTACGGCCGTTCTTGTCGATGATTAGGCCGTGAATAGGCCCATGAATTGGTCGAAGAGCGAAGAAATTTTTGTCCACGCGCCCCAACCGCCGGCGATGAGCAACCCTCCGACTGAGATCCAGAGCATGGTATCCCAGAATCGCCCCGGTTTGATTCGAGGGTCGCAGCGACGATAGCGAAAGTACAACCCTGCTCCGCCGAGCATTGGCAGCAACGTCGATTGAATGAGCCCGCTGATCGCCACCAATGTGACCGGTTGCGGGAACAGAAGGAAGATTGTCAGCGAAACGATTGGAAACGCCCCACAGAAAATGCGAACCCAGCGGCGGCGGCTTTCGACGTCGGCCCCGCTGATTCTGTAAACCCGCAGGGCATCGGCCGCCATGCGAGAGTTCCCCGCGGTGGAAACGAAGAACGTGGAGTACAGCACCGCGAAAGCGCCGAGCAGGAACATCGGTGCGGCAAACTCACCAAACACGGGCACATACATGTCGGCCAGAGTGCGAATTAACGCGTCATTCGACGGGATATTTCCGGCCCGACTTAGTACGGCCGCACCCAAGATGTAAAACGCGAGGGTGGCAAAGGTGTAGATCACCATCGAGCACCAGGCGTCCCAGTGCATCACGCGCAACCAACCACGCGCGCGTTGGGCCCATTGAGGGCTTTCATCTCTGGGGCCGGTGAAACGCGCGTAGCCTTTTTCCAAGCACCAGTAGGGATAGGCCACCAATTCGCTGGCCCCCACGCCAATGATTCCGAAGGCAGCCAGTGCCGTTACGACCGCGGTATCTGAGTTCGGCGGCAGTGAAAAACTGAGACCATGACGAACGTCGGCCCAACTTGTCCTCCATGCCGGTTCCGTCTGGAGGATGCCAAGATTGGCGAAGGTGATGATCACGAAGAACACGACCAGCGTAGTGGCCACCGTTTGGATCACCGCGTAGCGCCCGTTGATTAAGAGCAACGACGTGATAACCGCGATGATGATGCACCAATAGGTATCGTCGCGATGTGGCGGTAACTCGGGACGGGGGCCGAGTTGTTCGGCTACGGTCTGTTCAGCTTCCGATCGATCGGCCCCCTGCCCACCAGCCACGACGGCGGCCGTGACGGCATCGTCGAATTCAACTTGTGCAGCGCGGACATGCAGAAAAGCGTTGTAATCGCCACTGATGGGCACAGTCATCGCCATCGATTGCCCGACGCCGCCCAGAATCCCACCGAGTTGGCCTAGCCCCACGACGAACATGACCACCCAATACCACACCAGCCAGTTCACGCGAAGCCGGGGACCGGGGACTTCATCCATGCCTTGCAGTGAAGTCTTGCCTTGAGTGAGCGCGAAACGGCCGAACTCGATCTGCACGAAGACCTTGATGACGCAGCCGATGATGACGAGCCACAACAACCAGTAACCGGCTTCGGCTCCGGTCTTGGTCGTCATGATCAGCTCGCCCGAGCCCACAATCGAGGCGGCGATGATCAAACCTGGCCCCAAGCGACGTAGAATCCCTCCCACCGTGCTCGGTGGGGTTTGAGTCATCACAACGTCGTGATGTTCCTCTTCGTTGCGTGGGGAGCTTTCCGCAGTGGTAGCCATCGCGCGCAGGCGGTCTCAGACGGGGAGCACGAGTAAATCAACCGAGAGGGAGGATTCTCGCCGCCCGAGGCGCGCGATGCAAGCAATTCTTGAAATGAGAAGCAGATTGCCGCGCAATACCGAGTGATTCGGTACGGCTACATAGCTTCGCGGTGAAAGAAGCAGGCGATGATCGCCTAGCGACGCAGACGAAGGCCACGCGGGAATGTGGAGATGGGTTCGACCATCTCGCGCGGGCCGCCTGGGAATGGAATGGTCTCGTCGTCGTCCGGAATTGGCATGTCTTCAAACGATGGATTGTCGTCTTCCGGAGTCGCTTCACGCGGAGTTCGGCTGGAAGGAGCAGGGCTGAGTTCACCCCAGACCCCGATTCCAGGATCGGCGATGACCGAGCCAACGCGTTCGTGCACCAGGCACGTCTCGCACTCACCTCCAGCGAACACTGGACCGCAGTAGTCGTACGGACTCAAACACGTGGAGCATCCGCTGCCAACCGACACCGTGGCGGCCATGATGACGACCAGTGCCCAAAGTTGTCGACGCATGATGAACCCCGCGATTGCATGAAGCCCCAAAAACCAACTCCGGCGCATTTCACCAGCCGGCACAACTATTGTCGGCCGCAAGGGTTCTCCAACCCGCAATCTTTTCCAGAAAAGTCTGCGTGATTCCCGGCAATTCGCGAATGCGGCTCAAGCCAGCTTCACGCAGCGCTACTAAAGGCCGCAACTTAACCAGCGGAGCTAGCGGAGACATCAAATGGGCCGCGTGCGAGAGACTACGATCGCACCAGCGTTTGTTGCTGTTGAGTGGACCGACGCGTGGGGAGTTTCGGCCCTCGCCACGAGGTTGCAGAAAGCTTAGGAAGATAGCCACCAAGCAAAGCGATGCCGATCGCGCCGGGGATGAAGTAGCGCAGTGCGGTAAGCATGCCGACCACCAGCATCGGAGCTGCCGGGGCAATGTCAGAGAACACGGTTACTAGGGCCGCATCGCGGGTACCAATGCCGCAGAATGAAACCGGTAGTAGCCCGGCAAAGATGGCCAAAGGCATTCTGGCAGTGGTCGTCTCCCACGGCACCGTGACGCCGGCCGCATGCAGAAACAGATGCAACTGCGTAAGGTGCAGCGTCCACAGTACGGCCGTCCAAGCAAGCAGCAGCATCCACAGACGTGCGGTGATTAAAACCGGAGAATCACCGCGCCGGACGATGCACGCCACACAGAACAATGCCGCACCACCGATGGCGATGCTCAGGCTGCTGAGCCCCACCGCACCGCAGACGACGAACAGGGCGAGGATCGCCACGTCGGTCAGCTTTTCTGCCGTGGCCCGATACATCGCGACGGCCCGCTGCTTGGGCTCGTCAACTGGCAACATGCCAGCCTTGGAGAGATCGCCCAGTTTAGCGGGTAGTACGAGGTTCAAGGCCGAAGCGGCCAAGGTCTGTCGTACTGCTTCGCCCACGCCAATCGGCGTAAGGCATGCGATCCAACCTCGCCACCGCACGGCCGAAACGAGGACCTGGGGAACGAATAACGCCAAGGCTAGTACCAGCGGCAGCCAATGCAGTTGGGTGAAGACTTGGATAACCCGACGCACATCGAACGCGATAAGCAAAGCCACGATCAGAGCACACGCGATCAAGATCTTGAAGAAGCGTCGGTTAATGATTGCGAGTCGGTGGAGGTTCATGGGAACTCGCGGACGATTTGGACTTCGCGGTCGCGGTTTAATGCTTCCACGTATTGGTCGAGCCCAAACCAGGGCGAGAGCACGGCCGGTTGATAGACCCCGGTGGCGGCCACATAGGCCGATTCGTGATCGGTGCCGAAGCTCATCCGCCGGATGCGCAGCTTCGCGTCGAGCAGCTCAATTGTGTCGGTCACGCGGAGCGAAGCAGATGGACGTTCTTCAGAACTGGCTGTGGAGAGCAGCTCGAAAGTTCGCGCCAGTCGGATCGGGCACGGTCGGCGACCGGTGATTAACCTTTGCTGCAGCAACTTGCGTACGAAGGTTCGGCACCAGCGACCCACCAGCAGCATGAACGAGCGGAGGGCAATGAACTTCAGCGGAGTCGCCGTCTCGTAATTTGTCCAACTGAGCTGACCCTGTACGGTGAGTGTCTCGACGTGCGAGGATGATTTGGTTTGTACCTCTCGCTCGATATCTTGCATCTGCGACACTGCCAGCCGTCCATCTTCGGTTTCGACGATCAGCCCGGCATCGGTCGTGACATGCTCACCCTTAGCAAAGTGCTTGAACGTGCCGCCCCGCGCGGTTGAGATGACCGTGTGCGTTGAAGGCTCACGACGGACCCAGATTCCCGCTTTTGAAAACTGCTCGATCGGCGATGCAGAGGGAGTTTCCTCACCGACCGGCACTTCCGGCTGCCAGTCGAGATAGGCTTCGATCAAGTTGCCCAATCGGTGGGCGACAAGCCGATCATCGTCGAAGCAGGCAACAGTGCCATGCTGCAAGGCCTGCAGAAAGCCGTCGGCCATGGTTGCGGCCGTAGGGTTGGTACCGGCGAGCAACTCGAAACCGTGTGGGTAGAAGTGCATCGTGCCGCGACTGCCATACGGCCCGCCGTAGCTGCCGTCTGGATGCAGGAAGGCATGGGAGAATTTTACAGCTCGCTCAAGAGCGTCGTCGAACCAGGTTGCTCCGGTCATTGCTCGGTACTTGGCCAGGCAGTCGATCGTGACCGTCTGGTAGCCGGGGTCGGCCCCGCCATACTCGTCAAACCAACCTTCGTCCGACTGCCAGGAGAGCAGCTTCGATATACGTTTCGCAGCGGCTTGTTGGAATTGAACGTCGCCTGTGATTTTGTACACACGTTCTAAGGTAAGTGCAGCCAGGGCCTGGTGGTTCGAGAGCCGCCCCGACTCATCGTTGTCGATCAGCCACTGGGCTCGCAGGCGAAACCATGCCTCGATCTGCGGATCGTCGAGCTCCAAGAGTTGATAAGCCCGCGTGGTGGCCTGGAGCGAAAACACGGCCGCCCCCAGGGCTCGTTCGAAAGGATAGTAGTCGTCGCACGAACCATCGCGATGACAACTCTTGGCGGCATATCGAATGGCGGCAATGGCCAGCTCGCGAATCGTCGGATCGCCGTACCAACGGTTGCCCGGCAACTCGTAGCGGTAAACCTGCGCGAGGGCCAGGGCTCCCTCTTGATACATCTCGGAAGGGAAATCGGCTGTGCGATAGTGCCAAAACTGCCGGTCCATGCAGCCGTAGGTTGGCCGGTAAGGATTGCGGTCGATGCAACTCAGCAACCGCGGAATCAGGGCGAGTGCCGACTGAGCGTACAGTGTTCGCTGCGATTCATCACGAAGGCGCGTGGATCGGTTCTGAGTACCAAGCGGCGAAGACTCTAGTTCATCGGCGACACGGGTCACGGTCGTTTCTCCTAGCCGTGTCAGGGTCGTCGATGATGGGCCACGATGACTTCGGCCAGCAGACCAAGAATCAGGGTCATGAAGCCGGCGGTGAGCACGACGATGTCCGATTCTTGCATCGATGCGGTAGTCTTGAAGCTCCAGCAGCTCTTGAGCACGCCAGCAAGAAGCATCGCCCCGGCCGCCGGTAGAAAGACTTTGAGCGGTCGGAAGTACAGCACGATGCGAATTACCGTGCTGAGGTAGGCCAGCGTGTCTTTCACCGGATGGAACTTGCTGCGACCGATCCGCCGGCGGTACTCCACCGGCACGTACTTCACGTAGAACCCGTTGGTTAAGAAGGCCAGCGTCATCGTCGTCACGCAACTGAAGCCATCGGGCACAACCCACAGCCAACGGAGCATCGTCTCGCGCTTGAAGGCTTTGAGCCCGGTGTTGAGATCGGGGATGGGATGACCGGTGAGATAACAAGCCAGCCGGCGGATGAACCACTTGGCCGGACCCCGCAGCCAAGGCATAGTGCCTTGCTCGGAAGTGCGGGCCCCGTTTACCTGGTCGTATTGCGGGAAGTACGCCAGCAGCTCGGGGATGGCGGTGGCTGGATACGAACCGTCGGCATCGAGCATTACCACCACGTCGCCCCGGGCTTCGCGGACACCGATCTTACGGGCGGCCCCTGCCCCGCGGTTTTCTGCGGCGCGAACCACACGCACGGGACATTGCCAGCAACTCTCGGCAAACTGCTCGGCTAACTCGGCCGTGCGATCGGTCGAACCGTCGTCGACCACTAGGATTTCATAACGCAGGTCTTCGCCGACCAGCGATTCGACGACTTCGGCCAGCACCGTCTCGATGGCCAGCTCTTCATTGTAGGCCGGCAAGAGAACCGTCAGGGCGTATGCCTGTTCTATGTTCGTCGATACCGCGGCGATCGACTCGGTTTGCCAACCATCCATGGCATGGCTCCCAGACACGGAATCAAATCCATCGTTCGCCCGGCTTATAACACACCGTGACAGCATCAACCAACCGCAGTTAGACGCTATCAGACTTTGCCAGCACGCGAAGATGACGAATCGGACTGGTGGGCTATTCTCAGCGCAGAGCAATCACACGATAGCGTCGTCGCACACCATCGATGTCTTCGTAGGTGTAATCGTGGAGGGTTTTCAGATGGCGGGTGTCTTCGACAGACTCGCGAGCGATTTGGCGATCGACGAGCTGAGCTAACCGGTTGTCGAATTGGATTCCGTGGTTCCCTAGATTCTCGGCTAACAGCACGTGTGTGAATCCGGCCTTTGTCAGCGAGTCGTCAACCCGACCTGTAGCTTCGATGAAGGGAAGGTAGTTGTTCTGGAAGGCGTAGTTCTTCTCGCGCGTCACGGGGTGATTGAAATAGAACCCCCGATAGTCGAGGCTCAGAATGTGGGCATCCGGGGGTAGCAGAAGATTCGTCAACTCAGCGGCCCGATAAGTTGGCTCACGCTTGGTGAGGTACTCCTGCCGCGTCTGCAGCCCACAGGCCACTTCGACGTGCCGCCTTGCCCGAGATAGCGGAACGATAGCCCCGACCAGGAGAAGCACCGCGACAACCGCTCTGGCGGTCCAGCGGGGAATCCTGGGCATCCGGGCAGTCTCAGCGACTAGCCACACGACGGCCGTGGCGAGTAATGGAACCATCGGCAGGAAGAAGCGCACGTTTTGCCGCAGTGCGTACCAAAGAATGCCATAGGCGGCAGAAATGAACAGCAGGGCACCGAGACCTCGCAGGCGGCGGACAAAGATCAGCCCTGGCAGGCAGGCCAGGAAGAGTCCGCCCAATTGGTGTCCTCGACCGCCGAATCGGTCGGGTTGCATCGTCACCGTCCAGGGTGAGGCAACCACGTTCAGCGGGTTCCAAGATAGCGGCGTCTTGCTTTCACCGAGAGCCTCGGGAGCCGCGTCGCCGATGTACTTGGCAAAGAACGGGTACACGGGGTTTCCGTGATAAAACGCCGCGCGAACGAACCAGGCCCCTCCGACAAGCACTGCGGTGCAAGCCACGATTGTTGCCCCGCGAGCCAGAACGGGACGTAGTCGCGGCTGCGTGATGGCTTGCCAGAGAACTTGCACGGCAACAGCGAGCGCGAACAAGAACGCCACGTACTTGGTGCCGGCAGCCGCGCCGAGCATGACTCCGGCCAACAGAAAGCCGAGGGCGTTATCCTGTTCGTGAACGGCTTCCCGCCAAGCGGTGAGGGCCAGCGTGGTGAGGAGAACCAGGCCCACGTCGTTTAGGGGCGCCGTCATCTGGTTGGAAATGCCCGGCACACAGAGCACGACGACTCCGACCAACCATGCCCACTGGGTTCCGAGCAGCGAGCGTGCCAGCAGAACACTTGCTCCGGCGGCCATGATACCGGCCACCCAATGCAACATCTGAGCGGCCACTGGGCCCTCGATCGCCAGCCCCCACAGGTACCACATCTCAACCGCCAACGGGAATGTGGACTTCTCGTGAAGCGGCAGGTACGCCAGGCAGTGCTGTTCGAGAAAAACTTTGGGAAGCTGCAAGTGATAGTAGAGGGCATCGCCGGCCGTCGGGGGTGCGAGTGCGGAGATGCCTGACCCCACAATTACGGCCCCCGCGAGCAGTACCAATGCGATGTTCCAACTCGAGGCCCTGAACTTTGAAGCACGTGGTTCTCCCAAGTCGGAGCCGTCGAATACGACGCCGTGTCGCGCAGCCTGCAGCGCGGAAATGATTTCGCCGAGGCCGACGAAACAGGTGGTCATCGTCAGCACGCCGATCAGAGGACGATAGAGCAGCACCAGAAACCCGAGGAACATGATCGCAAACGACCACGCGACCAGCCCGAGTGAGATACTCCATACCGCAATCGCGAAACGGTCGTGTCGCCCAAACTCAAACCACCGCAGTAAGGGGCGACCAACGCCGAAGGCGGCCAGGACCATCGCCCCGGTTGCCAGACAGGAGAGCAATGTATCGAACATGGAGTTCACCACCAGTGTGCCATGTGCAATGTGTAGCAGATCACGACGACCACCATCCACACGGAAATGAGCCAGGCCTTCCAGGCGGTGATCGGTGCAACGTGCGGTAGCTCGGGCTCGACGTTAAACAACGATGAAGCCGCGGCCCTTCGAGCACGGCTAAGCCGGCGACGAGCGGCGGTTGATTTCGAATCGTAGTCTCGAATGGGGGCAATCATCGCGAACTCCTTTTCGCGAACGATGTGTCGTTCAGATCGGCCTGCTTGGCGATTCAAATAATTCGATCAGGTGGGGTTCACCATCGATTGGCGTTTTCGAAGCGGTGAGGTTGATTCTGCTCGCAAGCAACTCTTTCACCACTTTCGCAACCCGGGCTGGAGAAATACCTCGCAGGCAAGGATGATCGCTCCAGGCGCATTCAGAGCGATGGCACGGCGAACATGCCACGCGTCTGCTCAGCACGCGAACATGATTACCCGCTGGCCGCCATTGCTCTGCGTTGTTGGTACCGCTGAACAGCACGACCGTGGGGGTCTGCATGGAAGCCGCTAAGTGGGCAGGCCCGGAGTCGGCTCCGATAAAGAGGTCTGCCTGTACCAGCAGGTAGGCCAGCTCGATGATGCCTAACTCGCCGGTCCAGTCGGCGACCACAGCAGAGTTGTGATTGGCTTTCAAGGCATCGGAGAGTGGTTGCTCTTCGCGGGTTCCGACAAGAATCAGTGTTGAGCGGCCATCTAGCGTGAGTCGTTCGACCAAGCTTCGCCAATGCTCAAGGGGCCATCGTTTGGCAGGGGTACCCGCTCCCAGATGCAGTACAATTCTCGCATTCTCATCCGGTGGCAAGCTCGCCAATCGGCGATTCACGTTCCGTCGCGCAATATCGTCGATATTCAAATCGTTGGCCAGGTTGCGCGACGAATCTACACCCAATCGGGTTTCAGTCTCACCGTGCAAACTCGCTAGATCTTCAAGCGGCAGGGTAGTCCACAAGGCCTCGCGAGAAGCGAACTCGGAGCGGTTTTGTAAGTATGCGGGACTGTGTGTGAGGAAGAAGCCTCCCCCTCCGCAATTCCATCCCACGCGATACCCGGCCCCTAGAATCCAAAGCAAAGCCGCTAAGGGAGCCTCACCCCGCACGTCAAAAGCGACATCGTACTGCCGCAGCCGCAAACGTAGCCCCCAACGTAGTGTGCTCAACCACCACGTCCATCGTCGTTGTCTGCAGAAGCGGTTGTTCTGTGATACGAACACCCGCGACGCATCGGACGCCGCGTCGAACAATTCAGCAGTCCACGGGCTGCACAGCACGTCGATCGCCGCACAGGGGAATCGTTCTCGCAGGCAATGTAAGGTTCGCAACGTAATGACGGCGTCGCCAAGGTGATCGAGTTGCACCAGTAGAATTCGCCGTACATCACCGGTGGCAGGGACGCGTGAACGTTTTCTTGCGAACAGCTTTTGGAATGGGAAGAAGCACAGATAGCCAACCGTGTCTAAGAGCGCAAATAAGGCGCGCCATCGCCAACGTACATAGCGATAGTGTCCCCGCTGCGAGTGAATTCTCACGCGGCGGCGGCGTTCTGGTTTGGTTTTGCTATAGCAGCTTGGCATACGCTTGCGATGTATCTCGGGCGATCGATCGCCAATTGAAGTTCTCATTTACGTGCCGCGACAGCTCGAAGCTGTTGGACTGTAGCAGTGCGGCATTCACTGCCCGGCGAATGGCTCGGGTATCGTCGGGTGGCACGTAAGTGGCCATCGTGCCGAAGTATTCTCTGGCCGAACCGCGGTCGCCCAACACCAAGGGCTTGCCCAACATGCCGGCTTCCAGTGCCACCAGCCCGGGCGTTTCGAACCAGCTCACCAAAGCCAGGCACGAACAGGCCGCGTAGGCACTTCCCAGTAATGGATCGGTCTGCTCAAAGGCATCCAGGAACAGCACATTGCTTCCCGCAGCCCGGCGGCATTCGGCGTAGTAGGCCTCTTGCCCGGGGACCACATCGCCCAACACCACCAAAGGCACGTCGCTCTCTTGCATGGCACGCAGCAGGGCGAGCTGATTCTTACGCGGCTCGATCCGACCGGGGCACAGCACGAAATCTCGAATGCCGTACCGCGAGATAAACGCCGCCGGAGTGGCCTGGGAAAACTTCTGATCGGCCCCGTTGCGAACCACCCGTAGCTTTGGCTCTTCGACCCCGAACAGTCGCTGCAACTGGTTGGCTTCCGCCTGCGAGTTGGGCAACAACAGATCGACCGCGTGGTAAAGCCGTCGCCGCCACGAAGGCAAGCTGGGACAGGCCCCGCGTGCGAAATGATTCATGCAGGCCAGAAGACGCCGCACCAGCGGACGAGCTTCTTGCCAGTAAGCCGCAGGGTCGAACCAAGTGATCGGCGAGAGCACGACCTTCACGCCGTGCCGGCTTGCCGAAGCGGCAAGCTCCACAAACTCCGGACGGCTGCCGAAGAGGTGCAACACATCGAATTGGTCGAACCCTTCTTCCCAGGGTCGCCAGGCGCGAGCCTCGATGCCTAACTCGTTGAGATACTTTTCGGTTTCTTGCTGCTGGACTTCTCCCCCACCGGGCGTGTCGCAGGCCGTGAGCTTACCGACCATTCGCACCTGCAACGGGCGAACTTCAGCTTCGCTAGTGAGGCGATCTTCCGTTGCCGCCAGCTTCCAATGCGGCCCTCCGCTGGGGCGACCAGTCGACACCGCTACGGGTGCGATCATTGTGTTCATACTCGTCTATCTCCGCGACCACCGAATTGCTCGTTTCACCCACCCACGCCAGGAGCTGGCGTCGATCTCATCGATGGGCGTCACGCGTTCCCAATCGACGTAACGTCGAATTTTGTTTCTCACCGATTCCGCTGCGTCGAGCCGAATCGGACGCGGCACGTCGCCAGCCGTGCGACGTTCGAAGATCAGCGAACCCGTATCGAACCGCACAATGCGGGCATCGAGTTGCACGACGGCCATGTGTTCGCCACGCAGCAGTTCCCCGGCAAGTCCATACCGCGCTGGACGGCGATCGGACTGCACGATCACCCTGCCCTCTTCAGACCAAACCCGCATCTCGACCTGATCGCGGGCCCGCCACCAGCGGGTGATCTCAGTGAGCGTGGCCGACCAGATCGCACTGAAACCAGACACTTCCTCCAGAATCGCTTTCAACACCTGGGGGTAGCGCCCCAAACGGCGCGTGGGATGTCCATAGAGCATTACGGGTTCACCCGCGAGGTACTTCGTTCGCGCCACCCTGGCGAAGTAGGTTGCCGCCAAGTCGGCCGCCTGTTGTGGGCGAATTGCATCGATCCCCTTACGATGTGCGGCCGCTTCGAGGAACAGTCCTAAACACACGGGATGCACGGGTATTTGCAGCACGCGGGTGCCGCCCGGCCAGAAAGGTAACTCGTCGTAGACTAAGGCAAACTCGGAACTGTGCGAGACGCCTAGTTCGTCGAGGGCTCGCAGCAACCCTGGTGAAGAACGGCCGTGGGGTGAGACGAACCCTGAGGGTTCGATACCCGCCCCCTGCAGCACTTCGATACTGCGACGGATGTTTCTTAGATTCGATTCGTAATCGGCATACGTGTGGTGATGATAGCCGTGGGCCCCCACATCGCAGCCCCGCAGTTCGGCCAAGGCTTCCGGGTGGGCTTCGTAGGAAGAGCCGCAGATGAAGTGGCTGCACGCGTCCTGGTTTGCCGCCAGGTTATCGAGTGTCGAGCGAAAGTCGCTCGGATCGTATTCATCGTAGTCGACGCGGAAGTTGAACATCCCGCGGTACGGATAGGGGAATGCCGACAATCGAAGCCAGAGCCCGCCCGCTTCTTCGACCATAGCTCGCAACGTATGCAATGCCCGTTGCCGCACGGCTCGGCGGTCGACCTCTGAGATTTCTTCCGAGACGCTCAAGGGACCGAACTTCCACCAGCCTCGTGTCACATCGGTCCTCATCCACTGCTCGAAGGGGTCGGTCCGGGCCGCCGTTCGCATCCGGTCGACGTCGAGAGCGACTTGCCCTGCGGCCAATTGGGGAGGCGGGCTCTTGCGGCTGTCGAACAGCACGAATCGAGCCACACCCTCGTTGCCCGAGTGATCGCGGAATGCAATCCCTTCCTGCTTGAGCCAGGTGCGCAGTGGCGATGGCACTTCGCCAAGCAGCAACGGAAGTACTGGCAGGTGTCCGCGGTCCATCACTGCTCCCCGCCATACGAGGAGAGTTTCTCAGGATGCTTCGTGGTCAACGGGAAATGTGGAGCATTCACCGGAGCGCGATTCTTAGTCGCGTAGCTCGATTGTTTCCTTGAGTTCCAGAGCTTGTGATGACGATCGGCCTGAACCCAGGCCGAAAGCCCACTGAGCAGACAGAACGCCCAACCGTAGGGTCCATCGAGCCAGCCATGCTTCCAGACCAACCGGCGAAAGACCTCCCGCGGTGGCTCACGCCACTTGGAGGCCAGCTTGGGCTTGAGCCCTGCGGCGACATACCGCTGAGCCTCGAGTCGGGTGTAGCGATTCACCTTTGCCAAGAACGCCGGCAGATCGGGTAGCGTGTGGTGTTCAACTACATGCTTGAGACGACCGACGGTACCTGGCACAATCAGTTGCTCGTGAACATGGCCCGACCACACAGCACTTCCGCGGCGAAACAGACGAATGGGGGTATCGTTCTGCGTACCACTAAACCGCATGCGGTGTCCGAAGATGGTACTGCGGATACGCACTCGGTAGGCATCGAAGTGCGGGTCGGAAATCTTGCCGCGAAGCTCCTCAACAAGTGCTGGCGTGGGGCATTCGTCGGCATCGATGGAAAGCACCCAATCACCTTTACAGGCGGCCAAAGCGTGGTTTCGTTGGGCGGCGAAGTTGTCGAAGTTTCGCGAGATGACGACACAGCGGTGAAGTTCTGCCGCGGCGATGGTCTCGTCGCTCGAGCCACCATCGACGACGACGACCTCGTCGGCCCAAGCCAATTGAGGGAGCAGTTCGCGAAGGCGCGGGGCTTCGTTAAGCACGATCATAGCCACAGAGATCGAGGGATTGCCGTTCATGCGAGCCCTCCCAATCGTGACGCGACCAATCCCACGCGTGCGAGCCAACGGAGGTTGTAGTAGACGGCCAGCACGAAGAGTTCGGCTTGCAACCAGCCGGTGAGCAAGCCGAGTAGCAACAGGTGCAACCGCACATCGGCATTCGCCGGCAAGTGGTACAGGTGGCGAAGCCAGGTCGAGTGGTTTTGCGATTTGCCGCCTTGTTCGACGGCCACCCCGGAGCCATATCGGGCCACGATATCGCGTTCGCTGCTCAGCCCGTGCATCAGCTGGTACTTGCCGAACACGAAGGCACCATAGAGTGCCCACGGCCAGAGCGACGATGACATCACCGATGCCGCATATGCCACGGCGGCGTGAATTCCCAGGTCGGTCACTTCGTCGGCATTCGCATCGAACCAGGCTCCCCAAGCGGAAGCTGTTCGTTGACGCCGGGCCAAGGCACCATCGAGCCGGTCGCAGAACCACGCCATCAGTACCATGGCTGCCGCGATGAACAGCGAGGATGGCCAGATTGCCAGGGTCGCAGCAGCACTCAGTCCCAGCAGCAGGCCAACGACCGTCACGTGCGATGGTCGGACCCTGGTCTCACTCAACAGCTCGGCCATCACCTCTGCGCAGGGTCGGGCGTACCATCGCGAGATCGGATAGCGATCGGCGGCGGCCAGTTCCTCGGCGCTCGTGATACCCAACGTCTGCAAGACAAGAATCCTTTACTGGTCGATGAAGTTAGACGGCTTCGAAAGTAAGCGGTTCGGTTGCGAGCAACTCAGACGGTTGCTGCGGCGTCGAGTCGACCATCTGGCGAGGAAGTAGGCCGGGCAGCTGATCAATTCGTTTGGGGTGGAATTCGTGGAAGAAATTCCGCTCTCGCTGAATTTCCTGCGGAGTATTTGTTGAGCTGCTTGACGCGGAAGCGCCCATCTCTCTCCACCGAATTCGGGCTTCATTGAATGCAGTAACGAACTTCCAGCGGTGTTGCGGAGCGAGAAACGGAGTCGCCACGAAGTCGCGAGCAATTCGCAGCGAATAGCCAGCCCACTGACGAACTCGATGCCGGACGCATCGCAAGTTCTTCCACTGAAAGAGCAGCGTGTTGCGGAGGGCCAAACGGTCGCATCCTTCGGCACCGAACACGCGAGTGAATGTGGCTTGCCCTGCGTGGAAGGCCAGCGATTGCGGAACGTACTCCGCGTTGAAGCCCTGCTGATAAGCTCGAAACGCCAGGTCGAGGTCTTCCAGCCGTCCGGGCAAATACAGTGAGTCGAACCCGCCGAGTTGCAGGAATGCCTGTCGATCGACTGCAATGGCGGCGCCCGCCGAGGCAGTCATGCCAGCGCGGTTTGTTTGGTGTTCGTGCCCCTTGTACAGCGAGGTGGCTTGAACGAGCCCCCACCGCCAAGTGACGGCGGTCTTCTGCCCTTCATAGTCGCCTGAATCCCAACTGCGACACTGTGCGGCCGTCATGCAACACCGACCGCCGGTATTGAGCCCTCGCTGGATGAATGGTTCGATCAAAGGGTCGACTGCATGATGGTCGAGCCGAATGTCGTTATTCAGCAGCACGGCAACGTCGCAGTTGAGTCGCTTGAGAACCGTGTTGTAGGAACAAAGGCCGTGGTTCGGGCACTGCTCGATGTGAACCTCTGAGAACGCCTCGCGAAGAAACTCAACCGACCCATCGGTCGAGGCGTTGTCGATTACCACCACGCGGCAGTCATGACTCGAAGCGGAGGCTGCTTCGAGAATCGAAGGCAGACACTGCCCAAGCAGACCGCGACCGTTGTAGTTGAGTATGACCAGGTCGACGTTCATCCGTGAACCGTCCGGTGGCAGGTTAGATGCCTGTATCAAGCTGTGCTGCCGGGATTACTTCCACGTGCTTGCACTTACAGGCGGGGTAGCGCGGGTTGCAAAGATAGGAGCATCCCCGTCACCGGGTCAAGACGTCACGACGCTAGCAATCTCCGCGGTGGGCATCCTCCGGCTCGATACACCACCAACCTTCGTGCGGTACTAGCGTGTGGCCTGGCGGCACTTGATACCAGGCTGCAAACTCATTCTCGCAGTCCTGCCGCTTCAGGCCGGTAACGATACTTCCCGCGGCAACCACCACTGAGGCCACCCCCATCGCGACGACCACTGCCATGAGAGACCACAATCGACCATCGCCAAGAAACCACGCCACGAGCGCCGTCACCGATAGCACGTTCATCACGACGTGAATCTCACACAGCTTGCGGAGGATCCACGCAAGCTTGCGGGCCGGCGAGGCTGGAATTGCTGTTTGAGGGACTGCCGCGGCTCCGCTTGCTCCGCGAACCCGCAGTTCACCTCGGACCCACTTCAGGCGTTGCACGAATGCCTTGTAGCGGCAATCGTGCCAAACGCCGATGCTCAGCAGCCCCATTCCCCAGACAAAGCCCACCAAGGCCCAGAGGGGCTGTAGTTGATTCACACTCAGGCCCCACCCAACGCCAACGGGAATGATCACGTTCACCAGGTGGTGCATCAGGTAGTCGAGTTGCACTCCATCGAGTGACGCGGTGCCGTGATAGCGAGCAAGCTGACCATCGACGTGGTCGAGTAAGTACCACAACTGCAATAGGCCGGCGCCTAAAAGAAACGTGAGCGGGGTCCCAATTCCGAACGCTACGGCCGCGGCTATCGCGGTGACCACGGCGATTAACGTCACGGAGTGGGCTGTCACGCCCCACGGAATCACGACCCTGGTGATGTGCAGTGCCGCGGGTCGGGCGATTCGTCGGGCCATCCAATTGCCCAGGTGAGCGGCACCCGGCTTTGGGCATCGCTGCCGTAGTTCATCGAGTGTCGGCCGAACCGTGCTCAAGAAATCTCCTCCGATGTCTCTCTCAAGCGTTCCAATGTTCCTGCCAACGTCCCGTGTGCAACACCACGCTGCATGAAACGGCCCAGGTAACGAAGACGGCCACGAGCCCGACGACCACCCGAGTCCATTCACCATTCGTGTCGGCACCTGCGGGTAAGGCCGCGAGCTGGGCTACCACGAGCGTTGGTCCGACCAAGCCCAGCACTGCGAAAAGGTAGCGAGCACGCTGAGACCAGGAAAGGGCGTTCCAAAACGAAACGCCAATCGCCACGAGCGCGAACAGTGCTTGTGAAAGACAGGTTGCGGCGGCGACACCCAGCAGACCCCAGCCGGCCTGAAGTGCGATGAAGTTCCCCATGGCTGCGACTCCCAATGCCAGGCAGGCGGAGAAGAGCCCTCGGTTTTGTCGTTTGGTGGTCACCAAGTACTGTGTGGCGGGGGGCGACACCGCCAGGGCAAGCGAACCTGGAATCAACCAGCGAAGTGCAGGCAGCCCAGCAGCATAGCTTGGCAATAGCCACGCTAGCACAGGTCCTCCGGCAACCAGCGCGAACCCGGCCGCGATCGCCGAGAGGGCCGCGTGCAACTCTGTAGCACCTGCAGCCAGGGTGGCCACTCGACGTTCGCAATTCCAGCGACCGTACATCTCGCCGTATCGCGGGGCCATGGTGGTGGCCAGAATGTTCGCCACACCCGAGAGCTGTGTGGTGACCAGCAGTGCCGTCGAGTAGATGCCAAGTTGGTACGCGCCGTCGGGCAGGTAGGCGAGCACCATAAGCTTGTCGACGGATTGAAATAGGGTCATCACCAGTCCGGTCAAAACGATCGGCAGACCAACCGCGATCAGGGGTAGAACGTCTCGCAGATTCCAGGCCCAGCCGGGTTGGGTTTCACTCATTCTTCGCGCGACCCAACCACCTATGAGCGAGACCAGGAGACAGCCGGCCAGCAGCCCGTACAGGCCCCAAACCCACGTGGCCAGCCCGCAAACGGTAAGCGTCAGCACTGCTTCCAGAATGGCCAGTCGTGCGGCCGCGGCGAATTGTCGTTCTGCCCGCAGCATCACGATTTGAAACGTAAGGAACCGTTGCGCCAGGCTAATCGCGGCCATCGCCCCCAGACCAATCGCCCACAGCGAACTGGTGTTTGATTCACCCTGTAGCCAGACCCAAGTCGCGGCGCCGCACAGCGCCACAGCGTAGGCCGTAGTGGTAACGGCGCTGAAGGTGAAGGCAAGATCCCGGCTTCTTGCTGCTTCGTTCGCTCGCTGGCGACCCCGGGCGATGGTCACCTCACGGGCGGCGGCTTTGGTTACGCCCAGGTTGATGAAGCCGGCATAGGAGAGCACCAGTTTGAATGCCTGCCACAGTCCCATCTGGGCAGGACTGAGCAGTGCTCGAAGCAGAAGGGCCGTCGCAACACCCAATACTTGTCCGGCGATGGTCGAGACACCAACCAAAGAGCTATCACGTACGAGGCTCCGCCAGCCACGATCCCCTGTAGAGGATTCGTGTTGCGCGATCGAACCAACTAGCGTGGCCTGCGATGCCATCAAACACGCTCGGGCGCGAGGAATACTGTAGAAATGCCCAAAACAAGCGGGCGAATCATGCCCGGGATACGGCAAACAAGGCAAGACGGATTCTCGGTCGACCGCGTTAAGCCGCCCGGCGAATGCCAGCGATTCGTAGTGAACCCGCTGAATGAAGCTGGCCACGCTGCAACGTTTCGGCCGACTCTGCGAGCACGGCGTCGACCACGTCGCTCGAGGCCGTTCCGTTCACGTTGGCGAATACCTCGGGGCTGGGCACTGTCGCCTTATGCGAAAGTACCTGCTGCAACAGAGTGTTCACTTCGTCCTGAGAGCGGGCCGTACCGAGCATCCCCCATTGCGTGGCAGGGAGGTAATTGCCGCTGCCCTCGGGGAGGACCTGCAACACGGGTACTCCGGCCAGAGCCGCTTCTACGCCCACACTGCTCCCGAGGCTGATCACGCAGCTAGCAGTCTTCAGCATGTTGCCCAGCGGGGCATTTTCGACCAGCTTCGTCTGCAACGCGGGAAAAGAGGCAATGATGTCCTGGATTTGGTCCCTCCCAGAAACGCGGGGGTGAAGCTTGAACGTAGAGCGAACGTTGGGCAGCGAATCAAGCGCACAGCAGACCCACTCGAGCGTCTGTCGATAGGTGCAGGAGGTTTTGTGGTAGTAGGCCATGTCGGGCCTATGATCGCGGGCCGGAGGGGTGGTGAAAACCACCACGTGATGTCCGTTTCCGTGCGTGCTGGTGAGGGGCGAGGCCTTCAGCTGATTCACCAGCGTATCGTGCCAGGGAGAACCGGTTACTTTGATCCGCGAGCGGTCCACGCCCCAGCGTTCGTATTGCCGTCTGGAACTTTCTCCCCAGGCGCAGACCCGATCGGCCGCCAACGGGGCAAAGCCGAACCGAATGCCCGCCGCGGCGTTTTGCACGACCGTTGTTACCGCCTCGGCCCGATGTGCCGCTGCCACCACACAACGTGCCAGCGGAGTCGCGTCTTCGTCGAGCACGACGTGAGTCGGGGCCACATGGTTGAAGTGCTTCGTCAACTGCTCCAACAGGCGGGTCTGGGCAGGTCCTTGAGTGTTGGCGACCTGCGAAAGCCACGCATCGACTGCCGGAGCCAGATCGACACCCCGCGACCAGAGCGGCTTGCGGATGGAATCGCGTTGCCAAGAAGTCAACGGCAGCCGGTTTTCAGTGCCGCGACTCGAATCGCAAACCAGTTGCCCAACCCCTCGCCTACGCCAGCGGAGCCAACTTCGTACGGCAAACCGGTCGTAGATCCACCACACGCGACAACCGCGATTCAGAAGTTCTTCGCATACCGGATCGAGAATGCGAGGGTTACCGCATAAAACAACACGAGGCCGATCATCTTGTTCGGAAGCTGCAGCAGGCGCCGTCGCCCGATGCATTAACGACATCGCTTGCCGCCATGGAGCATTGGGGGCGATGGCCGCGGGTGCGTGCCCCGTGCCGGGGTGCCATTGCACTTGCCCTTCGACCCCATGCAGTCGCCACAGTTGGCCCAGGATGTGTGCGTAGTCATCATCACGACCGCTAACCGCATGGAACTCCAATTTGCGATAAGCCGCCGGAGGAAGGCCATGCTCATATAAGGCAACCGGCCGAAGTAGCTTCACCAGGTAGTAACGCAGGGCCAGCGAGTTCACATACGCCAGCGTGGTGGGCTTCTCGCTCAACTCGTAGGCGTCGGTTTCGTAGGCCAATTGTTCGGCGAGCCGTTCCGCCTCGTCATCAATCCAGGAGCAACCTACATCGATGAGATGATCGAGATCCCAGCGGGGGAGCCCGGAGTTCCGCTGGGTCTGGTCCCAACCACCTTCGAGCAACAGGGCCGGAACTCCATCGGCGGCCGACTTCTTCTGAAGTTCGGCATTGGAAAACACGCTTAAGTACATAGCACTCGCTCAGAGACACGAATCGCTTGCCGGAATCGTGTATGAAGTGTTGAAGCCTGGCACCCACCGTTGTGTTGCCGATCAACCCTGCGGCATGTGACCGAAGGCCGAATCAGCTAGACCGTGATTAACAAATCCCGGCCGGTTGCCGCTACAGCACTCTGAGCGAAGAAACCAGGCTTAGGCGGCTTTTCGCGCACTAGCTTGGCCAGAGCTGAGTTGCCGAAGATCGACGAAGCGGTCGACGAAAGCGTCGGCTTGGGCGTGAGCCTCGTAGTTGAAGGCAATCGTTCGCATGCCAGCTTCGCGGGCACCCTGGAGATCGCGCGAACGGGCACCCACGAAAAGAGCCTGGGATGCCTGGAGCCCCAGGGCATCCAAGCTGGCTTGATAGCAACTGCCCTCGGGCTTCACCGCTTGCAGGTCACGCGAGGTGGTCACCTCGGGCAACAGCTCTGATAGCCCGAGCCGGACCAATTTCTGGCATAGCTCGAGTTTCGTCTCGGGCGTGTCGGTCAACACAGCCAACCGAATACCCGACTGCTGCAGATTGGCCAACGTAGAGCGAACACACGGGAAAGGCCGTGCTTCTTGCTGGAGTTTTTGCCACTGACACATGCCGGCGGCGATCAACTCATCGACGGCACCGCGCGATAACCCGGCCGATTGCAGGAACCGGCGAAACACTTCGACGAAGGGTTCCCGCCCCCGTTGGGCCTCGGGTAAGAAATCCTGATCCCAGATGCGGAAGAACGGACCGTAATGCGTGTAGAGCCCCAGTTGGGCCAAGGAATGCAGCAGCCAACGCCGCCAAGTGGTGCCGTCGCAAAGGACGTTCTCCACTTCGAAAACGAGCGCCGCGATCGGCACATCGCTCTCTGCAGTGCGGCCAGGCTGAGGCAGCTTGATTGAATTTGCGTTCGCATCGCCAACTCCTTCGACATCGGAAGGATGATTGGCAACGAATTCAGCCCATCGCTCGGAATTACTCGACGCCGCGAGGCGTCCCGCTTGGTGAGACTCGTTGCATGTCTTGCCCATGCCCCAGGAATCCTTTCCTTGGCGAAGGCGGTCGCTAGCCGTCGAGTGGCTACACGACTCCGTCGACTTGATTTAGCTGAGCCATTTCCTGTCGCATATCGGATTGCCGTTCGAACAGATTGGCAATTCCCTGCCAATCCAGTCGATCGGGCCCCAACACTTCATAGATCGCGTGTGCGCGGTCCCAATCTTCACCTTGTGTGATCGTAAATCGCAAGTCTTCCTGATCGATGGTCGGCGGAAGCGGAATCATTCGCAAGACGAATTTCTCTGGATGATTGCGAATGTAGGAGGTTACGTCCTCACGTTCTTCGGCGGTGACGGCCTCGTATTCGGCCTGACGCAAGGCATCAGCACTGCACCATTCGGCCACCAACCCCAGCGACGTAAGCACCGAGCGACGACCGCTTTGCGAACAATAACTGATGTAGTCGCAAGTGGGATGACTCTCAGCCGTGGTGATCAACCGATCGACCAAGGCGGGGTCGAGAAATGGATTGTCGGAAGCGACGCGAACGATGTTCTTGGGGCGATAGCGTTCCAACAGGGAGTTGAAACGGCTCAGCGGATCGGCACCTAAGGGTGAGATGGTGGGCACATCCGGAGGGACCTGATCCGCTAGCACCTGCACTTGCTTATTCGCAGGAAGCATGACAACCACGGCATCGAGTTGCTGGCAATCTTTCAGCCGGCGAACCACCCATTCCAACAAGGTCAGCCCTGCCAGCTTGCGATTGACGTTTTCACGAGCCCAAGGTGAGCGGTGAACCACTTCTACGACGGCGATTGTGGTAGCCATGCGGACTCCTCAGATCCATCCAAATCCATGTCGCCCCGCCTGAAGCGACCGAGTTACTTCCTGTCACGCGCGAGTCTAGTCATTGCCACTGCGAACCGTCAATCCGAAAGCGGTGATCTTTGCACACAAAAATAAATCCAGCGAAAATCACGCAAACGACAGCGGATTGATTGTGTTTTGCGGTGAAGAATCTCCATCGAATCATGCAAGAGTAGGTGTCGCAACATGCATTGGTTCGGGATACCGCCGCGATTACAATCTCGCCCCACTTGTCGCTCCCGAGAACTCGTCCCACTGTGCAACGAGGTGACCAATGCAAAGGGTACTGATTGCCGGAGTGGATACGGTGCTGGGTAGCAACCTGGCTTTAGAGTTGGCCCAATGGTTCGACGTTATCGGGCTTTGCGAACGGTATGCAATTGAAGTGGACGGATGCCACACCGAAAAGTTGGCGCACACCGACGAGTTGATGATTCAACTCGAACGCATTGATCCCCAATGGGTCATTCACTGCGGAGGGATCTCGCAATCGTCGTGGAACGGCGCGGACGAGTCTCGTCTCGACCTGGAGAACGTCCGATTGCTGCTCGCTGGTTCGCAAGCATTGGACTACCGTTTGACCGTAATTTCCAGCGATGCGGTGTTTAGCGGGCCGAGAATGTTCCACCGTGAGAACGATCCTGCGCTGGCAACCAGCCACCGCGCAAATCGAGTGCGACCGATTGAACAGGTCCTGGAGAACACTTCGGCGTTAATCGTGCGCACGCATGCCTATGGCTGGAGCCCACTGCCGGATTTCATGCCGGGTATCGAGCAATTGTGGGACGACCTGCACTTTTCAGCGCGCTGTCACCTGGATGCAGCTCGCCACGCGACACCCATTTTGGCAAGCGATCTGGCTCCGCTGCTGTGCCAGGCAATGGATCGTAAGCTAACCGGGCTCTACCACATCGCGGGAGCCGAACGGATCAATCCGTATCGTTTCGGCATCGAACTCGCTTCTATCCTCGGGCTTCCGGGAGGCCAGGTTCATTGTCGGAGTGCTGAGCCTGACGCACCAACGAACGTGGTGCCAATCGAAACTTCGCTGAATACACACCGTGCCCAAACCGCTCTGCAACTCCCGATGCCGTTGATGCGAGAGGGGCTTCGTCGTTTGGTAGATCAGGCGGGGGAAGGTTATTCGACCCGATTGCGGGCGAAAACGTACTTGCCCACCGCCGCCTAGCGCTCACTTCAGTGTGAGAGTTCCTACTTCTTCGGTACGCCCAACTCATCGAGCTTGGCTGCCACGTCTTCACCGTGCGTCTTGGTCTGCACGTCTTTCTCGATCGCCAGAATGTTACCGTCTGCGCCGATGTAGAACGTCCAGCGGTAAGGCACTTTGCGGCTGGCGTCGATTACGCCGTAGGCCCGAGCGACGTCGCCGTCGGGGTCGCTAAGGATCGGATAGTCGAGATCGAGCGATGCGGCGAACTTGGTGTTCAGATCGACGGTGTCGCAGCTCGCGGTGAAGTAAGCTACGTCGTACTCGCGAATGGCTTCGCCACTGTCGCGGAACGACTTGCACTCGGCCGTGCAGCCGCCGGTGAATGCCTTGGGAAACCACGCCAGCACGACGGCCTGTTCGCCTTTGAAATCGGCCAGGCTGTAAGTCTCACCGTCGGATCCGACCAATTTGAACTCCGGGGCGGGATCACCGGCCTTCAATTCTGCCGCACTCGAACTTGATGCTGAAAACAAGGTTGCGGTGGCGGCGAACGCGATCGATGCATATTGCGTCATTCGGGTCAGGATGTGTTTCATCGAAGTTGTCCTCAGGGTGTACAGGCGAGACCTAGGGGGAACCTGCTGATTTACTAGCGATACATTCCGCCGTTCGGGCTAATAATCTGCCCGGTGACGTAAGCACTGTCGTCGGTCGAGAGGAACATGGCCACGCCGGCGATGTCTTCTGGGGTACCCAATCTTCCCAGCGGGGTGTCTTTGATCATGCGGGGAAGCCACTTTTCAGGCAAGTTTTCGAGGATCGGGGTATCGATCCAGCCCGGGGCGATGCAGTTCACGCGAATGCCTTCCGGGGCGACCTCGTGGGCCAGCGATTTCGAAAGAGAAATGATGCCACCCTTGGCCGCCGTGTAGGGCGAGGAGCCGGGCAGTCCCCGCAGGCCGGCTACCGAACCGAAGTTAACGATGATGCCCTGCTTGCGCGGCTTCATACGTTTCAATGCTTCGCGACAGCAGCGAAAGGTTCCGCCGAGGTGAACATCGACGGTAGCGTCCCATTGTTCGTCGCTGAGTTCTTCCAGTGGGGTTAACTTTCCGCCTGCGTTGCCGGCGTTGTTGATGAGAATATCGAGTTCCCAACCACGCCGATCCACCTCTTCGAACAGCTTGCGGACGTCTTCGGGCTTGCTGACGTCGGTTGTCACGCTGATCGCTTCGTGATCCTGCTCGCGGATCATGGCGGCGGTTTCTTCGCCACTTTTGGCATTCAGCTCGGCCACCACCACGGTTGCCCCTTCATTGGCAAATCGCAGGGCAATCGCGCGGCCAATGCCCGAACCAGCCCCGGTGACGATGGCTACTTTGTCTTTCAAACGCATGGGTTGATCGATGCTCCTCGGTATCCGCTTGGTTCAGTTGCTTTGATCTTCGTTGGTTTGATAGCCCGGCCCACGCACCACTTGCCCTGGCAAGGCGCCGGTGTGCTTTCCGTCTTTCAACACGCGCTGGCCATTGACCCAAACATGAACCACCCCGCTGGCCAACTGATGAGGGTCTTCATACGTGGCATGGTCGCTGATGCTGTCTGGGTCGAAAACCACTACGTCGGCGAAATGATCGACGGCCAACCGCCCTCGGTTCTTGATGTGTAGATTGTCGGCCGGCAGCGACGTCATGCGGCGCACGGCTTCTTGCAGTGGAATGACGCGATCTTCGCGAACGTACTTGCCCAACAGGCGGGCGAAGTTGCCGTAGGCCCTGGGGTGAGGGTTGTTTTGCAGGAACACGCCCGAGGGAGCAAGCGAAGCCGAGTCGGAAACGAAGCTGACCCACGGTAAGGCGATCTTCTTGCGAACGTTCGCTTCGTCCATCAGGAAGTAAACCGTCTCAACACGGCTTTGGTCTTCGATCACCAGGTCCATCGCCGTTTCCTCAGGCGAAAGCCCTTTGATGGCGGCCACTTGGGCCAGCGACATGCCGGTGTATTGCTTGAGCGCCGGATTCTTGAAACCCACCAGCAGCACGTTATCTGGCGAGCCGGCGGCCAGGAGAAGGTTTTCCCAGGCGTCGGTGGGCGTGCGCATTTCGGTGATAATTCCCGCGCGAACGGCAGGATCGCGGAGTCGATCGATCCAGTCGTTCAACCCGCCCTCTTGCACCCAGGGGGGCATGCTGGCATTTAAGCCTGTCGATCCGGCGGTGTAGGTATACATGTCCGCGGTGATCTCGAGCCCCTCGGCGCGAGCGGCGTTCACTTTGGCAATCACCTCGTCGAGCTTGCCCCAATTCTCCTGCCCCGCCGCCTTGAGGTGATAGATTTCGGCCGGGATGTCGGCTGCCTGCGCGATTTCGATTAGTTCATCGACCGCTTCCAGCAATTGATTGCCTTCGCTGCGAATATGCGAGATGTAGAGTCCGCCGTATTCCGAAGCCACCTTGCAGAGTTCGATCAATTCGTCCGTCTTCGCGTAGAAAGCCGGGGCGTAAATCAAAGATGACCCAACACCGAGGGCTCCGGCCTGCATTTCTTTGCGGACCAGCTCCCGCATCTGCTGGAGTTCTTCTTCGGTTGGTTCTCGATCTTCCCGGCCGAGCACGTAGACGCGAATCGTGGTCGCCCCCACGAACGATGCCACATTGGGAGACACGCCCTGGTCGACGAGATGCTCGAGATAACCTGATAGCGTGGTCCAGGGCACGTCGTACTTGATCTCGGCCTGGTCCTCGAGCATTTCGCGCCGCATTTGTTCGTTGAGCGGCCCCATCGACCAGCCTTCGCCGAACACCTCCAGCGTGACCCCTTGGTGAATGTCGCTCAACGAGCGGCCATCTTCCAAGAGCGAGGTAGTGGCCCAACTCAGCACATTGATGAACCCTGGGGTGACGGCCAAGCCACTCACGTCGACTTCGGTCATGCCGACCGCGTTGTCTAAATCACCAATGGCCGCGATCCGCTCCCCCCGAATGCCGACATCGCCCCCGATCGGTGGTTGCCCGCTGCCGTCGTAGATGGTGCCCCCACGCAGGATGATGTCGAAATACTCGGCTTCGCCTTCTACCGGCTCCTCCGACACTGCCGCTTCGACGACCGACTCCGTTGATGGCGAGTCGACCGTGGCACTTTCCCCACGCTGACAGCCCAACCCGGGAAGCAAGAGCAATGCTCCCGCCAAGGCCATCAGTCCGCTTCGCAGAGAAAAAAGAAAGTCCCTTCTGCGACAGATCGCAGGCAAACTTTCCAACGAATTCCGAAGGTTACTTTGGGACATAAGACAACCGCTCTTCTACCCTGCCTCGACGATAGAATCGGGTGCCACTGGTGAGGCCAGTGCCCGTACGATCAATCAACCTATCCACCTCAAGCGAGATTCAAGCAAGCCGACATCATACCACACCTACGGTGCCGCAAGACCCTCTGGCGGGGTTTTCCGCCTGAATCACACAAGGCGTGGAAACACGCCCCGGCCAGCAGGGCACGTTGTCGTTCAGCGGGCAAGCGATTACGATTCTGGACTTGGAAAAACCCTCCGTTGGTCGACGCGGCTCGAAGGTCGACTACAAACTGATTTCATGTGGCGAAGGATGGTTGGTAGTACGATGTCGATTAGCGAATTCATGGATACCCAGTACCGTCACTTTAATGCTCGCGAGACGGTCGATGCCGCCCGGGGGTGGAAAAAACACCTGGACGACGGCGGCCAGATGTTCGTAACGCTCGCTGGGGCGATGAGCACCTGCGAACTGGGAATTTCGCTGGCCAAGATGATTCGCGCTGGCAAGGTGCACGCCATCTCGGCCACGGCCGCCAACCTGGAAGAGGACCTGTTCAACCTGGTGGCCAATAAGGACTACGCGGTGGTCTCGAACTACCGCGACCTGTCGCCCGAGGATGAAGTCGCGCTCCGCGACAAGGGTTTCAACCGTGTGACCGATACCTGCATCCCGGAATCGGTTATTCGTCACTTCGAAGATCACCTCACCCGGTATTGGTCAGAAGCAGCCGAAGCGGGCGAATCGCACTTCCCCTACGAATACTTCTTCCGGCTACTCGACGAAGGCGTGATCGACAGCGAATTTCAGGTACCTCGCGAGAACTCCTGGGTGATTGCCGCCAAGGAAATGGGCATTCCAATCTACTCACCCGGTTACGAAGACTCGACAATGGCCAACATTTTCACGGCTAAGGTGATCGAAGGCAAAGTGAAGTCGCATTCGGTCGTCCGTAGCGGCACCGAGCAGATGCAGCACCTGGTCGAATGGTACCTTGAAACGCAAAAGAAACATTCGATTGGCTTCTTCCAAATCGGTGGCGGAATCGCGGGCGACTTTGCCATTTGCAGCGTGCCGCTCATTCTGCAAGACCTGCAGCGCGACATTCGCATGTGGGGCTACTTCGCACAGATTTCCGATTCCACCACTTCGTACGGGTCCTACTCCGGAGCGGTGCCGAACGAGAAAATCACCTGGTGGAAGCTGGATGCCGATGCACCAAAGTTCATGATCAACTCCGACGCTTCGATCGTAGCTCCGCTGATCTTCGCTTATGTGCTTGGGGAATAGTTCGAACTGACGACGCGACGCTAACCCGTGCTAAGCTTCGTAACGTTCGACAACAACTTCCTCAGCGCGGGCTGCAATTCGCCCGGGGTCGAAACGGGCAGGAAGTAGTAGCGTGGTGTCTTCCGAGGCGGCCGCCATGGCGAGTCGTGTTGCGTCGACCATTGCATCTCCACGATCGGTGGCCCAAGCCAATGTGGCGGTGAGGCAATCCCCGGCCCCGATTGGATTGACCACTTCGACCGCCGGTGGCGTTAGCTTGAAAGCCTCGGCAGACGAAACCAGCCAGGTGGCTCTTGGCCCGTCGGTGACCAACACCCACTGGGCCCCTCGCCCACACAGTTGCCGGGCCGCCTCGATGAGTGTTCGCTCCTGGGAGCAGTCGTGCCCCACGGTCAGTTCCAACTCATGACGGTTCGGCTTCACGCACAGCGGTTTCCTGGATAACACCGCCAGCAATTCCGGCCCACGAATGTCAAGAATCGCGGGAGCTGTGGTCTCGCGAAGCAACTCGGCGTAGAACTCCTGCGACACGCCTTGTGACAGAGAACCGGTCAAGACGACGGTCTTCGCCGTGGGGACCACTTCGAGATAAGCACTTCGAAACCGCTCGACTTCTTCTTTGGTCACCGGGGCTGCATTTTCGACCAACTCTGTCGTTGGGGCTCCGTCTCGTTGGAGGATGGTGGTACAGACTCGCGTGGCGGTGGAAGTTTGCACCCAGTGGGCAGGGATTCCGTCGAAGACAAACTCCGCCGCGATGTGCTCGCCGGACATTCCCCCGACGAACGACAAGGCTTTCGACTCGGCCCCCAGATTCCATAAAGCACGTGCTGTATTGATCACCTTGCCCGAGGCAAACCAGTGCGTTTCGTCCGCTCGATTAACTTCGCCTAGCGTGAGCGAATCGAAGACAAGCACTTGTTGCCAAGCGGGGGTGAGGCCGGCGGCGAGAATCATAACATCGCCTCGAGAATTGTGGAGAGTTCTTCGTCGCTGAGTTCCTTGGGATTACCGTTCATGCTATTGCCACGCGAGAGCCGGACCAATGGTTCGATTTGGTCTGCAGTGCACCCTAGGGCGGAGAGCCTTCTAGAAATCTGAAAGCAATCCAACAGTTGCTCACTGATTTCAATCGCGGCGACGATCGCTTCACTCTGTGGCATGCTTCGTCCGGCGAGGAGTTCGCCCACGCGGGCAACTCGCTCGGGCACCACTTCGGAATTCACCCGAAGGGCACAGGGCAACATCACGGCACAAGCCAGTCCGTGAGAAACTTGGCAAACAGCCCCCAATGCCGCCGCTACGCCGTGGGCCATTCCCAAGCCCGAGTTGGCCAGCGCAATCCCGGAAAGCAACGCCGCCTGGGACATGCGTTCGCGGGCTTCGCGCGAATGACCGACCTCATAGGCCTTGGGGAGCGCCTCTGCGGTACCTTCCAAACCCGTGAGGGTAAGCATGTCGGTGACGGGCGTCGCGCGACAGGTGAGATAGCTTTCGATCAGTTGCGTGATCGCATCCATCCCGCTGTGGGCGGTCACTTGAGCTGGGCAATGGACCGTGAGTTCGGGATCGACCACAACCAAGCGTGGGACCATTTCGGCCGAACGCAAACTCTTCTTGAATGGCGGATCGTACGAAGAGATCACCGCGTTCTTCGTCGCCTCGCTGCCCGTACCGGCGGTGGTGGGAACGGCAATCATCGGCAGCGGGGGCTCATCAATCGTCAAGCCGCTGCCCACACCTTCGAGATACTCCACGACACTCGCCTGATGTTTCTGCACCGCCACGGCCGCGACGGCCTTCGCCAGGTCGAGCGCCGAGCCGCCACCAATGCCTAGCACCAGGTCGCCCTTTGCAGGTTGATGCCGCAGCATGGCTGCGACGCATTGGTCAACGTCTTCGACTTGCGGTTCGCGATGGATCGTTCCGGCGTCGACTACCTGCAGGCCACTACTCCGCAGGTCGTCCCGAAGGGCGTCGAGTTGCCCGCTAGCATCGAGTGTGCGGGAGCCGGAGATCAAAAACACCCGATGGCCCAATGCCCTGGCACGCTCGCCGATTTCCTGGCGGCGTCCCCAGCCGAAAACTATTTGCCGGGGGGCTAGCAAGTCGTATGGTCCGATTCCTCCACTGGGTGGCTTCATGCGAAATGCCAAAGTGTTTCTTTATATGAGCGGCTGATTAAGAGACATTGCATCATGCGGCGATGGCGAGACTTACGATCGATACATTTGATACGCGTGCTATTCTACAGTATCTCAGAAGTCCCGCTGAACCGCTGACAACTCCCGTTCGCTGGCCGAACCGCAAAGTGGGAAGTAGGATCAAAGACTGATCAATCATTCCGCTTCGAGAATCTTGATGTTCAGCATGACGGTTTTGCCCAAGCGATGGACCGGCTATTTACTACCGATCGTGGCGTTGTACTGGTTGGCGATGTTCATTGGCACCCACCTGCCACACATCAGTCTGCCCGGGACAAGCACGCTTGTTTCGCTCGACAAGCTGCTGCACTTTTGCGGCTACCTTGGGTTGTCGTTTCTGCTTTCACTGTGGTTGGTGGCCACCGCTTCGTCCCGCGGCGAAGGTGAGATGCAGACTCTGCGAACTCGGGGCTACCTAGTCCTGCTCTTCATTGCGGTCTATGCCTCGCTCGACGAATGGACCCAGTTGCTGGTTGGGCGAAGTTGCGAGCTGCGCGATTGGGCGGCCGATATCCTGGGCGCGTTCACCGGAATGCTGATCGTCGCTACTTGGGTCGCAGTGCGAAACGACAGCGAGCCCATCGGTAACCGGCAGCTTGAAGAAGGTGGCTCCTGAAGAATCCCGCGTGGAAGCGGATACTTTAGGTTTTTCAGCTGCGCCGGCGATCGGCAACCTCGGGGTTCACCCAGTGAGGCAGCGCCTCACCCCGAACGCCAGCGATTAAATTCTCTGCGGCGATTCGGGCCATTCCGTTTCGACTCGACACCGTCGCGCTGGCGATATGCGGCAGAATGGTGACGTTCTCGAGTTGCAGCAGAGGGTTTTCCATGTTCGGTGGCTCGGGATCGGTTACATCAAGCCCCGCGGCGAAGATCTCACCCTGCTTGAGCGCCGCAGTCAAATCAGCTTCTACCACCAAGGGCCCCCGGGCGGTGTTGACGAAGACGGCCGTGGATTTCATCTGCTTGAAGGCCTTCGAGTCGAACATGCCTTTGGTTGTTTCATTCAGGTCGGCATGGACAGAAATGAAGTCGGACTCGGCCAGCAGCGTTTCGAAATCGACGTGTTTGGCTTTCAGGTCGCGGTCGGCATGTTCGTTGACGTTTGGATCGTGATACAGGACCTGCATGTCCCACCCCAGGTGGCACCGCTTGGCCATGGCGTAGCCAATGCGGCCCATTCCGATGATGCCGATGGTCTTACCCATCAGGTCCTGCCCGATGTGTCCGCGAGGTTCCCAGGTCCTCCATTTGCCCTCGACGGTGTATCGATGCCCTTCCACTACCCGACGGGCTGCGGAGATCAACAGCGTAAAAGCCAGGTCGGCCGTGGCTTCGGTGAGCACTCCGGGGGTGTTCCCTACGCAGACGCCACGTTCTGTGGCAGCCGGGATATCGATGTTGTTGAACCCCACGGCATAGTTGCTCACTACCTTCAAATCCGGCAGGGCGTCGAGCAGTTCTCCGTCGATCTTCTCGGTGAGCAGCGACAGCAAGCCCTGGCAGCCGGCCAACTTCTCCTTCACCACCTCGATCGGCGGTGGTAGCGGCTCGCTCCACACTTCGGCATCACACGCCTCGCGAACCAGGTCCAGACCAGCCTCGGGGATCAGTCGGGTGACGAAAACTTTCGGTTTGCTCATGGTGTGAATTGCTGTGGTTCGAGTTGGGTGAGATTGAATCCGGCCGTGAATTGTATCCGGTCGAGGTTTGATAAGGGTCGCCGTGGCTGAAGTCAAGTCGCAGGGAATACCTCATCAACCCGCAGCCACTCGCCGCCAGTGGGGAAGTCGGTACAATCGAGGGCTTCATTTCACTTGTCCGAGCCCCCTCCTTGCGAAACTTTCGACCTTATGGCCACCGTGATTTTGCTGGTTTACTGTGTGCTGGTGATTCTTGCCTCGATGCTGGGTGGAAGCTTGCCCACGTTTATGCGGCTCACGCACGGGCGGATGCAACTCATCATTAGTTTCGTGGCCGGGCTGATGCTGGGCGTGGGGCTGTGGCACATGCTGCCGCACTCAGTGGTCGAGCTTGGCTCCCTCGATCGGGCGCTGTGGTGGATGATGATCGGCCTGTTGAGCATGTTCTTTCTGATCCGCCTATTTCATTTCCACCAGCATGAGTTTGAGGACGAAGAGGGGAATCTACATCCGGCCCATGATGGGCATGAGCACTGTGACCATGGACACGATCACCACCATCACCACGATCATTCCCCAGCCGAGGTTTTGCGAACCGGCGGGAGGCTAAGCTGGGTTGGAATCGCCATTGGCCTCTCGCTTCATACCGTGATCGACGGGATCGCATTAGGAGCGGCCGTTCACGCTGAGGCGGGAGAAGGGGCGTCGATACTGATGGGATTTGGCACGTTCCTGGCCATTGTGTTGCATAAACCGCTTGATGCTCTGTCGATCACCAGCCTGATGTCGGTTGGTGGTTGGAGCCAACGCGCACAGATGATTGTGAATTTGATCTTCGCACTCATCTGCCCCGCTGGGGCGTTGGCCTTCATGTTTAGCGTCGGATCGGTCGAGGGCGCCATGGAACATGTCGTGGTCGGCTGTGCGTTGGCCTTCTCGGCCGGGGTGTTCCTCTGCATCTCGCTGACCGACTTGTTGCCCGAGCTGCAGTTTCACTCGCACGATCGCATCAAGCTTTCTGTAAGCCTGCTGCTGGGTGTGGTGCTGGCCGGTGCGATTGGCCTGCTTGAAGGCGAACACCTTCACAATCATGGGGCTCATAGCATGGAACATCACGATCATGACCACGCGGATACCGATGAACATGATCACAACCACGATCACGATCACTGATGATGGTGTGAAAGCAGCGGCTGCCAAGAAACGCCGTTGGTTTTAGACCAACTCGGGAATCACCCGGGCGTCGTCCGGAAGGATTCGCACGGGCCGATCGGATTGATCGGGCACGGTCGTCTCGGGGTCGATGCCCAGGTTGTGATATACGGTGGCCAGCACATCACGGAAATGGATGGGCCGCTCGACGGCCTCACCGCCCAGCGGGTCGGTCGAACCAATCACTTGCCCAGTAGGCATCCCGCCGCCGGTGAGTATGGCGGAGTTTATACGCGCCCAGTGATCACGTCCGGCGTTAGCGTTGATTTTCGGCGTGCGACCGAACTCGCCCCACACCACCAACGTCACGTCGTCCTGCAAGCCTCGCTCATGGAGATCTTGTACCAACGCTGCGACACCCGCATCGAACTGAGGTAGGTTATTGCGAAGATGGCCGAAGTTGTTGCCGTGGGTATCCCAAAAACCGTAGGCGACCGTTACACAACGTGCGCCGGCCTCAACCAGGCGGCGGGCCATTAGCAACTGATCGTTCCACAGCGGGGCGCCATCGCCTTGATGTTTCGACGAGCCGCCGGTGTATCGCTCACGAATGGCCGGATCTTCCAGGTCGAGGTTCATGGCATCGACCAGCCGATTCGACGTGAGTACATCGAACGCCTGGCGATAGTTGGTGTCGAGCCCATCGAAGTCGGTGGTGTCGAGCTGTCGGCGGAGAACATCGACCGATGAGAGCAGCGACTGACGGTGATTGAATCGCTCGGGCGAGACGAACTGCAGCTTCATGTTGGCCATGTCTTCACCGTCGGCCTTCACGCCTGCATGGTTCAGCCCCATGATGCCCGGGCTGGGGCTGTTGTAGGGGCGATGCTGCATCGTGGGGAACAGATCGACGAAGGCCGGCACGACGGGGTTGGTCGGACCCTGCACCCGGCTGACGACCGATCCGAAGTTGGGAGTGCCGTCGCGTTGGCTTTCGCCCATCGACACGCCCGTCAGGTTCTGAAAGCTGCTGTGTTCATCGCGCTGGCCGACCAGCGAGCGGAGCACCGTCAGCTTGTCCATCGACGCGGCCAGCTTCGGCATGAGTTCGCAGATTTGTACCCCAGGCACGCAGGTATCGATGGGTGAGAACTCTCCCCGAATTTCCTGCGGGGCGTTGGGTTTCAGATCGACCGAATCTTGATGGGCAAGCCCTCCGGTCAAGTACACCATGATGACCGACTTGTGGGAGCGTTTACCGGCTGCCTCCTCAGAGGCGATCAACTGCGGCAGAGAAAGCCCGCGGGCGAGTAAACCACCGGCGGCGATGGAACCGACACGCAAGAAGGACCGGCGGGAGATGCCATCGCAGTAACGAGCTTGTGGACCAAGTAGGCTGAACATTTGCGGGCAGGCTCGGAGGGCGGCAGGGATGCCTTGTGGGGGAGGGAACGCTGGCCGTTAGTCTATCCGTACGCCTGAGTTTTGGCAAAATCTTCCCGGGTAAGATTCCTCAAGCACGGGCTTAAACCCAACCCAATTGCCTCAACCGCTGCGACCTCGAACTACGCGGCTGAAAAGAACAACTTTGCGACCGCAGACCTGTTTCGATAGACTATTGGCACACCTACCTTCGCGCAATCGTCCTGCCTGCGACTAAGGATCGTGACCATGCGTCAGCCCACCAGATCCGTCTGCCGTACCGCCGACCATCAAGGCGGTATTTCCAGCAACCCGATGGCTCCGCCGACCAGCGACCTCATTCGCGTTGGGTCCCGGCGATGGTTTCTGCAAACCGGCACCGCGGGCCTTGCCGGTTTGTCGTTACCTGGGCTGCTACAAACACAGGCCAAGGGGGCGACAACGCCTTCACCGTCTGCAGATCGCAAGTCGGTGATTCTGTTCTGGCTGTCTGGAGGCCCTAGCCACATCGACATGTGGGACCCCAAGCCAGATGCACCGGCGGAGATCCGAGGGCCCTACCGTAGCATTTCTACCTGCCTACCCGGCGTGGCCATGTGCGAGCACTTGCCGCTTCAGGCCAAGCTGATGGACAAGATGACGATCATCCGATCGGTGGACTGCTCGGCCAGCAATCATACGCCCATCACCATGCAGGCGGGAAACTCGTTGGCGCAGCGAACCAACGACGGAAACGACGGGGGAGGTTACCCCTCGATGGGCTCGATTGCCGCCAAGTTCCGCGGTCCCAACGATCCCGCGATGCCGGCCTTCGTCGGTCTGGCCGACAGTTGGGCGGCCGACGTGTGGGGTGCAGGGCACATGGGAAGCCAGTTCGAGCCGATCAAAGGGAAAGAATTGCCCGGGCGGTTGTCGCCGCCTGAGGGTATCAGCGTTGATCGCTTGCAGAACCGTGACGTGCTTCGCAACGAGTTCGATAGGATGCGGAGGAGTCTCGATCGACAACAGGCGATGGACCATACCGATCGCTATCAGCAGATGGCGTACGACATGGTCCTCTCGGGCAAGACCGAAAGGGCGTTCGACATTTCTCAAGAAAGCGACGCCACCCGCGATGCGTATGGCCGTACCAGCATCGGCGAGAAGGGTCTGCTTGCCCGACGGTTGGTCGAAGCTGGATCGACGTTTGTGCTGGTCAGCGGTGCCTGGGGCTACTTCGATCATCATGGCGACGAAGTGCGCTGGGGCGGAATTGAGAAGGGGCTTACCCCATTGCTTCCTCGGGTCGACCAAGTGATGTATGCCTTGGTGAATGACCTCGAACAACGTGGGCTCTTGGATTCGACCCTGGTGCTGATGATGGGCGAGTTCGGGCGTTCTCCTGTGATGACCAAGACCCAGGGACGCGGACACTGGACCAATGTGATGTCGATGCTGGTCGCCGGCGGTGGACTGCCTTGCGGACAAGTGATTGGCAGCACCGACAGCCGGGGTTATGGCATTGCATCGGATCGGGTTTACCCTGCCGACTTGGCTGCGACCACCTTCAAGCATCTCGGTATCGATCTGCAATCGCACTGGATCAACGCCCAGGGACGCCCGATCCCGATTGTGACCGAAGGCGGAAAGCCAATCCCTGGGCTGTGCTAGTTTGGGGCATCTCCGCTTCGCTACCCTCATCAATCTAGGTACCCTGCCTTCGAGACGAGTGAGCCGGTATACTGCGCGACAACCGGCTTTATGGTCACGTTTTACGTGGGCTTTGTTCATTTCTCGACCGCGGGATCTTTCATGCCAGGCAAGAGTTGGACGCTGCTAAATACGCGGCAAGTCACCGATCATAAGATTTTCCAGGTGACCGAAGATAACTATCGCTTCGTGCCGACTTCCCGCGAACGTCCCTTCGTGCGGCTGTGCTGCCCGCCGTGGGTGAATATCATCCCCGTGACCACCGAGGGCGACGTGGTGTTGGTCCGGCAGTACCGGCATGGCGTGCGTGAGGTCACGTTAGAAATCCCCGGGGGGATGGTCGACCCAGACGAGGACCACGCCGTGGCAGCCCGCCGTGAGCTGCTTGAGGAAACCGGCTACGACTCTGAAGAGCTGCGACTGCTGGGTAGCGTGTGGCCCAACCCGGCCATTCAAGATAACCTGTGCTATTTCTACCTGGCCGAAAACGCCAAGCACTTGGCCGACCCACAGCCCGATCCGTTCGAGCGATTCGAGCTCGTCACGGTCCCCCTGACCCAAATCCCAGAGTTGATCGCCTCCGGGGAGATTCGCCACTCGCTGGTCATCACGGCTTTCGCCCTGAATGGGATCACGGCAACCCAACCGCGGTAAGTGGTTGCCACGGCTGGACAAGCCAACAGTGGGAACGGATAGTGTACGTCTTCCACCGAACATCCCGCCCGGTTGACACCGGCGGTGGCTCTCCATAATGGAGGGCTTATTCGTTCCCCACAGGGGACTCGGAACACTAATTCTCCACGAACGAGGCAGGTTACAGGGCTATGTCGCAACTCGCGCTATTGGGCGGAACCGCAACCAAGACGAAACCATTCCCCGAGTGGCCCATTTACGACGACACCGAACGCGACGCCTTGATGGCGGTGCTCGAGAGCCGCAACTGGTGGCGTACCCCAGGCACGCAGACCCTGGAGTTTGAGCAGGAGTTCGCCGCGTACCACGGGGCCAAACATGGCATCGCCATCACCAATGGAACCCATGCCTTAGAAGTTGCTCTGGCCGCACTCGACGTTCGCGCTGGCGACGAAGTGATTGTGCCAGATTCCACGTTTGTGGCCACCGCCAGCTCGGTGCTCTTCGCCGGGGCGATGCCGGTGATGGTCGACATTTGCCGCGACACCGAATGCATTGATCCAGAGTTGGTCGAAGCGGCTATCACGCCACGTACCAAGGGTATCATCGCCGTTCACATGGGCGGGCACCCGGCCGACTTGGATCGGCTGAAAGAGATTGCGAAGAAGCACAACATTTTCTTGCTTGAAGATTGTGCCCACGCCCACGGCAGCGAGTGGCGCGAGCAGAAGGTAGGCACGCACGGCATCGGTGGCACGTTCAGCTTCCAGCAAAGCAAGCTGATGACCGCCGGCGAGGGAGGGCTCATTATCACCAACGACGATGAGTTTGAAGGCAAAGCGCGAAGTGCGCACGACTGCGGTCGCTTGCCGGGCGAGTGGTTTTATGCCCACTTCTCTTATGGCTCGAACTACCGACTGAGCGAATGGCAAGGGGCCATGCTGCGGGCGCAATTGGGGCGGCTCGATGAGCAAACGGCCCGCCGGCACAAGAATTCGCTGCTGTTGGACGAGTTGCTCGGCGAGATCGAGGGGATTACCCCGCAGAAGCTGGACGAACGTTGCACCCGCAATGGGCACTATGCTTATATCCTTCGTTTCGACCAGGAAGCCTTTGCAGGGATCAACATCGACCAGTTCATAAAGGCCATGAACGCCGAGGGAATCCCCAACCAGGCGGCGTATCCGGCGATTCATTCACTCGACATGTTCAAAAACGGCGCCTACCGCAGCCGACTCTGCGGCGATCAAGCCAAGGAAGAACATGCATTCCTAAAGGACGAGTTCCCCAACGCCGTGGCCGCCGCCAGCAGCTATTGGGTACCGCAGTATGCCTTACTTGGTGACGAGCAGGACATGCAGGAGATTGCTGCCGCGATTCGTAAGATTCAAGGTGCGGCGGGGGAAATCAAATAACCGACGATTCACATTCTTTAGGGTGGGGCAGAAAAACGTGGCCAAACGCAGAACCTTCTCATTCAGTTTGGCTGGGTTATTTGTCGCGCTTACCTGGATCTCCATCGTCTTAGGTTTCACTGCCGTTTGGGGACAGCAGACTCTGTCTTACTCCCTGGCGGTTACTGGGGCGATGGTGGGGTTGCTACTTGGAAGGATCCTGGTTGATCGAGAACAGGATCGATCTCGTCATTGGTTACGTCACCCTCGGCCTTACGGCGCTGCACTGGCTTGCGCGACCATCGGCATGTTTACTGGAAGAGCGCTCGAAAGTATCGGCCCAAATCGTCCGACGGGATTTATTTGGATCTTTGGCGGGTGCGCCCTGGCAGGACTGCTAGGGATGGTGCTCGGCATGGCCCTGCGGGGCGAACTCTGGAACAAACCTTAAAGCTGTGATTAGGGCCGGCAATTAGGGTCCACATACGCTCTCATTTGTTCTCAGTCTCGCCCGAACGAACTGCCGTTACTCCGTCGAACTAAAGTCTCCCCGACCTTCAATTACCTGGTCGTTCAGCTTGATTCGCACGTCGGCCACGGTTTCGTCGACTTCGTTGGCCCCCTTGATCATGTGACCGGTGATCTTGCCGTCGGTGATGCGAAGGACGCCGCTGGTTTTCGAACCGAGTGTGAGTTCGATGCGTTGGCGATCGTATTCGATCCAACGCTCGTGCGGGCCGCCTTCGTCGAAGCTGAAGAAGAACACGAACCGCTCGTTACCGCCGCGGTGTACGTAGGCACGAATGGTCTCGCTGTAGGTCACGTTGGTTTCCAGCCCCGACTCTTCCACCACTTTGGCGAACTTGCCATCGGCGAAGAAGTTCTCGCGGCTGTAAATCACTTTGCTGTCTTTCCCGGCCGTGGCCTTCTCGATGGCATCTTTCAATCGTGTGCACGGCTCGAGCTTGTCGTCGACCTCGGGCAATTGGCCGGAAATGTACAGCCGACCGCCATCTTCGACAAACTTCGCCAATCGCTCTTGGCTCGCAGCATCCATGAAGTAGCCACTTTGCAGGGCGAGTGCCTTGGGTTGCGAGAGTTGCTCTTCGGTGGCCGCGTCGAGTTCAAACATACCGAAGGCGTAACCGGCTTCTTGTAGGGAGTGCGAAAACTCTTCAAAGCCCTCGCGACCACAACGGGGAATCTCGCTGTCGGCCACGCGCCAGTAGCGTTCGTCCGGCACCCAAGAGGACACGGCTGCGTATGGCGGGTAGAGCAGGTAGGCAACGTCGATATCAATCTCGCAGTTCAGCAATGCATCGCCGTGTTCGACGAACCAGGAGTTGAGAAACTTCGCCGTGTGATAGAGCGGCCGCAAATTTCCATGCTCGTCGATCGGTGCATCGGAGGGGAACGTTGGGCACTGCAACTTCGTGATGCGGTCGAGCGTTTCGTCCCAGTAATCGGTGCTGGCACCTACGAAGATGTCATATCCCGTCGCACCCGCCGCGACCGAAACGAGTGTTTGATAGAACGGAATCACGGGGAACTTGCTTCGCTTGTCATACAACGCGGCGAATCCCCAGTTTTCTTCCAGGTTCAAACCACGGGCGCGTCGGGCGGTATTCACGTAGCGATCGAAAACGTCTCGATCGTAGGCGGCCACGCCCAACCAACTGATCATGCCGTACTCGTAGTCGTCGCGGTCGGCATCCACGCGGTTCATGGCGAACCACCACTCGGGATACAGCCGTTGGTAATCGCTGGGGATCACCTCGTGGGCTTCGTCCTGAAGATCGGGAACGTTCTCCTCGATCGGGGGCGTGATGCCGGCATAGTTGGTCAACTGGGGTAGATCGATGCCGAGGTACTTCGCATAGCGGACGTAGAACTCCCGCCGCAGCTTCCACTGATACTCACCCCAGTCGGCGTATTTCAGTACTTCCTCGCGTGAGGACGGACCCGGAGGCTGATCCTTGGGGCTGTCATCGACTGTGAGCAATTTGGGCCCGCCCACGAAATCGAGCGCCGTGTGATTCGTACCGTGCAGGCGATTGTACGTCTCGACGTCTCCGTATCTCTCCGCGAGCAACTGCTGATAGAAACGCAGGCCAGAGGGCTCGTAGCCAATGTGCCACGGTGGATCGTTCGACATGCAGTAAATGGTTTCGTCATTCAATTGAATGGCAATACAGGGCCCGTCGGTACCGCAGTAGGGGGCGATCACTTCGCCGACCGCTTCGAGCCATTCCTTCACGAGGCCGTCGAAGTGCTCGTCGAAGGGGGCCGGCAGTTGACTGTTGTCGTAGGTCCACCGGCACGCTCGGCCGTGATGACGTCGGGCTTCGGGCATGCCGGGGTTGAAACCGGGGCTGACCAAATCGGGCAAGCCACCCACGTTTAACTCGGAGTGCACAAACGGCCCCGGCTTGATCACCATCAACAGGTCGAGCCGCTTGACCGTTTCCAGAAATGTTTTTAGGTCACGGCTGTCCTTCGTGCTGCCGTTGAAGTCGTAGGCGCGACGACCATTGTCCATCTGCAGATGGTGACGCCATGGGGTGTAAAACGTAATGAGTTCGACGCCTGATTCCTTCAACTTGGTGAGCCGATCTTCCCAGTGATCGCGACGGTCGCGGTAATACTGGTAGTCGCTGGCAATCACGAAAAACGGCTTGCCGTCTTTGTAGAAACGTCCGTTCTGGTAGGTGTATTGGCTCATGTGCTCAGGGTCTTAACTTACGAGAGTCGAGTGTCGTTCGTCTTCGCAAACACGTCGCGCGAAAACGTAGTGACCGAAACCGCGTACGAGATCGCAGGCTTCGGGGAGAATTCAGGGGGCTTCTGGTTCCGTGGGCTCGGCGGTGATGGCCGCAAGAAAGGCCGCTTTGGTGCGGCTTCCCACCGGTTTGCCGGTCACGGCGTCGAGCAATAAGACGTCTAACATACCTTTGCGTCGCTCGTAGTAGTAGGCCCAGTACGGGTATTGCCACAGGTCGATTTCCGGGTGACCGACGTCAAGGTTCTGGTTATTCCACCCCGGCTCGCGAACCCGGGCCAGTGTGAGCTGTTCGCGAGCAATTTCCACTGCATCTTCGTCGCCAACGGTGGGGGCGAATGCCTCGAAGTCGCTCACTTCTTGAACTTCGACCCCGCCGCCGCGAAGTCGCGTCACCATGGCATCGTGCCCACCGATGAGTAGCTCGATCGCCCCTTCGCGACCATCTTTCGAGAGTGGAAACCGCAGATGGTGGCAAGGCATCCAGACCATTTCTAACTTCGGCTGGCGACGCGTATTGGTGGGCAGATCACCCCTACCCTGCTTGGGAAGAACGAGCTTGAGCACCCGTTTCAGCCAACCGGTGTGTTGGCGAACGAGCAACAGCCAGGCCTTTTCTCGTGAAACCTGCGGACGAATCCCGTTCACGGCCGGCTCGAGGGATCTTCAGGCGGCAACGAGGCATTCAAACGTCGCCCACCCCAGATCATCCCCACACCCACGGCCATTAGTGTCATTCCGGCGATGAGATTCACCGTCATGGCGCGAGGGCGATCAAGCGTCCATAGGGTGGCGATCAACACCAGGCTCGCCAACACGCTGAAGAAGAACCCCAACAACTGCATCGAGGCGGCGTCGCGACGACTATGGGCATCATGATCTGGCTCGTTCACGGTTTCGCTCCGTTGGAGTGTCAGCCCAGGGTGATGTAGACGATCGTGTAGAGCGTCAACAAGATCACCGCCCAAATTCTCAGATCGCGCCAGCGGGCCTGATTGGGGGCGCCCAGGTACACGAATTCGCGACTGAGGCTCACCGCCCAAAGCCCCGCGATGACGAACAACCCCACGGCCGAGGCCTTCGCCATCCACATCGGCAGGCTGTCGAGCCACAAGTCGAGCGGTTCGTGTAGTTGATGCAGCGGAGGACCCAGCGTTTCGCGAAGCCAATCGATCGAGCGGGTGAGCACGCCGGGAGTTTCTGAATCATTCATGGCGGTTTTCGACCCTCGTCATTCCGAATCGACACGCTTCTGCAGGGCAGCTTGAGCGTCGGCATCGCTGAGCACCCGATTGTAGACCAGTCCTCGCAGTTTTTCAGGTGGTGCCGGCGGTGTGAACAAACTCACCACGACCGTAATGCCCAGCGAGAGAAAGAACGACCAGAACGACACAAACAAGAATGGTGTGTTCGAAGGGAACACCGAATTGCCTAATAGGTTGAGCATCACCGTAGTGATCACGCCTAGGGTTAGCCCAACAAAGCCGCCCCAGGGAGTGGCTCCCTTCCAGAATATGCCCAGCAACAAGATGGCGAGTGTCGGCCCTTGGAATAGCGAAAGCAGTGTCTGGATTGCTTCGTAGATCGTGCCGAACTGACTGACGAAGGGAGCAACCAAGGCCGCACCAATGAGAATTACAGCCGTAAGCACACGTCCGAAGATCACGCCCTGCTTGTCACTCAACCCATGGCCGGTGATGCCTTTGTGGATCTTCCCATAAACGTCGGACATGAACACCGTCGCGCACGAGTTCAAGTAAGAGTCGACGCTCGACATAAGTGCCGCGAGAAAGGCCGCAAACATGAGGCCCTTCAGCCCTGCCGGCATGAGCTTATTCACCAGCATGGGCACGGCTTTATCCGCTTCGTCTCCCAAGGTTGGGTCGAGCGCTCGTGCTGCAAGGCCCGGGATGAAGACCAGCACTGGGATGAACAGCTTGAATAGCCCGGCGAAGATCATGCCCGCCTTGGCGTCCCACTCGGTGCGGGCACCCAGGGCTCGCTGCATCACAGCTTGATTGGCCACGTAGTACGACGTGGACATGATCAGCCCTAAGCTGAAAACCATGCCCGTCCAGGGATATTCGGTATCGGCCAGGTGCGGCACTAGCAGCTTGAAGAACTCGGGGCCCTTCTCGCCTTGATCGAGAATGGTCTGCGTCAGGCCATCCCAGCCACCAACTTCCCACATGCTGAGAAACAACAACGCGGCGGCCCCAACGAACATCACCACGAGCTGCATCACGTCGGTCATCACCACGGCGGCCAAACCACCGGTGACCGTGTAGATGCCCACGATGACCACCGTGACCCAAATCGCGGTGAGGTAGCTCCAACCCAACACTTCGTTGAGAAATACGGCCGACATCCACAGGAACACCGAGACGTTGGCCGCCATGAAGAACAGCAGCATCAGGGCCTGCACCCACTGGGTGCCGCCGTTGTAACGACGTCCCAAGAACTCGGGCACGGTGTAGACCCCGGCCCGCCAGTAGTAGGGCAGAAAGACGAAAGCGGCCACCAGCACTGCCGGTACCGAGCCAATCCAGTCGAAGTTAGCCTGGGCGATTCCCTGTTCGTAGGCCCCTCCGGCACCCGCGATCAGGTCGATCGCCCCGATGTCGCTGACGACGATCGACATGCCGATGGCCCAAAAGGGCAACGCTCGTCCGGCAAGAAACAAGTCGCCGGAAGAGTGGATATAGCGGCCGAAAAACGACCCCACCAGCAACACGCCGGCCATATAGACGCCGATGATCAGATAGTCGATCGAGGCAAGTTGTCCTGCAAGCTCGGGCATCTACGACGGGGCGGGGCTAAGAATATTCGGCGGGACACGCAAATGACGCGAGCGATGTTACCACAGCAGGCCCCCATGTTGGTAGGTGCCGGGAGCAGATTCAGGCCGTTGACAACGCAGGTCTTCCGTCGAAACCCCTTCAGCCGTCAGGAAAGGGTCCCTTTTCGGCTTGGAGAACGAGCTTGAGACGCAGGTCGCCACGGCTCGTTGGGGTGGGAGTAGATAAGTGGGTCGGCTTGGTGAACCAATGGCGCAAAAAGCAACCGGCCAGACCCAAGCGGATCTGGCCGGCGCAGTTTTCACAAAACATTGATGGCTGCGAAACGAGTTCACCTAGGTGAACACACAGCCCGTCGGCTGCTCGTTAAGTGAGCCACCTCTGGTTGATTCTACACACGTGGATCACCTCCTTTCGCTAGAGCCCATTTGTCGGTCAACCGTACCAGCTACGGGACCTTCAAAACTCCAGTCAAACAGGGTTACGTCAACCCCGTCACAACCACTGACTGAATAGTAGGCCGAATGGCCTTCGCAGGTCAAGCATATTTTGTGGTCCACCCATCCGGTGTGAAACCAAAAATCTCGCATCAACGTTGAGCGATAGCATCGAGATACCAAATGCCGCCGCGAAGCGAACCAACATGTGGGGTTGGGTGTCTTACTTGATTGGTCAAGAAAGCACGACACCCAAGTTGATTGCCGTCCAACCCAGAATTCTCTACCTGCTAGATCGAGTATTCTTCACTTGCGCTAAGACTGATCTGGCAGATGATTTCTTAAGAAGCAAGTTGCCCTTACGTCGCGACAACTCAGCCCCCCAACGTTCATTTTTTGCTCTTTGAAACTTAGCCCGTTACGCTCTAGCAAACTCACCGTTTGCAACGCGAGACCGCGACGATGAAACGTCTTCCCTTGGGACAACTGTACTACGAATACAGCCGGCTTCACGAGCCGCGGCTTTGGATCGCTCCTGGAGAGTCGGTCGAGGTCGAAACCGAAGACGCCTTCTCGGGGCAGATTCGCACAAATGACGACCGACGGGACAAAACGACACAGCCACTCAGCAATCCGCAGACGGGGCCCATCGCTGTTGAAGGAAGCGAGCCGGGCGATGCGTTGGCAGTGGAGATCATCTCGATCGAACCACTGCTAGGAAAATGCTTCACTCGCACGAGCGATCCCAAACAACTGTGTGAATGGCTGGGAGACGATTGCCCGCATGGAACGCGTGTTTGCGAGATCCGCGATGGGCAGGTTCACTGGAGCGATTCGATCACCATTCCGTACGCTCCCATGTTCGGCTGCATCGGTACCGCACCCGCGATTGGTGTTCCCTCGACGACGCCGGCGGGACCACATGGTGGGAACATGGACCTGGTCGAAGTCTGTCCCGGCAGCACTGTTTATCTGCCGGTGTTCGTACCGGGAGGGTTGCTCTACATGGGCGATGCGCATGCTGCCATGGGGCACGGCGAGCTTTCGGCCAGCGGACTGGAAATGCCCGCCCGCTCAGTGATTCGCGTCAATCTAGTAAAGCAAGCCCATCTCCCCGGGGTGCGAATTGAAACCCCGGACGAAATCATGTGCGTTGCCACCGGCACCCCGATGGAACGCTCGATTGCTGAAGCCTACGCACGGCTAATCCAGTGGATGGAGCAAGAGCACCAATGGAACCGCTGGAAAGCCTACGACCTGCTCACCCACGTGGGACAGATTTCGGTGGGATACTACGGGATCGGTACGGTGGCGGCGAAGGTTGCCAAGCGATACCTGGCCGGATCTTAACCGGTGCGTTTACACGTTCTCTTCAATCGCCCGACTTACTCGCCACTTCCTGCGGGCCGGCGAAGATCGGCAGCTCCATGTGCGAGGGATGTTCAGCCGATACATACAGCTTGTTCGTCGCCAAGCGGGGCTCCGCTTCGCCGATCGGCTTACCCGTGTTGGGGTTCGTTTCGAAGCGGGGGAAGTTCGAGGAGGAGATGGCCACGCGAATGCGGTGCCCCTTGTTGAAGATCAGCGAAGTGCTCCAGAGGTCGACGTGCAGTTCGTAGACCTTGCCCGCTTCCAACAACGAGGGTTCTTTGAACGAGTCGTGGTACCTTGCCCGCAGGATGCCGTCGGTCACCAGCATCGAACGCCCGTCGGGATAGACGTCGGTGAGCTTCACAGTGAAATCGGTATCGGGACAATCCGACGAAACGTATAGCACTCCGGTCAAACGGCCGGTCACTTCCAGCGGTGCTTCCAGCACGTCGGTGGTGAACAACAGCACGTCGTCCCGGCCTTCGATTTTCCGCTGATCCATCGGGCCCTTGGGAAGAATCAAGTTTTGTCCGCCGGTAGTGGGCACGGGATTGCCCGGGTCGTACTTGTAACTCAACGCATCGCCCGAGGTTGGTTTGGCCGTCGACATCGTTCCGTCGGTATGGAAATAGTACGAGACTTCATCGGCCGGTGGGGGCCAATTGTCGGCCGAACGCCAGACATTTCCGGGAGCGTCTGGGTCGGTCGGGTCTCCCATCACGTAGTACTGCACCGCAGGAGCGTCGGCTGTGCCGTTCTCCGCACCGCGGAGGTGATAATCGAAGAACCGCAAGTCGTCTGCGGCTTCGAGCCCACCCAGGTTCGAGTTCGCGGGATACTTTAGCTCGTTGAATGTTCCATGTGCCCACGGGCCAACAATCAACCGGCACTTCCCCCGAGCCCCCGGTCCCCCGTGGGTGTGAATCGAAGTGAATGAGTTGATCGAACCCTGCAGAAAAATGTCGTACCAGCCCCCCACGAACATGCCGGGCGTGTTGACCTGTTCGGCATGTGACTCGGGACTAAGTTCGTCCCAGAATTCGTCGCGCGACGGATGGGCACGAAACACATCGAGATTGCCCTCAACAATGCGGTTGGCGGCGAGCCACCCTTCCATCATCTGCTTCCTCAGTACACCGCCCTGGTAGATGCATTGGTCGTACATGTCGGAGAAGGCGACCAAAACGTGCTGGGCTTTCAAATTCTCCGGAGCCCCGGGTGCCATCATATTTTGCGTGATGCCCAAGGCCGATCCGCCGTAGGTGCCAACGACCCCATCACTCCACGGCTGCGATACAATCCAGCGAATGGTGTCGTGCCCGTCATGGTTCTTGGCCCAACCGTGATGGTGGAAGATCACGGCGTCGTCCCCTTCCGACTTCCCCATCCCTCGCACGTCTTGCGCCACCACCGCATAGCCCTCGCGGCAGAACCGCTGGGCCGGCCCCTTGATGCCTGAGCGACCGTAAGTGGTGCTGACATAGATCGTCGGATACGGCGGTTCCGCACCTTCGGGCAGATACACGTCCGTCGCCAGCCGGGTTCCGTCCTCCATCGCAACCATCTGCGTCTGCGTATCAACGGCGTAAGCCGGGATTGTAAGAAGCCCAACGACTAGAAGGATCGTGACCAACGCACTCGCTATGCGATGGGCTTGAAGCGCTTCTGTAGGGAACGCCCTCCGTGGCGTTTCGTGCGTAACGGCAATCCACGGAACGCCACGGAGGGCGTTCCCTACAGAAGAGCGTAGCCCGACTACATTATCTATCGCGCATCCCTTGGGCATGTTGATCTTTCTCCAGTCAGGCGGTTAAAACTGCTCGCTTGGGGTCAATCGATAATAGCCGTGTGACGGGTCGCGAGCCAACTTTTTCGCTTCCGACCACTACACCGAATTACTACCGCCACCTAGCGAAGCAAAACTATCTATGAACAGCGAAACGAAGAGCTCTGCAGACGATCTTCCCCGGTGGGACCTTTCGAATATCTACTCTGGACTCGAAGCCACCGACTACCGCTCGAGCTTCGGCGAGTTCGTCGCGCAACTGGAGCAGTGCGAGGCCTATTTCGACGCGAAAAGTATCCGCCGCTCGGATAATCCGACCGACGGAAGCACGGCGGAACTGGGCATCCTACTCGAGAAGCTGCTCGATCTGCTCAACGACTTGTCGCTGCGATTCCACACGCTCGATGCCTTCGTGTATGCCATTTTCACCACCGATAGTTACGACGCCGCGGCCACACGCGAAGTATCAAAACTCGAGCAACTCGAAACTCGGCTTCGCAAACTGCAGGTGCGGTTCCAAGGTTGGCTGGGTTCGAATGAGAGCCAACTCGATTCTGTAGTCGACGTCAACGACACCTGCCGGCAACACGCTTTCTTCCTGAAGGACACCGCCAGACAAAGCCGTTACCTGATGGACGAGGCCCTCGAGGGACTGGCTGCAGAGATGGCGGTCGATGGGGGTGGGGCGTTCGGAAAACTACAAGGAAACGTGACCAGTCAGCTCAAGGTGCCGTGGGAGAAGGATGGCAAGATTGAACTCCTGCCAATCGCGCTGGTGCACAGTTTTTGCTCCGATGCCGACGCGGAGGTTCGCAAACGGGCGTACGAGGCCGAAATAGAAGGTTGGCGTTCGGTACGAACCACAGTGGCCGCTTGCATGAACGGGGTGAAGGGCACAGCGCTAACTCTGGCCAAGCGGCGTGGTCGCGAAAGCGTGCTTGATGTGACGCTGGATAACAACAACATCGACCGCCCCACGCTCGACGCCTTGCTGGGGGCGATCCGCGAGGCGTTCCCCGTGTTCCGCCGTTACCTGAACAGCAAAGGCAAAAAGTTGGGGCATGCGAAACTCCCCTGGTGGGATCTGTTCGCTCCCGTGGGCGGTGCCGAGAAGAGCTTCAGCTGGTCGCAGGCACGTGCATTCATCATTGAGCACTTTTCTTCCTTCAGCGACGACTTGGGGCAGATGGCCACCGCGGCGTTCGACCGCAACTGGATCGACGCTGGCCCTCGCGACGGGAAACGTGGTGGGGCGTACTGCATGGAAGTTTCGAAGGTGGAAGAAAGCCGCATCCTGGCGAACTTCGATGGTCAGTTCGACGGCGTGAGCACGCTGGCCCACGAACTGGGGCACGCCTACCACAATCATTGTCAGGCCGGTTTGCCGCAACTCCTTCGCGGCTCTCCCATGGCCCTGGCCGAAACGGCCAGCATCTTCTGCGAGACGCTTATCACCGAGGCAGCCCTGGAGAAGGTCGGTCCAGAAGAGTCGCTGGCCATTCTCGAATCGCAACTGACTTCGGCAACCCAAGTCTGTGTCGACATTAGCTCGCGTTTCATTTTCGAAACCAACGTGTTCGAGCGTCGGGCCGAAAGCGAACTCAGCCCCGACGAACTGTGCGAGTTGATGGTGTCCGCCCAGCGTGAAACCTATGGTGAGGCGATCGACGAGGAGACTTATCACCCTTACATGTGGTTGTGGAAACCGCACTACTATTCGTACGGGGCGAACTTCTACAACTTTCCCTACGCCTTTGGTCAGCTCTTCGCCCTGGGCCTGTACGCCGTCTACCGCCGCGAAGGCGAGTCGTTCCTGCCCCGCTACAAGCAACTCCTCCGCGACACCGCCTGCGACAACGCCGCCCCCCTGGCAGCCCGCTTCGGCATCGACATCACCAAGCCCGACTTCTGGCGCGAGAGCTTAAACGTGGTGGCGGAACAGGTCGAGAGCTACGAAAAACTTTCGTAGCGCGTTTGCTTGCAAACGCGAACCGTGGGCAATACTTGCCAGAGATCTCCCTACGACCGGCTCGCCGCTTCCGCCTGTCGCATTTCTTCGCGCATGGCGGTCATGGGGGGGAAGACCTCGTCGACGCTTTCTTTGAACAGGTCGCCGATGAGCAGATCGGTGATGTGGCCTTGGAATTGGGGGTACTTTCGCAAGAACTTGCCGAAGCTGAAGCCCTCGTAGAAGGCACAGACGAGTTCCCGCATGCGTTTCATCCCCCGGCGGTATTCTTCTGACCAGCGGCCGAGTTGTGCGGCAGAAAGATCGTCTGCTTTGAAACCATCGACGATCGCGTCGGCGGCCAGTTCGCCCGACTTCAGGGCGAGGAACACGCCCGAGGAATACACGGGGTCGAGAAACCCGAACGCATCGCCCACCAGCACCCAGCCGGGCCCGGCGACTTCGGAAGAGGTGTAGGAAAAATCTTTCGTGGCCCGATACTCGGCCACGCGTTCGGCTCCTTCCAGGCGTTCTTTCGCGGCCATGCAAAGTTCGACTTGTTCGTTAAAGATTTCTCCGTGATCGCGGCGGTCGGCGAACAGCTCGTCGAAATCACCGACGACCCCCACGCTCACAATGTCGTCGGGCAACGGGATGTACCAGAACCATCCCTTCTTACCTTCGGTGTGCATCACGAGCGTGGCCCCCTCGTCACGGCCCGACTCGCGCCGGGCACCGCGGTAGTAGGTCCAGATCGATCCCTTACGCAGATGCGGATCGGCCTGACGCAATTTCAGCCGGCTGGAGATCATTGAGCTTTGCCCGCTGGCGTCGGCCACCACCTTGCAGGAGATATCCCGAGTTGAACCATCAGAGTCTTGCACTCGAACTCCACAGGCCCGATCACCTTCGAAGAGGACTTCGCGAACGCGAGCGCCTTGATGGACCTCGACGCCGTGCTGTTTGGCGTTGTCGAGCATCATCCGGTCGAACTCGCTTCGCAGCACCTGCCAGGTAATCGAACACTCGTGCGGCTTGTGCTCGTCGAAGTAGAACGGTTGCGATTCTTTGCCGGTGTCGTTGATGAACTGCACGCTGTACTTGCGGACGTAGGGGCTTGCCTTCAGCTTGTCGAGCACTCCTAAGCGTTTGAACGTCCAGTAGGTCTCCGGCATCAGCGATTCGCCGATGTGAAACCGCGGAAAATCGTCTCGCTCGAACAGCGTCACGCGATGCCCGTGCTGGGCCACGAGCGTGGCAACCGTCGCTCCAGCGGGCCCACCGCCAATCACCGCCAGATCGGTGTCCGTTTGCGTGTCGTCTTTCGATATCACGTCCGTACTCCGGCCTGATTATGTGCTTAATAAATCGCTGAGCGCCGCATGGATGCCTTCATGCATGCTATGCGTGGGGCAAGTTCGCCGCAACACGAGGGGCGTTCGCTCAGCCACCACCAATGGCGGGCAGGAAGTGGATTTCGCTGTCGGGCCCCACGGTTGCAAACAGCCCCTGCGTGGTCATCACACCGTCGATTGACGCAGCCAACCCGGCCACAAGCCGATCGCCCTCGCGAAGTTGGCCCTGCAGTTCGGGGAATTCTTCCTCTAGGGCTGCTACCACTTGCCGCAATGACTTACCGGGAACGCGCACCTCAGGCGTGCCGCCGGTATATTCTTGTAGCATCGACGAAATGAACACCCTCGCCATGTCGTTTCCCAGCGGTTTTCGTGCGATTTTTCGGAGCAGACGTTGTAAGACGACGCTGATTTACTCAGCCGTCTCGCGTCGCGCTGCTTCGATTGCCGCCCAGAGGCGGGGTGGGGAAATGGGTAGTTCTTTGGGTCGCACACCCGTGGCTGCATGAATCGCCGCCGCCACGGCACCCGGGGGTGGCACGATCGGTACCTCGCCGGCTCCGCGAACTCCATAGGGATGGTCGGGGTTGGGTACCTCGACAATGATCGTTTCGATCATCGGAAGATCCAACGATGTGGGCATGCGGTAATCCAGGTAGCTGGCGTTTCTCATGCGGTTGTTCTGATCGTAGACATATTCTTCGTTGAGAGCCCAACCAATGCCCTGCACGGCACCGCCCTGCATCTGGCCTTCGAAGTAGCTGGGGTGAATCGCCCGGCCTGCGTCTTGCACCACGGTGTAACGAAGGATCGTCACCTTGCCAGTCTCAGGGTCGACTTCCACGTCGGCGATGTGTGTGCCGAAGCTGTTCGTCGAACCCTCGGGACTCACGGTCGCCCGACCGACCACCGGGTCGCCGAGTTCGGCCAGCTTGCCGGCCAGTTCTTTGAACGTGATGCGGTTGTCGCCGGATACGAACGAACCGTCGTCGAACTTCACGTCCTCAGGATCGCACTCCCACAGTCGGGCAGCTCGCTGGCACATTTGCTCTCGAAGATCGAGGCCCACCTTATAGGCGGCCATTCCAGTGGCGAACGTCACGCGGCTACCACCGGTGACGTCGGTGTAGCCCACACTGTCGGTATCGACCACCTGGGGCAACACGGCTTCGGCCGCGATGCCCAGAGTTTCTGCCAGTTGCATGGCGATTGAAGTTCGCGTTCCGCCGATGTCGGTGGAGCCTTCCAGCAACGTAACGGTGCCATCAGGGTTCACGTTGGCGGCCACACTCGACTTCAGCCCAATGTTGAACCAGAAGCCGCTGGCTACACCACGGCCGCGATTAGGGCCTTCGAGTTTCGACTTGTAGTGCTCGCTTGCCTTGGCGGCCTCGAGCGTTTCAACCAGCCCCACGCGGGGATAAACCGGTCCGTCCACGCGACGTGTTCCTTCTTTGGCCGCGTTCTTCAGGCGGAACTCGATCGGGTCGATGCCCAATTTCTCGGCCAGCTCGTCGACCACCGATTCGCACGCAAAGGCGGCTTGTGTGGCTCCGGGTGCCCGATAAGCCGCACACTTGGGTTTGTTCTCGACCACGTCGAAACCTTCAACCAAGGCATTCGGAAGGTCATAGCAACTGAAAACGCACATGGTGCCGGGGCCGATGATGCCGGTGGGGTACGCTCCCGCGTCGTAAGCCATCCAGGCTTGGGCTGCAGTTAGGCGACCGTCTTTCTTGGCACCCAGCTTGATGCGGATGAAGCTGCCCGGCGTGGGACCCGTCGACTCGAAGCAATCGGCCCGGGTCATGGCCATCTTCACTGGTCGGCCACACTTGCGGCTGAGCACTGCGGCCACCGGTTCGAGATAAACCGGGATCTTGCCGCCAAAACCACCGCCGATTTCGCAGGGCACCACCGTCACACTGGAGATGGGAATCTGCAGAAGTTCGGCCGTTTGTTGCCGGCAGGTGAAGGAACCTTGTGTGGAAGTCCAAATCTTCAAAGGCCCGTCGGTGTTCCACAGTGCCGTGGTGGCGTGCGGTTCGATGTAGCCCTGATGCACGGTCGCGGTGCGGAACTCGCGCTCGAGGACCACGTCGGCGTCTGCGAAACCTTTTTCGATATCGCCCTGCTCGAAGCGGATGTACTGAGCGATGTTCGTCGGCTTCTTGCCCTTCTTGCCATTGCGATCGAGGAACAACTCCTCGTGGAGCACCGGCGCGTCATCGGCCATCGCGTCCATTACCCAGGTAACCGAAGGCAGTTCTTCGTATTCAACCTTGATGAGCTGTACGGCCTCTTCCGCGATGCTCGCCGTCGCGGCGGCCACGGCAGCCACGGGTTGCCCCTTATACAGCACCTTATCGCGGGCCATGATGTTGGCCGAAAGGTGCGCCAGGTTCACCGCACCTTCGCCCAGGTGCGCCGTCTTATTCGCCAAGTCGGGGAAGTCGGCTCCCGTGATCACTGCATGAACACCGGGCAATTGTTGTGCGGCCGAGGTATCAATCGACTTGATCTTGGCATGCGCATGGGGGCTGCGGAGCATCTTCCCATGCACCATGGCCGGAAGGTAGAGGTCGTTGGTGTAGATGGCGCGACCGGTGACCTTGTCGGCCCCGTCGTGACGCACGGGCCGGGTGCCGATCACCTTGTACTTCACGGCACCGTTGGTGGCAGCCTGGGGTTTGATTTCGGGGGTGGTGGCCATCAGCTACGCGCCTCCTGTAGGTTCTTCGCGGCATGTTGCACGGCTTTGATGATTTTATCGTAACCGGTGCAGCGACAGAGATTGCCTGCCAATTCGAATCGAATCTGCTCTTCAGTCGGGTTCGGGTTGCGATCGAGCAGGGCCTTGGCGGCGACCAGAAAGCCCGGGGTGCAGACCCCGCATTGCAGGGCGGCATCTTCCAGAAAGCACGACTGTAACGGGTGGAATCCGCTTTCGTCGGCCATGCTTTCCACTGTGGTGATTTCGGCCCCTTCGGCCTCGACCCCCAACACGATGCAGCTATCCACAGGCCGCCCGTCCATCAGCACGGTGCAGGCACCGCAGTTTCCGTTGTTGCAGCCTTCTTTGGCCCCGGTCAGCTTGAGTTCGTCTCGTAACACCTCGAGCAGGCTTTGTCGGGCCTCGCACAAGAATTCAACGGCCTCACCGTTGACGGTCGTCGAGACATGCAGTTTCTTCTTTCGCGTCACCGTCACTCAACCTTTCGCCCCAAGGGGCCGTTCGTTCTGAGGTGTTGTGCTCTTGGATTAAATCGTTTTTTGATGATGGGGGAGAACGCTAGCCTTCGCGGGCCCGTTCTACGGCCTTGGCGATTGCCCGTTTCGCCAACACTCCAACCAGGTGTTGACGGTACTCGGCCGGACCTCGCATGTCGCTGATTGGCTTGGCCACCGTCCGCACGCGATCGGCTAGTTCTTCCAGAGTCGATTCGTCGGGCGACTTGCCCGAGAGCCAGCTTGCGGCATCGTCGGCCGTGACCACCGTGGGGGCGACAGCGGCCAACGCGATACGCGCTTCGCTGATGGCTTCTTTCTTGGCATCCAACTGCACCCAAGCGGCACAGCCAACCACGGCGATGTCCATTTCGTTACGCGGAATGAACCGCAGGTAATGGGCGCCTGAATTCTTTGGTTGGGGTGGCAGTTGGAGGGACACTAGAAACTCGCCTCGCTCCAGGGCGTTCTTCCCAGGGCCCGTGCAGAACTTCGCCGCGTCCAACTCGCGGGTGCCCGAGGGTCCTGCGATGTGGCACTTGGCCTGGTACACCACCAGCGGCGGAACCGAATCGGCCGCAGGCGAGGCATTGCAGAGATTGCCACCGACGCTGGCCCGATTTTGAATTTGCCAGCCACCGATGATCCGTGCCGCATCGGCCAGGGCGGCGTAGGTGTCGGCAACTTCCGGTGTCTCATAGATGCGATAACACGGGGTCGACGCTCCCAGGGTCAAGCCAGACTTCGCATCGAAGTCAAGCTGCGTGAGTTCAGGGATCTTCTTCACATCGACGACCAAGTCGGCCTCTTTCAGGTGCTCGCGGAGTTGCACCAGGAGGTCGGTTCCCCCGGCAAGCACGCGAGCGCGTTCTCCGCTGGCGGAGAGAAGGCTGACGGCTTCGTCAATCGTGGTGGCGGCTTCGTAATCGAAGTTGTTCACTTGAGAGTTGCTCGCAAAAACGCCGAGTTGAAAGTCGAGGTCGATCTTAAGAGTACCAACCTCCACAGAATAGTCGCCCGGTAAAGTACTCTGCCGAAATATGGGGGTAGCAGGTGGCGATTGTCAAGCGTTGCGGGCCAAGGTGCCCGTCGCTCAACGGCCGGGCCTACGCGGTAAAAACTGGCCATTCCCCCGCAGCTTCGATAGAATTCCCAGAGGTGGGAAGCTGCGGCAAGCGGTCGCGAAGACCGGCTCGATCGTTGAGAGTTTGAGGAATGATTTGATTTCTCACATCGAGTAAGCCACTTCTCTCTCGTGGGTGTGCTCGTCCGCATGGCCAACGACGCCTTGCGATCCGAATATGCGTTCAAGCCGAGGAGATATCTAATGGCTACGCTGACTGAAACGGTGAAGAAACCCGAGATCCGACAAACGCAATGCTTCATTGGTGGTAATTGGACCCCTGCGGCGAGTGGCAAGACGTTTGACACTATCAACCCGGCCACTGAAGAAGTGATCACCCAGGTGGCCGAGGGCGACAAGAAAGATGTCGACCTGGCCGTGAAAGCGGCTCGCGATGCCCTGGAGAATGGCCCCTGGGGTAAGATGGACGCCCGCGAACGTGGCCGGCTGATGTATCGCCTGGCCGATCTGATCGAGGACGAACTCGATGAACTGGCCGCACTCGAAACGCTCGACAATGGCAAACCGATCCGAGACTCACGCGGGGCCGACTTACCGCTGACGATCGACTGCCTGCGGTACTACGCGGGGTATGCCGACAAGATCCACGGCCAGACGATTCCCGTTCGGGGAAACTACTTCACGTACACCCGTCGCGAACCAGTGGGCGTGGCCGGACAGATCATCCCCTGGAACTTCCCGATGCTGATGGTCGCTTGGAAGTGGGGCCCCGCGTTGGCCGCCGGCTGCACAATTGTGATGAAGCCGGCCGAGCAAACGCCGCTCACCTGTCTCCGCATGGGCCGGCTGGCTCAGAAGGCCGGCATCCCGGATGGCGTGATCAACATTGTTCCCGGTTTTGGTCCCACGGCCGGCGGAGCGATCGTCAAGCATCCTGATGTCGACAAGGTGGCTTTCACCGGTGAAGACGCCACCGCGAAGATTATCATGAGAGACGCCAGCGATACGCTGAAGCGGCTCACCTTCGAACTGGGTGGCAAGAGCCCCAACATTGTGTTTGCCGACGCCGACCTGGACGCGGCGGCTTTGGGTGCGCATGTGGCGCTGTATTTCAACCAAGGCCAATGCTGTTGTGCCGGCAGCCGGCTGTTTGTCGAGGACAAAATTTACGACAAGTTCGTCGACAAGCTCATCTCGATGAACGAAACGCGCAAGCTCGGCGACCCGCTCGACCCCGAGACCGAACAAGGCCCGCAGGTCGACCAGGCCCAGTTCGACAAGATCATGCGTTTTGTCGATATCGGTCGCGAGCAGGGCGCGAAATGCGTCAGCGGCGGGAAGCGATTTGGCGATCGCGGCTTCTTCGTCGAGCCCACGATGTTCACCGAAGTCGAAGACAACATGGACATCGCCCAGAAGGAAATCTTCGGGCCCGTGCTGTCGGTGCTGCGTTTCAAAGATACCGACGAGGTGATCAAGCGCGGCAACGCCACCCACTTCGGCCTAGCAGCCGCCGTTTGGACCCGCGACGTCAACAAGGCCCATCGCCTGGCCGCCGAACTCAAAGCCGGCACCGTGTGGGTCAACTGCTATGACGTGTTCGACGCTGCAGCCCCCTTCGGCGGCTTCAAAATGTCCGGCATGGGTCGAGAATTGGGCGAAAAGGGCTTGGATGCGTATACCGAATCGAAGACGGTGACGATTAGTTTGGATTAGGCACACTACGTATCTGGCAGTGGTGAGTGAAAACTAGGTCTGTGCCATCCTGCGCCGTTCAAATGCTGTCAGCAGGAGCTACTAGAGTTGCGTTCTATTTGGAAATGGAGCCCTGGAGTCCTGCTCGCAGTTCCCGTGCTTCTGTTCGGGTACCAGATATTTAGGTATGGCTGGTTTCCTCCACACATCACGCAAAGTGACGGTTGGCTGGAAATAGAAAATGCGCCAAAGGGTTTTACCCTCTCAGGTTTGCTTCCGCCGTCCGCAACGCAGTTTTGCTTTGCACAGTCTGGGGTAGGTCCGGGGGGACGGTTGAGGTCATACGCAGTGAAGGGATCCGCATCTGAACTTCACGAACTCGCGAAGGCGGAATTCGCAGCCCACCCGGATAATCCCGGGAGCAGTATAGAAGAAAACACAGAATCGCCCTTCAACCTGGATTATATCGAGTTCTTAGAGGACAGTTATTACGTGGACCTGAATTGGTTGAGGCCGGCTGCGAAAGTGACCGGAAGCGTTTACTTGGCAAAAAATGAAGATGTGTATCGTCCGCCTTTGATTTTCGTAGACGGTTCGGGTGGGGTGCTTTATTTTGTGATGACCGACTAGTCGCTTCCGGGGATAGAGATGAAGCAGCAAAGACAATCGCTCTCGTTCGGGCTGGCTAATCACCGATAGAGCATGCCCCCGTTTGATGGCGTTTTCGAACCGTCGCAAGTTCCTGTAGGGAACGCCCTCCGTGGCGTTCCAGAATTGCGGTTGCGCACGGAACGCCACGGAGGGCGTTCCCTACAGAGGATATTCATTCGACCTCCAATCAACTGCCTTTGAGCCACTTGGGCAGTGAATGCTAAGCTTCAACTTGCAGGTTGGCGTCGAACCCCGCAGTTCACGGGGCGGTTGATCGATGCAACCGTTGCCTGTCTCTTACATGGCGGATGATGCGATGCGGAAAGTTCGATCGGGTGGCGGGTTGGCCGCCATTGCTTATACGTTTCGCAAGGCTCGCGAGGTGGGCGGCTTGTGGGCCTTTTGGCGGGCCATGCGGAGTAAGAATGCCTGTAAGACCTGTGCCCTGGGGATGGGCGGGCAGGCCGGCGGAATGGTGAACGAAGTTGGGCACTTTCCCGAGGTTTGCAAGAAATCGATGCAGGCCATGGCCGCCGACATGCAGGGAGCCGTGCGGCCCGAGTTCTGGAAAACCTACAGCTTGCCGCAACTCAGGGCGTTCAGCCCCCGCGAGTTGGAAACCAGTGGGCGGCTCACCCAACCGATGTTGCTCACCCGCGGGGAACAGTATTACCGCCCCATCTCGTGGGACGACGCCTTCCGGCGGATCACCGCCAAACTCAAGGCCACCGCGCCTGACGAAACGTTCTGGTACTTCAGCGGGCGCAGTTCCAACGAGGCCGGGTTCCTGCTGCAACTGTTCGCCCGGGTGTTCGGCACCAACAACGTGAACAACTGCAGTTACTACTGCCACCAGGCCAGCGGCGTGGGGCTTACCGCTTCGGTCGGCGTGGGCACGGCCACCATCGTGCTCGAAGATCTGGATAAGTCCGACCTGGTCATGCTCATCGGCGGCAACCCGGCGAGCAATCACCCCCGGCTTATGTCCAACCTGATGCGATTACGCCGCCGTGGCGGGGAAGTCGTGGTGATCAACCCGGTGCGCGAAACGGGGCTGATTAATTTCCGTGTGCCCAGCGATGTCCGCAGCCTGCTGTTTGGTACCGAGATTGCCAGCCAGTACGTGCAGCCGCACATCGGAGGCGACCTGGCCTTGCTTAGCGGCATTGCCAAACGCGTGCAAGAGTTGGGCGCGGTCGATGAGACGTTCGTCACCGAGCATTGCGAAGGCTGGCCAGAGTGGTCGGAACATTTGAAGCAACTTTCCTGGGACGACATCGCCCGACTTTCTGGCGTTGCCAAAGACGAGATCGATCGCATCGCCCAGAAGTACGCCGCGTCGCGTTCGGCGGTGTTCGCCTGGACGATGGGCATTACGCATCACGCCGTGGGCGTGCAGAACGTTCAGGCGATCGCCAACCTCGCACTGATGCGAGGCATGGTCGGTCGGCCTGGGGCAGGACTGCTGCCGATCCGTGGTCACTCGAATGTGCAAGGCATGGGCTCGGTGGGGGTCACCCCGCAGTTGAAGCAAGCGGTGTTCGATCGACTGCAACAGGACTTCGGCCTGCAACTGCCGGTGCAGGCGGGGCTCGATACCATGGGCTGCATCGAAGCTGCGGCCGAAGAGCGGATGAAAGTCGGCTTCTGCCTGGGAGGAAACCTCTACGGCTCGAACCCCGATGCCAAGTATGCCGCCGAGGCCCTGCAGCGGCTCGAAATGGTGGTCTATCTCAGCACCACGCTGAACACAGGGCACGCCCACGGGACGGGCGACGAGACGATCATTCTGCCAGTGTTGGCCCGCGACGAAGAACCGCAGCCCACCACGCAGGAATCGATGTTCAGCTACGTGCGACTCAGCGATGGCGGTCCAGCTCGTCTCGAAGGCCCAAAAGCCGAGGTTGAAGTGATTGCGGAAATCGCCGAGGGCGTGCTTGGTAACGATGGGCCCATCGACTGGAACGCGATGCGAGGTCACCGGCGGATCCGCGAGGCCATCGGCAAGATCGTGCCCGGGTTCGAAGGTATGAACGAGATCGACACCACACAAAAAGAGTTTCAAATTGGCGGGCGAACGCTGCACCAGCCGCAGTTCCCAACCGCCTCGGGTCGGGCGACTCTTCACATCCATGCCCTGCTCGAGCTGGCTGGAGATGAAAACTCGCTACGTCTGATGACTGTGCGGAGTGAAGGCCAATTCAACACGGTGGTCTACGAAGAGTATGACCTGTACCGAGGGCAAGACCGCCGCGACGTGGTACTGGTGCATCCGGATGATATTCGCCGCATGGGACTCGAAGCCGAAAGCCGCGTGTCGGTGTGCTCAACGACCGGGAGGCTCGATAACATCCTGTTGCGGGCCTACGAAGACATTAAGCCTGGCAACGCGTTGATGTATTACCCGGAGGCGAACGTTCTGGTCTCCCGCGAAGTTGACCCGCTGTCGAAAACCCCGGCGTTCAAGAGTGTGGTCGTCACGCTGGAAGCCGCGGTCGTATCCGCCACTCGGGAAGAGGCTGCAGCAGCATCGTAGCCAGCGCAAAAAAAATCCTGCCTCCCGCTGACAGCCGAGAGACAGGAGTATTGGGCAAGTTAGCGACCGCGACGCACGCGGCGATAAGTTAACAACGTTGCCAGCCCCGTCATCGCCAAAACCCACTGCGATGGTTCGGGTACCGGAATGGTTCCACCAATTCCGCCCAAATCGATCCCCATCGGGATTCCCCCGTTGTTGATAAATTCATCACGGGTGGTGGTCAAATTATTCCAGTTGTTGGCCCAAATATAGATCCCGGCGCCACTCACGTTGTTGGCATATCCGGCGAAGTTGATGTCGACCACATAAAACGACCCAGAGTCGTACACTGCGTTCGTCTGGTCGCGAATGATGTAGTCCATGGTCCCCAACAGCGTTCCGGTGTTGGTGAATGCCGAAGGAGGGACAGTTAGCGATCCTCCTGTGAACTCCATGGTCCAGACATCGTTCCCCACCGGGCCTACACCAATACCTGTGAGTGTGAGCGTGCTGGGACTAATCGTGAACGTCGAAGACGTGAGATCGCCCTGCAACGGTCCGGTTAGATTCCCGACCGCACCTCCAGCCCAAAAGCCGGGATGGAACGTAAATTCGGTATCAGCTTCAGTGAGAGCACTGTGCTGAAAACCGAGTGTCTCCCCCATCGCAATGCTGTACCCATAGGGTGCGGCATCACACGTAGCGTTCCACCCCGCCAGGGCTACGCAGAGGACAACACAGATGAGAGTTTTCATGTAGCAGGCCTTTCTCTTAGCAGTGAAAAATGATGTCGTCTCGATCGGCGGCTAACACATTCCCTGCCGTTGGGCTCCCATCGCCCATAAACAACCCACGCGACGCAGCCCACCCATATTAACCTCAAGGGCAGAGCAGCAGCGAGTCATATTTTCTCGAATGGGACAAGGTTCGACGTTCGGTAAAAGTACGTTGTCGATCGTGCGGCTTACGCCGCGAAAACGTACAGAGCTAGAACGCGGAACGATACCAACGCCCTCAGGGCAAATGTTGGAATGGCGTGACGTGGCGTAAACCCGTCAATCAGCCTTCGATCAGCTTACTAGCTCGCTCCCTAAAAGCAGTTCCAGGCGGCGGCTTCTTGCGGCCACACGCTCCAATTCACCGAACCCCTCGCGCGCGATTCTTCACAATTCCTACGATCGCGTCAAAGGAAAATACAGCAATTCTGTAGAAAAGTGCATTGCAGGACAAAACCAACCCCATTGGGGTAGGGTGTCAATTCGAGTAAGCCAAGCATTGCCAAAACCTCGGCTGCAAACTTCACATTCAAAGTCGGTTCAGGGCGGGGAACCCCGGTGATACTCCAGTTAGGGCAACTAGTCGAACAGCCCGGAGCGAGTTCCTTACCCTGCCGAGCAGAAACCCGTTCGATTTCCCGCTTCCTTTTGCGGCACACAGTCTGACTCCGAACTACATGTCGGTGGCACATGCCAGCGCCTCGCGATGAGACGGGAGCCCGCCCTACCCTTCGGCCGTGGTTGGGTCGATCGTGTTCTTGACCTCCGAGATACGATTGGCCGGGAAGCCGCCTTTGAGGGCATGCTCTTCAATCAACTCCCGATTGGGCGCAATGTACACGCAGTAAATCTTGTCATCGGTCACGTAGCTGTGCAGCCACTGAATCGAAGGGCCGAGTTCTCCCAGCACACTGCACGACGTTTTACTGGCACCCTGCAACTCCTCGGGGGAGAGCTTGCCGGCTCCGGGCATTTCTCGTTCGATTACGTACTTGGGCATGCGGATTATCTCCTTGTGTTTCCCACTTGGGTTCAAGCTCTTACGCCGGAAGAATACCAAATACGCGAGGGCAAAACGATGAATTGCTGCATCAGGTTACCTGAAAATGGGCCGCAGCCAGACCGGTGCATCAATTCAGGCTGTCCACTGGGGGGCTCTGAACCTATACAATACGGTGAACCTGTTTTTGAACCTGACTACGAGATAGACGGCATTCCAGCAGATGGCTGAAGAAGACTTTTACAAGACCCTCAACGTGTCGCGAGGAGCGACCGACGACGAACTCCAGAAGGCCTATCGGGGGTTGGCGCGTAAATACCACCCTGATTTGCATCCCGACGACAAAGACGCCAAGCGTAAGTTCCAAGAAGTACAACGCGCGTACGACGTTTTGAGCGACCCCAAAAAACGTCAGCTCTACGACCGGTTCGGCAGCGACTTCGAGAACGTGCAATCCGGGGGAGGCCCGCCGCCCGGCGGTGGAGCAGGTGGGCCAACTTGGCAAACCTCGCAGGGCAACTTCGACGATTTCGATTTCAGCCAGATCTTCGGAGGGGGATTCGGCGGAGGAGGAGGGGGTGGAGCGGCTGACATCTTCAGCCAGTTCCGCACGGCTGGCGGAGGCGCCGGCGGCGCGACGCATCGCAGACGACGTCCACAAAAAGGCGCCGATCTTCGCTTCGAGCATGAAATCCCGTTCAGCACGGCCATCGTCGGGGGCGAAACCACGATCAGCCTTCGCCGCAGCACGGGCAATGTCGAATCGATCTCGGTGAAGATTCCCGCCGGGATTGAAGACGGAAAGACCATTCGCCTCCGCGAACAGGGCGACCCTTCCCCCACCGGCGGACCCGCTGGCGACTTGCTGCTGAAGATTCGCGTGGCCGAACATCCCAACTTCCAACGTCGCGGGCAGAACCTGCACGTCAAGCTTCCTGTCTCGTTGGCCGAAGCGGTTCTGGGGGCCAAGGTCGATGTGCCAACCCCCACAGGCACGGTCACACTCAGTGTTCCTCCCGGCAGTTCTGGAGGCACGCGGCTTCGCATCCGGGGCCACGGCGTGAAGCCAGCCAAGGGCAACGCGGGCGATTTGTTTGCAGAGTTGCAAATCGTTCTGCCAGCGGGGATGGATGACGACGACCGCGAGCAAATCCAGAAGATCGACTCCAAGCACCCGAGCGATCCTCGGAGTAAGCTGAAATGGTAGGCGTGGGGCCAGATCGGTTGCTGACTCTGCTGGCACAACATGGCTTGCCACAGGCGGCATCTCCGTTGTGGGCAGAAGACGCGCCCCCGAAGCTCACGCCCGATCTGTCGCTAGGGGTGATCTCCTCCCTGATCGTGATCGTAGTACTGGGAGTGTTTCTGTTGGTCGTGATCAGCTTCGGAGCGCGAATCACCCGACGCAATGCTTCGAAACGCTTCCCTCCGATGCAGGTCGACGAGGATGAATGGTTCCGCAAACCACTCGTGGACGAAGCCGCAGACGAGCCGACCCATGATTCCGAATGAGCTGAATATGGTCGACTATCCCTTCCGGCCCGAGCAACGCTTGCGTAGCAGTGCCGACTTCATTGAGGTCTATCGTCAGCGAACTTCTGTGGCCGACGGCGTGTTGATCGTTTACGGCTCGAAGAACACCCAGGGCTGGCCCCGACTTGGGCTATCGGTTGGACGCCGCGTGGGGAATGCTGTCACACGTAATCGCTGGAAGCGTGTCATCCGCGAGGCGTTTCGCTTGAATGCCGTGGAACTGCCGCAGAATCTGGACTTGGTGGTTCACCCTCGTCCCGGGATCGATCCACAGTTGGAGATGGTCGGCCAGTCGTTGCGAAGGCTGTCCAAAAGAGTGCAGCGAAAGCTGGGGGAGAAATCCCGATGAAGCGAATCGCCCAGTGGATTGTTCGGCTGCCGGCGATGCTACTGATTGTGATGGTGCGACTCTACCAGTTCTTTCTCAGCCCAATCTTGGGCGGGCAGTGTCGGTTCGAGCCTAGTTGCAGCCACTACTTTATCGGTGCTGTCCGTAAGAATGGGGCCATCGTCGGCACCTGCCGGGGCATCATCCGCATCTGCAAATGCCACCCCTTCCATCCCGGCGGGTACGACCCTCCGTAGTTTCAAGAAAGTTCGCGCTCGGTTGGGTGCTGCTCCAAATCAATCGACAAAGGAGCCAGCACTGACATCAGGCGGTTTTGAGCTGTGGGACGATTCGCCTTGACGCTGGTTGCAGCGGTCTTTATTCTCCCGCCCCGAAACTACTTTTCTCCTAGCATCTCATCGATACTCCCGGTGCAAGAATTCTCATGCATCGGCATTGCGGGCCGAGGTTCGTGTACGAGACCGAAGGATTGGTCTTGTTTGTTCCTCCTGGTCGGCGATTGTTTGACGGAGCGCGTAGGCATGAAGCCTCAGTACTGGTTGATCGTCACAATCGTAATGTTTGCCGGTTGCGGTCCCTTGTTTGTGCGATCGCAAAGCCCGGAAAAGCTCGATTCGCTGCTCGATGAAGTCGACTTGGTAGGCGATTTGGCCGTTCCCTCGGGAATGAAGCCAGTCGTGGTCGAAAGTGTCGGCCTCATCACCGGATTGGACAACACCGGTAGTGATCCACCGCCTTCGACCGAGCGGGCCGAGTTGTTGGGTGAAATGCAAACACGCGATGTCGTGCAACCGAATCAAGTTTTGGCTTCGCCTAGCACCGCAATCGTGTTGGTACGGGGTTATCTCCGTCCTGGCATCCAAAAGGGCGATCGCTTTGACGTCGAAGTGCGCGTGCCCTCGCAAAGCGAAACCTCCAGTCTTCGCGGCGGCTGGCTGATGCAAGCCCGTCTGCGGGAACGTCGGTTGTTCGGTAGCCAGATTCACGATGGGTCGCTGTTGGCCCTTTGCGAAGGTCCTGTGCTCGTGGCTCCGCGTACGCGCAGCGACGAAGAGAGTGTGATGGATAATCGCGGCCGCATTCTCGGCGGCGGTGTTGCATTGAAGTCGCGACCTCTGCAGCTTGTGATGACGCCGGGCCATCGCGATGTTCGCGTTGTCGGCCAGATCAGCAAGTCGCTCAATCGTCGCTTCCACACCTTCTCAAAAGGCATCAAAGAAGGTGTAGCCACTGGCAAGACCGATCAATACATCGAACTTGTGGTTCACCCGCGATACAAGGACAATATCCCACGGTACGTTCAGGTTATTCGCAACGTGGCCGTCGGAGAGAGTTCGGCTGAGCGATTACAGCGACTCGAGGTGCTCGGTCGTCAGTTGCTAGACCCCGTGAGTTCGGCCACGGCCGCCTTGCGATTGGAGGCCATCGGCAGTGAAGCGGTCGAGGTACTCCGCACCGGACTGGATTCCAAAGACCACGAGGTTCGCTTCTACTCTGCAGAAGCGTTGGCTTACTTGGACGAAAGCGATGCGGCACCTGCGCTGGCCGACGCCGCTCGAAACGAGCCGGCTTTCCGTGTGTTTGCTCTGACCGCACTGAGTGCGATGGACGACTTCAGGGCTTCCGAAGAACTTCGAAAACTGCTGGACGTGCCTAGTGCTGAAACCCGTTATGGGGCCTTCCGTTCACTATGGGCGATGAACCCATACGACCCGTTGGTGCAGGGTGAACAACTCGGCGGCGAGTTCAGTTATCACCTGCTCGACGTGCCTGGGCCTTCGATGATTCACGTCACCCGAAGTTATCGCCCCGAAGTGGTACTGTTCGGTCATGAACAACGCTTCGAACCACCGCTGACGCTCGATGCCGGCAAGGCGATCATGGTCAATGCCCGTGAGGGCGACCAGCAAGTTACCGTGAGTCGTTTTGCGGTGAACGAGCCTGATCAGAAACGGGTGGTCTCAACTCGAGTTGATGATGTCATTCGGGCGATCGTCGAACTAGGCGGGACTTATCCCGACGTGGTCGATGCGCTGCAGCAGGCCAAGCAAACGCATTCGTTGACCAGCCGTCTAGAGGTCGACGCATTACCTGCCGCGGGACGAAGTTACGAACGAGAAGCGAGCTTGGCCGATGCGGGCGAGGTGGTCGACTTCGACGAAATGTCGGAGGCGGTTGCTGAAAAGACCGAAAACGGCCCATCCGAGGGAGAACTGACCGACGACGACTCGGCCGACAAGCTGTCCAGCGATGGTCTCCTTAACCCCAATCCAGCACCCGACTTATTCAACAGCGACACGCCCTCTGACACCGACCGGCCCAAGAAAGTACGCCGGAAGGTGAAGCGGGATGAGGAATCGGAAAAAACTGGGGGCAGTCGTCTGAAGGGCTTCCTTGGTAGAATGGTGCCAGGCGGTTCCGACTCGTAGCAAACGCGCAGCCCTTCTGATGGGCGGTGCGGAGTGAGCCGCTTATCGTTCGGATGGACGATTCCCACCAAATCTTCATCCGCTGTGCGTGTTTCCGGCGACGGTTCGGCGACCTGGCAATCCCCCGCGTCCTTAGGCTCACCTAGTACAAGTCCATGCTCAAGGCGCTGGAACTTCTTGGCTTCAAAAGCTTTTCCGACAAAACTCGTTTCGAGTTTCCGGAAGGCATCACCTGCGTGGTCGGCCCCAACGGCTCGGGCAAGTCGAACGTGGTCGACGCCATCAAGTGGGTACTCGGCGAGCAAAGCGCTAAGACTTTGCGGGGAAAGGAGATGGCCGATGTCATCTTCAACGGTTCCAGCACCCGAGCCCCGTTGAATTCGGCCGAAGCCACCCTCACGGTGGACAACAGAGGCGGACTGTTGCCGCTCGACACCCCCGAGGTGCATATCACCCGCCGCGTGTATCGCAGTGGGGAGAGTGAATACCTGATCAACCGCCAGCCGGGAAGGCTGCGTGATATCCGCGACTTGTTCGCAGGCACCGGGGCCGCGACCGAAGCCTACAGCGTGATCGAGCAGGGCAAGGTCGATGTGCTGCTGCAATCGTCGCCCAAAGATCGCCGGGCCATCTTCGAAGAGGCCGCGGGCATCAGCCGTTTCAAAGCGAAGAAGCTCGAATCGCTACGACGCCTGGAGCGGGTGCACCAGAACCTCGTTCGGTTGGGCGACATCGTTCAAGAGGTTGAGAACCAGCTTCGCAGTGTGCGGATGCAGGCCACCAAAGCCCAGCGGTATCGCACCTACGCCGATCGGCTGCAGCAGCTCCGCACGCAAGTGGGGCTCACCGACTGGCGCCATATGACCGAGCGGCTCGAGGCGCTCGAGGCTGAAATCACACAACTCAAAGAGACTTCGGCCATGGCTTCGGCCGAAGCCGAGTCTCACGAAGCGCGTTCGATCGAACTGGAAACCGCTTCGGCGGAAGCGACCGAGGCCATTCGCTCCTGCGAGTCGCGGATCTCGGAAAACCGCGAGCGAATCGCCTCCAGCGAATCGACGATCGAGCACCAGCGAGCCAGGCTCAGCGAACTCGAGTCGGAAGAAGCCCGCCACCGGAAGCAGTTGGCCGCGTTGAACTCCCGTGTTGGCAACCTGCAACAACAATTCACCGACGTGGAAGCCGCCGTGCGGACTTCGGAAGAGGAGAACCGCCAGGCCAGTCAGAAGGTGGCCACCGACGAGCGGTTGTTGACGGAACTCACCACCGAGTTGGATCGACTTCGCGTCGACAGCGAGCAGCAGCGGGACGGCTACCTCGACCGAGTGCGACTGGCAACCTCGCTCGAAAACGAAATCGAAACACTTCGCAGTGAGCTGGAAGACCTCGGCAACCAACGTGCACGTCTCCATGCTCGGCAGCAACAGTTCGACTCGCAACGGTCGCAATACCAAAGTGCCGTTGAAGAACTGGAACGGTTGAGCGACGGGCTAAGCACGCGGGCTAAACGTCTGCATGACGAACTACAAACCATCGAAGAGCAGCTTTCCGCCAAGAACGAGCAGCGAGATTCGCTCGCGAAAGACCTGGCGGATGTTCAGAAACAACTCGGTTCCGCCTCGGCACGGCTCAGTGTGCTGGAAGAACTCGAGCAACGTTTTGAAGGTGTCAGCGCCGGGGCGAAAGAGGTTCTTCTTGAAGCGCGTGAAAAGAAGGACGGCCCCTGGCAACAAATCCATGGGCTGGTGGCCGACTTGTTCCGCGTGCAGGTCGAAACCGCCCCGTTGATTGAAGTGGCTCTTGGCGATCGGGCCCAGTACATCGTTGTCGGCCCCGGTCAACGTCTGTGGGATCACTTGGCCAGCGATGCACAACAAGTGCATGGTCGTGTCGGTTTCCTGCGACTGGAACCGATGTCGGTTTTGCCCAACACAGAAGTCGATCTCAGCGAGTCGCCCGGCGTGGTCGGACGCGCCGATCAGTATGTGGAAGCGGCCCCCGAGCATGCCCCATTAGCCCGAAGATTACTTGGGCGAACGTGGGTTGTGGAGAAGCTATCCGATGCATTGGCGTTGGCTTCGACCGCGGGCCAGGGACTGACCTTCGTCACGATGGCCGGCGAATTGCTCTCGGCCGACGGAAGCCTACTCATCGGTGGCCGTACCGGATCCACAGGGCTGATCTCCCGCCGTAGTGAGTTGCGTTCGCTACGGATCCAGATCGAGAGCCTTACCGAACGGGAAACGACGCTTTCGAAGAAGTGCAGCGAGTTGGAGACCGAAGTCGCCAAGCTCAAACAGCGGCTGGATTCCGTCGCCCCAGCGCATCGTGAAGCCAGCGACGCGGTACGGCAGCACCAGTTGCAACTGGAAACAACTCGTCAGCAAGCCGAATCGGCTCAACAGCAGGCGGCCGAGAACAAGGTAGACTACGATGCCGCACTCACGCGTCACACGCAAATCGAAACTCGGCTGGAAACCGCCGTTGCCGCGCACGAGCAATCGAAGGAAGAGCTGGTCGGCTTGAAGGAACAGGTCGAGCGGACGGCCGCTGAGTTGTCCGCCCTCGATCGGCGCCGTAGCGAACAGGAAGAGAAGACCACTTCGTCGAAGGTACAGTTGGCCACCAGCGAAGAACGGCTGAACAATTTCCGTTCGCAACTGCGAAGCCTGGAACAGAGTCGTGAAGATCGCCGCCGGGCCGTGAATGATATTCGCGAACAAATCGCCCGATGTCAGCGTCAGCACCGTGAGTCGGAGAGCCGGCTGCTGGAACTTAGCTCGACGGTGGCCGAGCTTTATCTTCGTAAGGAAAGCTTCACTCAAGAAACGTTCGACCTGATGGCCCGTCGCGATGGCATTCAGGCCGAACGCAGCACCGTGTCCGGCGACATTCAAAAAGCACGCACCCGCCTGCGGAAAGCCGAGGAGCAGCTTCACGGCAAAGACCTGGCTGCCAACGAGATTCGTATGCAGCGCAGCACGCTGGAAACGCAGCTTCGCGATGAATACGAGATCGAGCTGGCCGAACTGACTCACGAGCCTACTGAAGAAGAGTTGCATGTTCGCGAAGAGGTCGAGCAAGAGATTGCCGATCTTCGCCGAAAGATCAACAACATCGGTAATGTGAACCTCGACGCACTCGAGGAACTCGACGCCTTGGAACTTCGGCACGAGTCGCTGGCCGGACAGTACGGCGACCTGTGTGAGGCCAAGGAGTCCCTCGAGCGGATCATCAGCCGCATCAACACCGACAGCCGCCGGATGTTCGCTGATACGCTCGAAGTGGTCCGCGGTCACTTCCAAACATTGTTCCGCAAGCTGTTCGGCGGTGGACACGCCGATATCGTCATCGACGATGAGAACGACCTGCTGGAAAGCGGGATCGAAATCGTGGCTCGCCCCCCTGGGAAAGAGCCGCGGAGCATCTCTCTGCTAAGTGGTGGCGAGAAAACCCTCACCTGTGTAGCACTACTGCTAGCAATCTTTCGTAGCAAGCCTAGCCCCTTCTGTGTGCTCGACGAGGTCGACGCCGCGTTGGATGAAGCGAACATTGAGCGATTCACCAACGTACTGAAAGAGTTTCTGGCATGGACCCAATTCATCGTGGTGACGCACTCGAAGAAAACGATGACCTGCGCCAACACACTGTACGGCGTGACAATGCAGGAATCGGGCGTCTCGAAACGGGTTTCGGTTCACTTTGACGACGTGAGCGAAGACGGCCACATCCGTCAGCGTGACGAACACGCGGCAGATGATACGGCCGCCGCTTAAGCACCTTGGTGCTCTGCCCTCAGCCGAACCTGCTGGAAACAAGAACTCGTCGTTGTTTCCGTTTGGCCTGCGATCGAGGCAATCGTCTCGATCGCTGAGGTCGCTAGCGAACCTCAAGGCTTCCTTCTCTTATGTGATTTAGAAATCGCAGGCGTTTGTTAGCACCACCTGAGGGGTGACTTGCCGTGCCTGCGTTACCAAGGCGACTACCAAACACAATGTCATGTCGCGTGGAAAAAGCCCCCCACCCCCGACATGAACTGGCAGGTACGCGCCTTAGAAACAGTTTTTTGAAACCGCATGCATGCCGCAACCAGCACGAGGCCGAATAGGCGTTTTTACCGTTAAAACCGCTATGTAGAGCAGCGCCGGCATGCTCGTTAGCTGCCGTACGATCGGAGAGTCTGATACGAACGGAGAAAGTTTCTAAAGGAAAGACCCCCAATCACTCGAAACTAAATGTCGGACGGGTTGATCGGCACAGCCATCACCAGGATGGACTGCCCGCCGACCAAGCCGTTTGCAGGGGGGTCCTGCCAACTGATACACGCCATTTCGGCACGTTTGCGATCGCGCTGTGCGATTGTGGGCTGTCTGTTGCCATGTCCCCGCTGTCGTGGGCTCGCGATGCGGTTTTGCCGCGTCGTAGCGAGTATCCGCATAGAGGGCTGAGTCTAAGCTTCTCTATTTTGCGGATTTTCGCTGAGTTGCGGGTGCCCCGTCTGCCGATAGCACTTTGCAGGCGCGGGCCAGAAGGAGCTGAGCCACAGCCACGAGGAAGCTTAACCAACGAAAAGCCCCGACCCAGGCACTATGCGGCCGTGCGGTTGGAAGTAAGCCGGCTTGAAGGATTAACCATCAGTCGTGCTGCTGCAAGTGAGGGGCGATTCGGCTCTCGAACGGTGCAAGCCGCCGAGAGCGGACATGACTCAGTAAGCAAAAGACATTTGGAGAGCCTGCGATGAAGGTCTTTACCACTGGTCAGGTCGCCAAGATCTGTAAGGTTGCCCCGCGCACGGTGAGTAAGTGGTTCGATTCTGGCCGGCTAAAGGGGTATCGCATCCCTGGCTCGCAAGATCGTCGTATCCCACGCGAGTATCTCATCAAGTTCCTCAAAGAGCACGGTATGCCTTTGGGCGACCTGGAAGATGAAGCGATGGCCAAGATTCTGGTCGTTGCCCAAGATCAGGTACTCATTGAGAACCTGAAGCGGGAACTACCGCCAGAGCGTTCGTTTAAGTTGGCCGTTGCGGCCAGCGGTTTCGATGCCGGTATTCAAGCCGAAAGTTTCCATCCTGACTGCATCATTGTCGATTTCTCGATCGGGCGTACCGAAGCGCTGCAGATTTGCCAAAACCTGCGTCGCAACAACGAGTACTCCGATACGATCCTGATCGCTCTGCTGCCCGACGATGGCAACCCGAACAGCTTCGATCGTTCGTCTATCAACGAGACGTTCAAGAAGCCGTTCGACGCCGCTTTGTTGGCCGAGCGTCTGCGAACGCTGATCGGTGCGAAGAAGGAACTGGTCTAGCGACTTGAAAAGGCCAATCGGGCAACCGGTTGTCCCTGATCATAAAAAGAATCCGCCGTGGCACATTGCCGCGGCGGATTTTTTTTTGCTTGAACCTGCTCCTGTTGCTCAGTGTCAATTCAGCATCCCCCCTGAATTGCGATTCCCCGGAATCTGAATGGCACGAAGCGCAGCCCAACGCGAGCAAGTTTATGCTGTGCTGCGGTACGATGGCTGGCTGGAAAGTACTTCACCTCCAGAAGGCCAAGTCACCGTGAAGGAGATAGTTCGCGATCTAGAGATCGCCCAAGCGGAAGTCGAGCGATTGAATCGCCTCAACGGGCACAAGAACTGTCGCTATTATTGGCAAACCACGCGGTTGTTTGGGCCCGGTGAGTCATTTGGTACTCACAGGCCGGCTGAGGGCCAGCCATAGCGGTTTGATCACTAGCTTGCTGCTCTTTATTCTGAAGAGAGCTATTCGCAATCTTGCCGATTCTCGTGGCCAATAACTATGCCAGCTTCAGCTCGTCGCTCGGGCAAGATCCCGTCTACCGCCAAGGGCGCCGAATCACCTGGCCAGATTTTTCAACACCCCCTCACTGGCCCAGCCATCATTGCCATCTTGGCGATGTTGGCGGTGCTGCTCACGTCGTCGCCCGACGCTCATGGGCCGGGCGTGACTTGCGATGAGTACTACGATGTGGCCGCGGGGAAGCGGTTGGTGCAGGGCTTCCTGGAAGAGGGAAGCAACTTCTTTCGGGCTGAGAACATCGAACAGACTTATGGCCCGTTGACGCGACATCCGCCGCTAGGGCGCTGGTGGCTGGGTTGGGTTCATGCTCTGGCCGATCCGGCCCCAGAAGATCTTCGTATGGTGTCGGTCGTCGCCGGAAGGATGGCCCCCGCGATGGCGTATGGCCTGCTGGTGTTGCTCGTTGGCTGGGCAGCCGGTCGCGGAGGGGAGCCGCTGCGTGGCACGTTCGCCGCCGCGGCCGTTGCGCTAACACCGCGGGTGTTCGCGCACGCTCATTTCGCCACCCTCGACATGTTCACCACCACGTTCTTTGTGGCCGCCGTGGTTGTGCTGCCGGTTGCGGTGACCGACTCCAACAATCTTCGCCGTGCAGTTTTTGCTGGGTTTGTGTGGGGATTAGCTCTGCTGACCAAGATGCACGGCTTGCTGCTGTTCGTTCCCGCCACCGTTTGGTTCTTCTGGAGATTTCGTTTTGCAGCGTTTCGAACTTGGATTGCTTGGAGCCTTACCGGTGGACTGACCTTTTTTCTTGGCTGGCCCTGGCTGTGGAACGCCCCGGTGGCTCGGGTGCAGGAATTCTTGAGCACTGCGACGGAGCGTCAGGCGTTGCATACGTTCTACCTTGGCCGGGTTTGGAACGACGTCGATGTCCCGTGGCACTATGCCTGGGTGATGTTTGCGGTCACGGTCCCGATAGGTTTTCTACTGCTCGGAGGTATTGGACTTTGGTCGGAACGCAAACGGTTGCTTGTCGATCCCCTGCTCTCCCTCACGCTGCCAAGTTTTGTGTTTCTGCTGGCGGTATTCAGCCTGCCAGGCACCCCGGTCTACGATGGCGTGCGACTGTTCCTGATGGTCTTCCCGCTGTGGGCCATCTTCGTAGGGTTCGGGGCCAACTACGTGGTTGAGTATCTGAGGGCCCACATTCAGCGCCCGCTTGTCTCTGAGTTGTTTGTGGGCGGGTTCGTGCTGCTGCAGGGCTTTGGCATCCTGGCGTATCATCCTTTCCAACTCAGTAATTACAGCCTGCTTGTCGGCGGGTTGCCAGGAGCCGAACGCCTGGGCTTCGAGACCACGTACTGGGGCGATGCCGTCAATGGCGAGTTGCTGGTCGAAGCTCATCGGGCGGCTCCGGATGCCCAGGTGCTGTACGCTCCTCACTTGGCCCCCTTTCAGGCCGCATCAGTAGAGATTTCTTCGATCGAACTCGATGGCACTCGTCTGATCGGTTGGGATCCGAATCAAGCAAACCCCACCCAGAATGCCAGCTACGCACTGATTTACCGACGCCAGGCCGACTGGGACTCCGTCGCTCCGCTGATCGAGGGTGCTGAGGTCGTCACCGAGGTGAGCCGTCATGGAGTCTGGCTGGCCCGGTTGTACCGATTGCCGCAGCCGACCGGCAATTCGCAGTAGCCCGGGAACTGTGAAAGCTGGCGGCGGCGCCTTAAGCTAGAAACCATACCCTCACCTGTACTTCTGCGGATTGAAATCCATGAAACGACACCTGGAAGCTATTTCATTCACCCAAATCGCCCCACGGTTTTTCACACTCGTTCTGGCGATCACCTTGGCCTGGTCACTCTCTTGCCATGCGATTGCTCAAACCGCGCCTGCTTCCGTTGGAGATACGGCTACTGAAGAGTCGGTTGATTCGCTCGTCACCGAGGCCGACCCGCCAGTCGGCTACGAAACCGTTGCCGCGGTGAAGGCTGCGATCTTCACCGGCAAAGTGAAACTGGTGAACGGTGAAATCGATGTGCCGGACAGCGTCGTGCTGGAAGAAGGGATCGAGTACGGCCAGGGAGGCGGCGAACCGCTGAAACTCAACCTGTACACGCCGAAGGGGTTGGATCACCCGGTGCCGGGTTTGATCTTCATTCATGGAGGAGGCTGGAGCAAAGGTAGCCGTGACGATTACCACTATTACTGCGTCAAGTTTGCCGAGATGGGTTACGTGGTGGCCACGGTCTCTTATCGACTGGTGCCCGAGTGGACCTTTCCTGCAGCGGTTCACGATGTGAAATGCGCCGTTCGCTGGGTGCGGGCGAACGCCGAAAAGCTGCATATCGACCTGAATCAGATCGGCGTAGTGGGTGGTTCCGCCGGTGGTCATCTTTCGATGATGATTGGCTACTCCTCCGATGTTCCCGAGTTGGAGGGCGATGGGGGCAACCCGGATGTTAGCAGTCAGGTTCAAGCAGTGGTCAATATTTACGGCCCCACCGATCTCACCGCCGACGCGGCCACAGTGCACCCTACGGTTCACGGGTTCTTCGGAGGAAAGAAATTCGACGAAGTACCAGACGACTACGAATTGGCATCGCCACTTACACATCTTACCGCCGACGACCCTCCGACCCTGATTTTGCATGGAACCATCGACGAACTGGTGCCAATCGATCAAGCCGACAAGTTGGCCGCCAAGCTGAAGTCGCTGGGAATACCTTACCGCTACGATCGTATGCCTGGCTGGCCACATTCGATGGACCTTGCCGAGGTGGTCAACGAACGCTGTCGTGAGGTGATGACGAAGTTCCTCAGTGAACATCTGCCGCTGCCAAATCAAGGCGAATGACTATACTAGCGGGCGATCGCTATCCCGAATCGCAAGTGGTCACCTATCAATCCACCTTCGAAAGTGTTGGAGAGCATTCACATGCTGCGTCGCACCTGGCTAATGGGTATTTTAACCAGTTTGTTTTCCACACTCGCTTTTTGCTCAGAAGCGCAGGCCGAGAAACAGCGGAGGGTGCTGCTGATTGGCATCGATGGATGCCGGTTCGATGCGATTCAGGCTGCCAAGACACCCAACCTCGACAACCTGATGAAGAACGGGTGCTTCGACTCCGACTGTCAGATTCTGGGCGAGCGGTATCAAGGCAACGACACCATCAGCGGCCCAGGCTGGTCGAGCATCCTCACCGGCGTTTGGGCCGATAAGCACGGGGTGCAAAACAACTTCTTCCAAGGGAAAAACTACGAGGACTACCCACACTTTTTTACTCGGCTGAAAGAAGAAATGCCCGACGCTTACACGGCCTCGGTAGTCACCTGGGCGCCCATCCAGTTGCAGATTGTTAGCGGGGCCGATCAAGGGTTGCACTTTTTACCGAAAGACAAGGACTATGCGGGAGCCGATGTGAAGGGTGCCAACGCAGTGATGAAACTCCTCGAGGAGGAAGACCCCACCGTGCTCTTCTACTACATCGGGCAAGTCGACGAGACTGGGCACAAAGACGGTTTTCACCCGACGGTGCCCGAGTACATCGAGGCAGTCGAAAAGGCCGACCGCCACATTGGAGAGGTGCTCGAGGCCGTGAAAGCCCGGCCGGACTATGAGAACGAAGAGTGGCTCGTCGTCGTCACCAGCGACCACGGCGGCAAAGGCACCGGCCATAGCAACGGTCACCAGGATCCTGAGATTCTCAATAGCTTCATCATCGTCAGCGGCGATGCCGCCCAGCGAGGCAAGCTGGAACAAGACACCTACTTGGTCGACGTGCCCGTGACCGTAATGCAGTTTCTTGGGGTGGAAGCGCAACCTCAGTGGCAACTAGACGGCCACCCGGTTGGGTTGAAATAGCGATGCCGAAAGGCGGCTACTTCCCCGAGAATCTGCGCCTTGCCTGAAATGCGAAGACTAACGCTCCCATCGCCAGCATAACGATACTCGACGGCTCGGGCACCGCTCGGAATGAAGCGACGTAGAGTTCGTATTCACCCACCGGGTCGTGCGGCAGTTGGGCGAAAACTTCAATGACGTAGTCTTTCGATTCCGGAACGACAAAGTCTAGCAGCAGTGCATCGGTCGACTCGCGTTCGTCTCCATTCGTGAAATCACCGTAGTAGAGCTCAAAGAAATCGTCCGGATCTTCTTCGTCTGGGTCATAGATTGCGACGGCGACATTCAGCTCATCTAGGCGACTCGAGATAACCTCAGAGAGCACTTCAATCTGCACAAAGTCTCCTTCGTGAGCGAAGAATGAATAGTAGTCGCTCGTCAGCACTCCGCCCGGGTCCTCAATTTCACCACTCACGGCAATCACGTCTGCGAATAGTCCCATGCCGTGAATCGGATCGCCTGGATCCGTTACGTTGGGAACACCAATTGTTTTCAGGGGCAGTGGACTTGCCGTTGCGATACTGCTGCCCGCGGGACCACCAGGAAGCGACGACTCGAGAAAGAACCCTGGGTCGGCGTTGTAAGCCAGTTTGATTGCATCGCGTTGGCCGATGACCAGATCGGCGGTGAGTTGCGAAGCTGTAAACCCGCCTGGGATCGAAGTTGTTAACGATAGCACATCGGAGAGCGTATCCACTGCATCGGCCGGCCCCGGATAGAAAGGTGTGTAGTCTCCCACAACCGCTGCCGGCATTCCGCCACCAATCGGTGTGTAGGCATCGTGGTGTCGGAGTCCTTCCAGGTGGCCAATCTCATGCCCTGCCAAGTTAATACTGGCCTTCACCACGTCGGAGGCAGAGAAGCTCGTCTCGCCAAGGAAGTCGAACGCCTTCAGAGCGTTTATGGCGGCGTCATCAATAAACGCCACGTTGCGAAAGTCGATGCCGGTGGAAGTCCCGATGGCAGTTGAATTGAAGTCGACCACGCTGTGCGGTTCAGTAGGAACATCCAGCGTAAAGCTCATGTGGGGGAAGGCCGAGTACATATCCCGCAAACCTTCAAGAATGATCTCTTTCTCGGTGGTCGAGTAGGGGTAGATCGGACCCGGCATGTCGGGACTGAAGTTGAGGTAATAAGTACTCTGAGCTGAAGCGAAAGAATTGGCGAGGCAGGCCACGATGACGCAGCTCATCACTAGGCAATGCTTCGGTTGAGTTCTCACCAGCAAACTCCAATTCAGTCTTGTGTCCCAGGAGATTGGTTTTTGAGCTTGGTACCTCTTCAATTTCCAGTCCGAATAGGCGGAGAGCCCACCCTTCGGAGGCATGGTCGCAAAGCATTCCGAATGGTTCAACAGTAAACTCAACTTTCTGAAAGATTTTGCTTACATTTCCCAATCTGACCGCGGTTTGGGTGCAAAATACGCCCCTGAACGCGTTCCCAGTCTCACCATGACTTCCTGCACTCCCCCCAGAGCTTGTTCTTCCGCTACCTAGACGCGGTATGGGGGCGTCGTAGAATGAGCGGCCTGCGACGAAATGCGATGATTCTTGAACACAGGTGGCCGATGGGCGAACTGAGTCATTTCGACGAACAAGGCGCCAGCCGCATGGTTGACGTCGGCGGCAAACAAATCACCCAGCGCGAAGCTCGGGCTTACAGCCGCGTCCGCATGTCGGAGTCGACGCTGAAGCTGATTCGCGACAAGGAAATGGCCAAAGGCGATGTCCTGGAGATCGCTCGGCTGGCCGGCATCATGGCCTCGAAGAAGACGGCCGACCTGATCCCGTTGTGCCATCCGCTGGGGCTCGACTCGGTGACCATCTCGTTTGACTTCCCCGATTCCACCAGTGTGGCCATCGAAGCCATGGCGAATGTGACCGCAAAAACGGGTGTTGAGATGGAGGCCCTCGTTGCGGTTACTGTGGCAGGTCTCACGATTTACGACATGTGCAAGTCGGTCGATCGCGAGATGACGATCGAGATGGTTCGCCTGGAAGAAAAGACCGGTGGCCGTAGCGGGCACTACATCCGCGGCGGCGACAATCCAGCCCCCTCTACAGAGAGGGGAAAATAGCTCACTTCGGCACTCATCTTCCGATCGAATGGATTCACTGGGCTTGTGGCCCTGCGAAGGCGTCCGCCTTCCGGGCAAGCCCGAGTATCACAAGACGAGAACGCCGAGATGGGTCAAGTTGCAACTCCGAGCGAAGATGTCCGGCGGCAATTGGGGCTACTCTACGCACCCGTTCAAGACGAACTGCCGGCCGTGGAGGAAATTCTTCGCCGCGAGCTTCGCAGCCAAGACGCTCGTGTGGACGAGATGGTCAAGCACGGCTTCCGTCTCGGCGGCAAACGGCTTCGGCCTGCTCTGGTGTTGCTGGCGGCCAAAGCCACGGGCGAAATCACCGACGACCACCTGGTATTGGGTGCCGTGGTCGAGATGATCCATACCGCCACTCTGATCCACGACGATGTGCTCGACGAGGCCGACATGCGTCGCCACCTGGAGACAGCCAACTCACGCTGGGACAACGAGGCCAGTGTGTTGCTGGGCGACTTCCTGTTCACCCACGCCTTCTACCTGGCCAGTGGAACAGGCAGCACGTTTGCCTGCCGAACGGTAGGGCGGGCGACCAATATCATGTGCGAAGGCGAGATGCGGCAGGTCTCGAACCGTGGTCGCTACGAACTGACCGAAGCCGAATACCTATCGATCATTGAGGCCAAGACCGCCGAGCTGTGCGCTTGCTGCTGCCAGTTGGGAGCCCATCGCGAAGGCTCGGATAACCGCTGGGAAGCCAACCTGGAACGCTTCGGTCGCGCGATTGGGATCGCCTTCCAAATTGCCGACGATCTGCTGGACCTGTGCGGTGACGAGAATGTGACCGGCAAGTCTTTGGGCACCGACCTGGAGAAGCAAAAACCCACACTGCCGATCATCCGCTTGATCGAAACGGCCGATGCTGGCAGGCGGGAGGAACTGCTCACGCTGCTGAACAGCACTCAGCCGGAAGCCCGAGCAGAACTCTTCGCCCAACTCCGCGAGAGCGACGCGCTCGAATACGCCACCGCCAAAGCCGAGAGCTACACCGAGCAAGCCCGCGCTGAGTTGGAAAGCCTACCGAAGAGCCCCTCCCGCGACACGCTAGAACAGATGACGCACTTTGTGGTGAACCGGCCGACGTAGGCAGGCCCCACTTCTCAAAACTCCGTGGGCAAACCCATGTCCACCATAGCCGTACCCACCGAGCGTATCGTAATCGCTGGTGGAACTGGTTTTCTTGGTCTGAACCTGGCCCACTGCCTCGCGGAGCGTGGTTGCGAGGTAACACTTCTGTCGCGGCACGGCCCAAAGCTCAAAGGGCCCTGGGAACATGCTTCTTGGGATGGGCGGTCTCTGGGCGACTGGGTAAGTTCTCTAGATGGTGCAACTGCCCTGGTGAACTTAGCGGGCCGTTCGGTCGATTGCGTGAAGACGCCGGAGCGGTGCGACGAGATCCTTCGCTCGCGAGTCGAATCAACACGCGTGCTGGGGAAAGCGCTGCGGGAGGTCGCAGCACCTCCACCTGTGTGGGTTCAAATGTCGACCGCCCATCGGTACGGCGACCCACTGGACATCGTCTGCGAAGAAGATGCAGCGTATGGCTATGGCCTCGCCCCATTCGTAGGCCAGGCTTGGGAAGAGGCGTATGCGGAAGCCGTGCTACCTCAGACGCGTAAGGTGATTCTGCGAACGAGCTTTGTATTGGGTCGCACCGGTGGTGCACTGCCCCGGCTGGCAAAGCTCGCTAGGCTGGGCCTTGGAGGAACCGTTGGCCATGGGCGCCAGGGGATAAGCTGGATCCACGTGGCAGATATGAACGCCTTGTTCATTCGTGTGATCGAAAGCGACGAAATGCATGGGGCCTATATCGCTACAGCACCGAGTCCTGTGTCCAATCGGGAATTCATGCGGCAACTGAGACAGGTGCTTCGAGTGCCGTTAGGGCTTCCCGCTCCCGGCTGGCTTGTGAAGGTGGGTGCCCCGCTTGTAATGCAGACCGACCCGGAACTTGCCATCTATGGGCGTTACTGTGTTTCGCGGCGATTGCGCGAAGAAGGGTTCGAGTTTCGATTTCCGGAGCTGCCCGCGGCGTTGCAGGATTTGTACGGAAGCGGGACTGAACAAGCTGCAACCGCTAACTCTCTTCAAACCGCCGGGCATGCAGCGGATCGGTGAGCATCGGTTCGAGTTCTTGGAAGAAGTCGCGGACGTCTTTGAACTCACGATAAACGCTGGCGAAGCGGACGTAGGCCACCTGGTCGAGATTCTTCAGCCGCTGAATGACTTGCTCGCCTAGGTACTGACTATCAACCTCACCCTCAAAGTTGGCAAAGATGTCGGCCTCGATGGCGGAGACGACTTCTTCTACCTGGGCGTCGCTGATAGGCCGTTTCCAGCAGGCCTTCTCCAGGCCCCGCTTGATCTTGTCGCGATCGAACGGCACGCGGATCCCGTCTTTCTTTACAACTTTCACGACCGCACCTTCGATGCGTTCGTATGTGGTGTACCGACGGGCACAGCTGCCGCATTCGCGACGGCGGCGGATGGCGTAACCGTCGTCACTCGCTCGCGAGTCGATGACGCGGTCGTTATCGCCACGGCAGAATGGACATTTCATGATCGGTTCGATTCGCAGGATGGCGAACCAGACCTGCCGCGGCAAGCGCCATGCCAGGGCGCAGGTCTGTAACAAGCTACTATAACCGCCAATTGGACGGGTGCACACCACTATAGCACGGGGTGCAACGAACTGGCGAAATCGTCCCGACTCATCAACAGTGCGATGTGGGGATTCAGTCCCTAGCTCAACGTGCCATGGCAACAAATCTAAGCTGTGACGAGCAACTACTAGCTCTCCGCTCCACTTTGCCGGCCCAGGCAGAAATCGAAACCCCTGTCGACAAACGGGCAAACAATGGCGAAGATATTCCCAGCAATCCGCTTTTTCGCGGCGATATTTGGGTGCTCGCAGCGAATACCCCTTCGATGACAGGCGGATGTTCACCTCGACAATTCTCGTAGCTTAGGGCTCCACGAATGAGCGACGCGACGCCTCCCCAGGAAAATCCCCAGGACGAACAACAACCCATCGCGGCCGAGCGACTCCGCGACGAGTTCAAGGCGCGGCAAGCCCCCGAGGACGATGTAGAACGGGATATTTGGACCGGAGGTTATTCTCCGAAAGCCATGCTGGGCACGTGGGTTGGATGTGGATTCATCTCGCTGGCCGCTCTGGCGGTGGCCATTGTGATGCTCCGCGATGGTATGTGGTGGGCGATTTTGGTGGGCGTGCTCGTCCTGCTGTGGCTCATTCCGCTAGCAACGCTGGTGTACCGCCGGCTTTCGATTCGTTACCGGCTCACCACCCAACGGCTATTCCATGAGGAGGGAATCATCAGCCGGCGAGTCGATCGTATTGAAGCCATTGACATGGACGACGTCACATACAAGCAAGGCTTCTTTGAGCGAATGATGGGCTGCGGCACGATACATATCGTTTCGACCGACCGCTCCCACCCTGACTTCAGTATGCCGGGCATTGAAAACGTAAGCAAAGTCTCGGCCGATATCGATCAGACGCGCCGCACCGAGCGAGTCCGGCGAGGCGTGCACATCATCTCCAACTCCTAGTGAGTTGGAAGCGTGCAACCTACAAGTGCGGCCGTGTGACTCGTCGACGCATCGAAATGCGCTCGTAAGTCATTAAACGGTTCTGAACGCCTACTTTGGCGATTCGCCATTGCTATGGCCAGAGCCCTTGCCTTTTTCGTGACCTTTGGACAGCGTCCAGTCGCGGCGTTGGCGTGAACTGGGGATGTTCATCGCTTTGCGATACTTGGTCACCGTGCGTCGAGCGACCTTCAGCCCGTGCTTGCTGAGTTGCTTCACGAGTTCATCATCGCTGTAAGGACGCTCTTTGTCCTCGTGATCGATGATTTCTTGAAGCTTCAATCGCACGGTATCCCAGGCGATCTCCTCCCCATCGGCACTCACAGTACCGCCGACAAAGAAGCGCTTCAGCGGGAAGATGCCTCGCGGGGTTTGAATCCACTTGTCGTCGACCGCCCGACTCACGGTGGTCACGTGCACGCCCACGCGATCGGCAATCTGCTGCATCTTCAGCGGCTCGATTGCCTCGGGGCCTTGCTCGAGGAATTTACGTTGGTGATCGACAATCGCCTGCGACACCCTCGTGAGCGTGCTGCGACGCTGTTCGATCGATTCGATCAACCATTGCGCCGAGTTGATCTTCCGCTTGATGTATTCCTTGGCCTCTTCTGAGGCTTTCCCTTGCAGTACCAGCTTGCGATAGAACGAGCTGATATAAAGCGACGGGGTGTGCCCTTCCTCGAGTCGAACCTGATAGCTGCCGTCGTCGGCCACATCGAGAAACACATCGGGCACGACGTTGGGAACGGTCATCTCGACGAAGATCGCCCCAGGGCGGAGTTTGAGTTTCTGCAACTCGCTGATGGCGGCCTGAATGACCTCCGGCGAGAAGCCCGTCTTCCGCTCGATCTGCGGCCAGCGGTTGTGAATCAAGTCGTCCAAGTGCGACTCGAGCAGCGTACGCAGTTCGTCGTAGTACTCAACGCCTGGCTGTAATTGCAGCAGCAGGCACTCGCGTTCGTCGCGGGCGCCGACGCCAGGAGGATCGAGCTTTTGAACTAGCTTGAGGGCTTCCTTCGCAGCTTCCAACTCCTCGGGAGTGGCGTTGGCATCGAGCAGGTCTTCCAGCGGTGCAGGCAGGTAGCCGTTGGAGTCAAGCGCGTAGATGATCCGCTCGGCCATCCGACGCACTTCGTCGGTGACATCGAACCAAGCGAGTTGATCGTGCAGGTAGTCTTGCAACGACGGTGGACGATCGGCCAGATTGGCGATTGCATCGTGCCGACGTTCCGAGTCTTCATCCATGCGAGTGGCAGAAGGGCGCGACCGATCTTCAAAGTAGTCGGGCCACTGCTCGTCCATCTGCATCAGACGCTCGAAGTCGTCGACGTTGTCCTTGCTTTCGTCGAGGACCAGTTCGCGTTCTTCTTCCGAAGGGGCGTCGGGGTTCTCGGCCTCGGCGCGCGGCTCGTCGGGCAGATCGGGGTCTTCCGACTCGCTTACTTCGAGACAGGGGTTTTCTTGGATCTCTTGTTCGATGCGTTCCTGCAGTGCCATGATCGGCAACTGAAGGATTTCCATCGATTGGATCATCCGCGGAGCAAGCACTTGCTTTTGCTGCATCCGCATTTCTTGGCCGAATGAAAGTCTCATGGCCGTTCAACCGCCTTGTCTAGATAAGTCAGGCCCCACGTCACAACAGGGTCGGGTGCCTGTGAATTGGAATCTCTGATTGGATTTGCCGGTTTCGACTTAAACTTCTTCCTCGCGTCGTGTGGCGGTTTGCCACCTCCGACTTAAAGCCCCACCGCATCAAGACCGGTCTGAAAACAAGCTAAAATTTCTGCCGCCCGGTCATGGCGTCTGCCACCATCTCTCTATTAGCGAATTCTAGCACACTACCGGTGGTTAACCCTCGCGCCAATCGTGTGATTTCGACGTCCGTCTCCCCCAAAAGGCTGCTGATATGCAGGGCTGTGCCGTCACCTTCGATGGTGGGATTGGTCGCCATGATTATCTCACGAAACGCCCCCGTCTGCACCCGCTTTACAAGCCCGGCAATCGTCAGATCCTCGGGCCCAATTCCTTCCAACGGTGCAATTCGCCCCAACAACACGTGGTACAGCCCACGATAGGCGCCCGCCTGTTCGATGGACATCAAATCGCGGGGTTGCTCGACCACACACAACAGCGTGCGGTCGCGAGCGGGGTCCTGGCAAACGTCGCACAGTTCGCCCTCGGCCAAATTATAGCAATCTCTGCAATGGCGGACATTTTCTTTTACCTGCCGAATTGCATCAGCGAGTGCCAATGCTTCGTTGGCATGCACGCGAAGCACATGATAGGCCAGTCGCTCAGCAGTTTTCTTGCCAATGCCCGGCAGCTTCGCGAATTCGTCGATCAGATGATTGACCGAAAGATTGCCAGCAGACACGGTTGTCCTTCCATAACAAAACGATCCGTCACGTCAGACCACCCCAGAGTCGGGTCAGCCTCCCCATAATTCTTGCCACAACCCCAGCCAATCGGCAAGCCCCAGCTAGCGAAGGGGTGGTATGGAGCACCGTTCATCGCGATCAGCGATGTAGATCTACACAAGTGCTTCTTGTGGGGGATTGCTCCACTTGAGCGTTCAGCAAAAGTAGCTCAAGACTCAACTTCGGTCTGCCCTCGAATGATCTGCCAACAAGATTAGTCTACGGCTCGACGCAGGTGCGGATATACCTCCGCGAGCTCTTTCCACAGGCTGCCGTTCAGCTCAAGTGCCGCCTCATTAGAGAGCTCTGTTGCCAGTTCTGAGGGATCTTTCTTGAGGAAACTTGCCAGTGCAAACACAGCGATCGAGGGTGATCGCGACATTCCTGCACTACAGGCAACAAGCGTCTTCTTTCCCGCGGTAATCAATTCAGACGTAGTCCGAATAGCCTGCAGCAAGACCGAGCGATCGTTTCCACCACCATCAATGAGCGGAAAGCGGCAGTAGATCAACTCTCGTGACAATTTGGGAATCGGTTCTTCAAATGCGACATCCACAGCTGCCACAATTCCTAAGCGGTGCAGCGCACTTGGATCACGCAGATCCCCGGCATTCCCAATCCAAAGCAGGTCCGGTTGAATCTGTTGCATAAACCGAACTCGAGCCTTCGAGATAGGTTCCCTGTCGACTACATGCGAAAGCGTTCTCAGGCACTTAAGCTAAAAACCAGCTGAAGCATTGTGCCTAACTACTAAGCATTCTTCTGCTGCAGCAACATGATCTCGGCCTGAAGGCGAGCCGCGTGCGTGGCTAGCAGCGCTTCGATGCCCCCGCCATGGGCTCGCTGCCTGTGCAAACTCACGATTCGGTCTTCGAACGCCACCAAGCTATTCACCTGTTCTTCCAGGATGCGTGCCCGGTGAGCATTATCGTCGGCCACCGCCAACTCTGCATCCAATTCGACTTGATATGCACTCAACACAGCCTGAACGGTCGTCGTACCGGCTTCGTAACTGGCTTTCGTGGCCTTGAGCATTTGTCTTAAAGTATCGCGGCGTTCGATCTGCAGCTTGACAATTTGCTTATCTCTGGCAACTTCTTCGTTGCTCTTCGTATCCGCCGCCGTGGCATACCACACCGCACCCAGAATTACACCAACAACGAACATCGGCACAAGCGTTCGGGATTTCATCGCTTAGGCTCCTGGTAGCTGGGGACACAGGATTCGACTGTCCCGGGATTCTACCAAGAGCGGGCAACCAGTTGCCAGAAAAGAGAACAAGCACCGTGCCACAGAGGACTATGAAGTATTAGAAATCCACGCTTATTTCGGCCCCAAATCACCGCCGCCGGTTAGCTTGCTGAGGGCTTCTTCCAGGCCGGGTAGTTCCATACCGCCGGTCATCGACTTGAGGGCTTCGGCATGCAGCTCGCGGGCTTTAGATACAGCCTGATTCGTTGCGGCGGCCACCAGGTCTTCGAGCAGCTCGCGGTCGTTCTCGCTGACGAGCTTGGGATCGATGCGGCAGCTCAGCACTTCGAGCAGCCCGTTCATTTCGATCTCGACCATACCGGCGCCGGCCGAACCAACGGCTCGCTTGGTCTTCAGCTCTTCGTTGAGCCCTTGCATCTGCCCACCGATTTGCTGGGCCTGCTTCATGATGGCCGCGAGATTTCCCAAACCTTTGAGCACGATTCTATCCTCCTACCCGTTGCGGTTGGTGTCGCTGCCGGGTTCTTCGACTGCTGTTAATTCGGCCCCGAAAAGTTCCTTCGCTTTTTGAACCATCGGGTTCTGTTCTGCCTCTTGCATAAGCTGCCGACGCGAAGCGCCGGACCGCCGTTGTGGCTGAGAACTAGGTGGCGGTGCCCCCTCATCGCTCAGAACTTCAAAATCGACCCGAACGTTCCGCCCCGCTACGCGGGAAAGGGCTTGATTCAGCTTGCTGGACTGTTCGGGCCGCTCACAGATCTCCTTCGCCGAAGTATACGTTTTGGGAAACCCGACGAGTAGCCGATCGTGGGCCGCGAGTTTCACCGATTGGCCCAACCGGGCGTAATCGGCCGTTAAATCCGACAGAGTCTCCAACACCCTTCGCCACACCTCCCGGGCCGACTCTTCGGTGAGCGAGATGACTTGAACCGGGGTCTCTTCGGCAGAAGGCTCAACTTCGGGAGCCTCCTGATCTGGCTGTTCCGCTCTGGCCGGAGCTGCGGGTTCAGCCGTTTTTTTTTGAGCGGTCGCCGCAGCAGCCGGAGATTGAGGAGCAGCCGGGGCAGCCGAACTCAAGCGGCCGAGGGCTGAAGAAATTGATTCGATTTCCTCCAAGCGGCTGATTTGCACCAGGGCCATTTCGACCAGCACGCGGACATGGGTGCTGAAACGCATCCGCCCAAGCGTATGATCGAGGATCTGCATCGCCGCCAGCACGCGATCGAGTGATATGGAGGCGGCCAACTTTTCGAGTTCTTCGCGGTCCGCCGTAGATGTGCCGAGCAGCGTATCGGCTTTGCAGCCAACTTTAAGCACCATGATGTCACGCAGAGCGCTGAGCACCTGCACGACCAACTGGCCCAGGTCCACACCTTCGGCAGCCGCAGCGTCCAATTCATCGAGCACTTCGGCAGTGCGGCCAGGCGTGAGCTTGCTGAGCAAGTCGGTAACACGGTTCCCCGCGGCGGTGCCCAACATCGAATGCACGTCGGCGGCTGTAATCTTATCGCCGCAGAACGAGAGCAGTTGCTCGAGCAGCGACTGACTATCCCGCATCGATCCGGCGGCACGTCGGGCCAGAAGTTGCAGAGCCTCTTCTTCGGCCTCGACGTTCTCGCCTTCGACGATCTGCCGCAGCCGGCTGACGATCTCCGGTAAGTGAATGCCTGAGAAGTCGAACCGCTGACAGCGGGACAAGATCGTGATCGGGATCTTCTCGGCTTCGGTGGTGCAGAAGATGAACTTCACATGCTCGGGCGGCTCTTCCAGCGTCTTCAGCAAGGCATTGAAGGCCTCGCGTGTGAGCATATGAACTTCGTCGATGATGTAGATCTTCGAACGTGCCCGCGCCGGGCGGACATTCACGTTCTGCCGAAGTTCGCGAATCTCATCGATACCACGGTTGCTGGCTCCATCGATCTCCAACACATCGACGTCATCGCCCCGGCTGATGCTTTGGCAGATGTCGCACTGATTGCACGGCGTGGGCGTAGGGCCCTGCACACAGTTCAGGGCTTTGGCCAGAATGCGAGCGGCCGAGGTCTTACCCACCCCGCGGGCACCCGTGAACAGATAGGCATGTCCCACGCGACCAGCTTTGATCGCGTTGGCCAGCGCACGGGCAACTGGTTCTTGGCCGACCAGTTCTTCGAACGTCTGCGGTCGATAGCGTCGCGCGACGACCACATAGCCGTCGCCTGAGTCGGACGATGGCCCTCGGGCGACGTCGTCCGTGATGTCCTGCGTCATCGTACGAACCATCCCGAGACGAGAAAAAGAACGCGACCCCTGATGAGAGGCCCACCACACCTAGAGGTTACTGCTTATGGCTGCTGCTTTCGCCCTGACCAGGTTCACAGGCCCCTACCGCGGGGACCTCTCATCGGAGGCCGCGTTAATGTCTGAAAACACCACCTCTGTAGTTGTAAGCGACGGCCGAAGTTCGGTAAAGCGGCCGCGGCTACTTGTACGGGGTTTCAAGGCAGAAATGCCCTAAATTCTGGACCAGTTGCAACGACTCCTGGGGTTGTGTGGCTCACGGGCACTGAACGCATCGCCCCGCACCCACATCGGGCGTTTTCTTGACTCGGCACCTCACACGGCTATTATTCCGGCACGATTCAAGGCACTTCGAGTAGCAATCGAGGGTTCGGCATTGCCGAAAGCGGGTTTAGTGGGACCTCGCGCATCGGCGAACGAACCTCGTTTAGGTGGGAGCGTGCAATGGGTGTTAAAGAACGTACAGAAGCTCAACTGAAACATGCCAGGGCCTTCAGCGAAGACCTGCTCACGGCCTTCAATACCCCGGAACAATGGACCCATCAGGTGCACGAAAATGCGAATCACGCTTTGTGGTTCGCTGGGCACATGGGCACGGTCGACAATTTCATGATCTCGCTGATCGACCCGTCGAAGTGCGTCGAGAAGGCGGACTACAACGAGAAGTTCGGCATGGGCTCGCAACCCACCAACAACCCTGCCGACTATCCGCCGGTTGACGAAGTGCTCGACTTCATGCGCGAGCGGCGGGCAACACTGACCGAGATCTTTAACTCGCTAAGTGAAGAAGACTTGGCCAAGCCCACGCCGGAAAGCGCTCCGGACTTCTTGCCCGATTACGCCACCGTGTTCGAAGTGTGCGCGTGGCACGAAGGGTTGCATTCCGGCCAAGTCTCAGTCGCCCGTCGGGCATTGGGCAACAAGCCGGTTACCGGGTGAACTCGCTTGCCGCGGGGGCAGTCAATCACGAGCGAACGTCGGCGTTCTCTTGCACGATCAATTTCTCGGCGGCCTCGCGGGCCAGGGTCGTTTCGTTGCCATCCACAACGATGGTAACGATGCCCGCCTCATCGCGGTTGGCCACGACGCTTCCCATGATGCCGAGCGTGAGGCCCGTTTCGGTGAGATAGCGCAGAAACTCCGGCGATTGATCGATCACCCGAGCGAGCCGAAACTTAAACCCGGCCGAGCACTTCGCCAAGGCCTGGCCTGCTTGATGGTCGGCAGAGAGTGTTCCGTCGGAGCGAGGAATGGGGTCGCCGTGAGGATCAACTTTGGGATAACCCAAGAAAGCGTCGATGCGGTCCACCAACAAATCGCTAACGGCATGCTCCATATGCTCGGCCTCCTCGTGCACTTCGTCCCACGTCAGCTCGAGTGTTCGCACGAGAAACAGTTCGATGAGGCGATGCCGTCGTAAGACTCGAAGCGCGAGAGCACGTCCGGTTTCGGTAAGGCGAACGCCTTCATAGGGCGTATAGGTCGTAAGGCCACTGTCGCTGAGGGTCTTCAGCATACTGGTCACCGTCCCTGGCGAGACCTCCATCGCCGTGGCCAGTTGCCCAGTGGCCACCGGATCGCCCGGCGACTTGGCCTCGATCTGGTAGATGGCCTTCACATAGTTCTCGACCGTAAGACTCGCCAACCGATTAGCTCCCAACTATGGCAGTGATTACAGCGTCCACTTCCCGCAGTCTCTCTCAAGAGGCCGAATTCTAGGAGCTATTCGATTGAGGGGCAATCGACCACACAGGGTTGTCACGAATCCGCTACAATAGCTGCCCGATTGCTGCATAAACCAACTCATGAGAAGCACTTCGCACGAAATGACAAGCTTGAAATTGAACCTGCGGGCGGGCGAAGTCGTTGCCGGAATGGTCGCCCTGCGAGATGCGTTGCGAATCGACGTGGCCAATGCGGATTCGGGGGCAAGACTGGTCGATGTGGGGATCGACGCACCCGGCGGGTTGGAAGCTGGCGTGCAACTCGCAGAAGCTTGCATGGCGGGCTTGGGGCATGTGCAGATTTCCACAGCGAGTAGCGAGCTAGGAGGCGTCCCAGCCGTGGTAGTGCGGACCGATCATCCTGTGGCCGCCTGCATGGCCTCGCAGTACGCAGGCTGGCAGATTGCCACGGACGACTACTTCGCCATGGGCTCCGGTCCGATGCGGGCAGCCGCAGGCTCTGAGGAAATTTTTGAATCGATCGGCCATCGCGAGCAGCCAACTTCGGTCGTGGGAATCCTCGAGACCTCCAAACGCCCCACCGACGCTGTCGTGGACTACATTGCTTCACGATGCGACGTGAAACCACAAGACGTCACCCTGCTGTTCGCCCCCACGGCCAGCCAGGCTGGAACCGTGCAGATTGTCGCTCGCATTGTCGAGACTGCACTGCACAAGATGCACGAGTTGGGCTTCGATCTTCACCGAGTCGAAAGTGGCTGGGGCTGTGCACCGCTGCCGGCGGTGGGCAAGAACGATCTCGAGGGAATTGGCCGCACCAACGACGCCATTCTGTATGGCGGTCGGGCCGTGTTATGGGTGCGTGGTGATGACGAGTCAATCGAAGCGCTGGGGCCCAAGATTCCGAGCTGTGCCTCCAAGGATTTCGGCCGCCCTTTTCTCGAAATCTTCAAGTCCTACGATCACGACTTCTACAAGATTGATCCTCACTTGTTCAGCCCTGCTGTGGTCACGCTGTGCAACCTGGACTCGGGCCGATCATTTCAGTTCGGCCAGCTTCGGCCTGATGTTTTGACGGCAAAAACTCCCGCGTGAATGGCACGTGCATAAAGGAAGCTCCGCTTGCGAATCGCTGTACTTGCTTCGCCGCAAAGTTGGTATCTGCAAGACCTGCGTCGCGCGGCAGAGACCGGCGGCGAAGAGATTGTGCAGGTCGACTACGCGCGTCTGGCGGCCGATGTAACCACCGGGAAAACCATTGTTCGCGCCGGTGAAATTGACCTGGCCGACTTCGATTGCGTCGTACCACGAACCATGCCGCCGGGCTCACTCGAGGAAGTCATCTTGCGAATGGACTTGCTGGGCTGTTTGGAAGCCGCCGGGCAGTTGATCATCAACCCACCGCGGGCGATTGAAGTGGCCGTCGATAAGTTCTTGGCCACTGCCAAACTACAAGCAGCGGGCTTGCCCGTGCCTGCGACGATCGTCTGCCAGACGGTTGATCAAGCCTTCGACGCCATGGAAAGACTTGGGGGCGATGTGGTCGTCAAACCGCTGTTCGGGTCTGAAGGTCGGGGGCTTGCTCGCGTGAGTGATCCCGCGATTGGTGAGCGCGTGTTTCGCGCGCTTTTACAAATTTCATCCGTACTGTACCTGCAACGTTTCGTGCGGCACGACGGCAGTGACTTACGCGTGTTGCTGATTGGCAATCAACCTTTCGCCATCAAGCGTCGCCATCCCACCGACTGGCGAACAAACATCGCACGAGGCGGAGAAGCGGTTGCCGTCGATTGCACGTCACCGGAGATGGATCTCCCGATCGAGATGGCCCACAAGGCGGCCGCTGCGGTGGGGGCTTCTCTCGCCGGAGTTGACTTGCTGCGAGCCCCAGATGGCTCGTGGCTCGTCTTGGAAGTGAACGCTGTCCCGGGGTGGAAAGCCCTGAGTGCGACCTTGGAAATTGACGTCGCCCGGGTCGTCCTCGATGAGATCGGACGAAGATCCCGATCTAACGTGTGATAAGTCACCACTCTCGCAAGAGTTGCATCCAATCTACTGTGCATCGAGATTGCCAGTCAGACATCAAACCAAGCCGATTTCACGGCATCCGAAAACCGCAAGCACTAGTCGCTATCACTGCCAGCCATACAAGATGCTGTGCCTCGAAGTTTGCTTTGCCCAAAATCGTCTAAATCCTTGTGGATGTCTTCGAGCACGGGTACTTTCCCGACTATCCCATTGCGATGTGCAATGAGACGCAAGGTGCCGCACGTTCGAGGCGCTTATTCGTTACCAGGATTTACCTCCGGCATTGAGCCCAGGACGGGCCTGCTGATAGCAAACCTTTCCGACGGCACGTCACGGAAGACGTCGCGCGGTTGGTCCCATGCGGCCGGTTGTCGACTCTTCTTTCGCACTGTTGGTTTTGTTGCCCTAAGCGATCCCTTCCAGACCTTTGCTAGAGCCACCTCGAACGAAGGCATTCGTTTTTTTAAGGGCACGATACGTTGTCCGCGGAAGGAATCGCAGATGGTCGCCAAGAAAACGAACAAACCAATGATTGGGGTAAACGCCGATTTTCGTTCTGCCAAGAATGACTCCCCGGCGTTTTGTTATCTAGCCGCTGGCTATGTCGATGCCATCATCGCCGCCGGTGGAATCCCCGTCGTACTGCCGCCAATGACCGACGAAGCGGACATGAACCGCGTGTTGGACACGCTCGACGGAGTTGTCTTGATTGGCGGAGCCGATCTCGACCCGCGACGCGATGGATTCATGCTGCATCCTTCGGTTCGCCCGCTCGATCCGCGACGCGAAGATGTAGACCGAATGCTGGTTCGCCTGGTTGTCGAGCGCCGCATGCCGGTGTTTGGAATCGGAACCGGTATGCAGTTGTTGAACGTGGCACAAGGTGGCAACCTGCACTTGCACCTGCCCGAAGATATGCCCAAGGCATTACCGCACAAAGACAACCTGGATAAAGCCCATCGTCACGCCCTGGAAGTTGTTGCTGGCACGTTGATGGAACAGATCTACGGCGAAGGGGACATCCGGGTCAACAGTATGCACCATATGGCAATCGACGAGATTGCACCTTGCTTCAAAGTTTCGGCCTACTGCCCTGACGGCGTAATCGAAGCTTTCGAAAGCATCGACAGCGAATGGGTTGCCATTGGTACTCAGTTCCATCCCGAAGCCGATTCGGCGTCGGCCTTGGACCTGCGAATTTTTGAAGAGTTTGTTGACGCGATTCTGAAAGAGCAGCCCGCGATTATTCCGATGGCGGCCTGATTCAATCGTGAATCAAGACACGGCTCAACCGACCACGCTACGTCTGCCCCCCTCCAGCGTCGCAGCTAGGCGACGCTGGACGGCGGGGCTGACGACCTCGCTCGCTGGACGCGTCTCCGGCGCGATCGTGGAATCTTCCGGCACGGGACTATCCGCTCGTACCGAGGTGGTGGCCACCAGTGAGGCCACTCTTCCTGATGCCGTTGCGCAAGTTCTCCGCGAGCTGTGCCTTTCAGAGCGTGGTTCTCTATCACTACTCTCCGCGCTTCCAGCGCAGCTAATTCCAACCCAGTGCGAAGTGGTCGACGCACTGTTGGCCGAAGCTCGCGTAGCCCGAGAAGACGTAATCGCCCTGGGAGTGGATGACCCAGGCATCTGGGATGTCGACGGAGACCATCGCTGCTACGTGGGCCTTTGCGATGCAGCACGACTTGCGGAAACATCGGGCATGAACGTGATCGATGCGTTGCCCGCTCGCGATGTCGGTTCCGGCGGTTTGGGCGGGCCTGTCACCGCTCTGGCCGAATGGCTCTTGCTGGCCGAGCAGCGTCGTCCATCGATTGTGCTGCACTTGGACCAAAGTATTTACGCAACAATTCTGCCGCCACGCTTAGCAAGTGGTGACGTAACGAAGAACCTAGCCTCGCTGGAAATCGGTCCGGGTCTTGATCTGTTAAGCCGACTGACGAAAACCGAGAAGGTTCCTGAGAGCAACGGAGAATGCGTCCCTGAGTTGCTTGCAGAGTGGCTGACCAATCCATTACTCCAGGGCTCGCAACCCCGCTGGCATCCCCGCGGAGTGTCGATCGATTCGTTCTTAAACCAGGCGGTCAGCAGCATGCCGGCTGGAAAGCGATCGCTGCAAAACGCTCTCTGTTCCGCTAGACATCTGGTCGGAGAGGCAACGCAAAGAGCGGTTCGCAGCCGATTCGATGAGAAAACGGTACTCGGCAACCTAATCTATACCGGTCCGGGACAAGATGATGCCGCATTACTGGAGGCGCTCGAAGAGCGGTTCGCAGACACCCCGCAGATTCGCGCCGCCGAAATGGGCATGGCCGGTAGAACCCTGACGGCGGCCGGCATTGCGCTGTTGGCCCTGCTGCATATCGATCAGGTGCCGGCCACGCAGACCTCAACCACACGAATCATGGTACCTCGTGTGTTGGGTCGCCTAACTCCCGGGGTTCCTCAAAACTGGCATAAACTTCTCGCCCAAGCCGCTGAGGCCCGTCCGCAGGTGATGTCCCTACGGTCGGCCCTGTAAGACGCGAGCAGGTTCTGGGCTACAACGTAATCTTCGTACCCAGCACTTTGAGGAACTCACGAATCCAAGCTGGATGAGCGGGCCAAGCAGGCGCGGTGACCAGGTTGCCATCGACGTGGGCATTGTCCATATCAGCTGAAGGTTCGATCCACCGCCCACCGGTCGAAGCCACATCGGGCCCCACCGACGGATAGGCCGTGCATTCCTTGTCGGCCAGCACACCTGCGGAGGCCAGCAACTGAGGTCCGTGGCATATCGCCGCAATCGGCTTTCCCTCGGCATCGAAGTGCTCGACGATCTCGATCACGCTCGGCTTCAACCGCAAGTACTCGGGCGCTCGACCGCCAGGGATCACCAGCGCGTCGTACTCTTCCAGTTCAATGTCATTGAATGTGGCGTTGAGCTGGAAGTTGTGTCCTCGCTTTTCGCTGTAGGTCTGTTCACCTTCGAAGTCATGGATCGCAGTGACAACAGTGTCGCCGGCTTGCTTATCTGGGCACACGGCATGTACTTCGTGCCCAACCATCAGAAGCATCTGAAATGGAACCATCACCTCGTAATCTTCCACATAGTCTCCAACCAGCATCAAGATTTTCTTTTTGGCCATCGTTATTAGGTTCCTCTAGGGGGGTAGCGTGTTTGAGTTTCCGACAGTCTAGCGATTCAAGCACCAGATTTCGCCGGGGTGCTTGAGATCTCATCGCGATCTGACACCGAACCAAGAACGCCAGAATAACATTCTGGGGAAAATGGTTAAGTTTTGTATGTTGAAATGCGGAATATAGGTTAGGGATACTGGCGGTCAAGCTGCCAGCTAGCACCACCGTTTGCGATTGAACACGGGTGAAGGGGAAACCGTGTATTCAATCGATGGTGACAATGCGACTCACACCTTGCTGGATCGACGATGCCCAACGCACCTAATCCGCACTTCGTACTTTTCTCGCAGATCGACCGCCAACGCCGTACCGGTAGCTGGCGTTTCTCACTGCAGTCGAAAGATGGCTCAAGTCGTTTCGAAGCAGCCGACCGAGAACCCGAAGCCCGCGGCGAGCGATTGGAACTGTTGACGATTGTTCGTGGCCTGGAAGCACTCGACCAACCCTCCCGGGTCACCGTCTGCTCGGCCGGAACATACGTTCAGCGAGGTGTGAGGTACGGGCTCGAAGAGTGGCGAGCCACCGACTGGATGTGGGAGCGTTATGGCGAATGGGTGCCGATCAAAAACGCCGACCTTTGGCAACGGCTGGATCGCGTGCTGCAGTTCCACCACGTCGAGTTCCGTCGCTACCGAGTGGACCGCCCTCACAACAGCACGGCCCCAGTGGTCACCCGGCGCATCGACGCTGGCCGAGACACAGGCTTTGCCAACGGGCCACAGAATTCAAGACAAAACCGTGTGGTGCGGCGTCCGTGGAGGACCTCCATGGCCCGCACCGATAACTCGGCCGACGCGAACGCCTGGCATGGCTCACAGTCAGAAGAATCAACCGGTGCCCGTGGGTGGCTGGCAGCCCTAGGGCGAGCCCTGGTGATGAGCTAGTCGCGGCGAAGCATCATCTCCACCACAGCGGCCCAAGACTACCCCCCGAAACACACGTACACTCCCCGACATGAAGTCGGCCCTCCCTCCGTACTCAAGAAAGCAGCTAGAAAGCCATTTGAGGCATCCTTCTACCCACCCTTTTGGAAACCGCGGGAACGCTCGTCCCCTAGACGACACCGCAACTTAGGCGCAAAAATAGACTCAAAGACAACTTTAGGAAACGACAACAAGGAGGTCTCGGTGCGCACAAGCGTCCCGCTGGATACCATACAGCGACTGGTCGAAGGCCATCACGAGGATCCGTTTGAAGTACTTGGCCCGCACGAGGTTACCGAGAGTGGTCGCCGTGCGGTGGCGATTCGGGGATACTTTCCCCAGTCGAATCAAGCTTGGGTAGTCGATGCATCTCACGGCGGGCCGCGCCGCCCGATGCGGAGAATTCACCCGGCCGGATTGTACGAAGCGATCTGCCCGATCGCCGATGATCGACCATCCTCAGGATATCGCCTCCAAGTTTCCGACGAATCGGGCACAGAACACACCATGCACGACCCTTATGCGTTTCCCCGCCTGCTCACCGATTACGACCTGCATTTATTGGGCGAGGGATGCCATTGGCGCGCTTACGAGCGACTTGGCGCCCAGTTGCGGACCATCGATGGAATCCAGGGCGTCAATTTCGCTGTGTGGGCCCCCAACGCCAATGGCGTGAGTGTGGTCGGAGACTTCAACGGCTGGGACGGTCGACGCCACCCCATGCGAAAACACATTCCCAGTGGATTCTGGGAGTTGTTCGTTCCGGGGCTCGACGAGGGCGTAATCTATAAATTCGAGATTCGCCACGGCGGAACAAAGCGGGAAAAGGCCGATCCGTTTGGTTTCGCCGCCGAGCTGCCACCACGAACGGCATCGAAGGTAACTCGCCTCGATAAGTTCACGTGGAATGATAGTTCCTGGGTAGAAAATCGAGAGAAGCACCAAGCGCTCGATCAGCCTTTGTCGATTTACGAGGTGCACCTGGGTAGCTGGCAACGCGGCGGTAAAGATGGCTCGCAGTGGCTCGGCTATCGCGAGTTGGCCCACAAGCTGGTCGAGTACTGCCTGGAGATGGGCTACACACATCTCGAATTGATGCCGATCAATGAGCATCCTTTCAGCGGTAGCTGGGGCTATCAGCCCGTGGGTTACTTCGCCCCCACCAGCCGCCACGGCTCGCCTGAAGACTTCATGTACTTCGTCGATTACTGCCACCAAAATGGCATCGGCGTGCTCATCGACTGGGTGCCCGGGCACTTCCCCCGCGACGACCATGGCCTGCGACAGTTCGACGGCACGAGCCTGTACGAACATGCCGACCCACGCCAGGGCGAGCACCGTGACTGGGGAACGCTCATTTTCAATTACGGACGCACCGAGGTCCGCAACTTCCTGATCTCGAATGCTCTGTTCTGGCTCGACAAGTACCACATCGATGGGCTTCGCGTCGACGCCGTGGCCTCGATGCTCTACCTGGACTACAGCCGCGAAGAAGGCGACTGGATTCCGAACAAGTACGGCGGACGCGAAAACCTGGAAGCGGTCGAGTTCCTCAAGATGTTCAACGAGGAAGTCCACCTGCAGTTCCCCGGTGCGTTGACCGTCGCCGAGGAGTCGACATCGTGGACGGGAGTTTCCCGGCCTACTTACGTCGGCGGGCTCGGCTTCAGCCTGAAGTGGAACATGGGCTGGATGAACGACACGCTTCGCTACATGAAGCACGAACCGATTCACCGCCAGTATCACCACGATGAGCTGACCTTCAGTTTGATCTACGCCTTCACCGAGAACTTCATCCTGGCCCTTTCGCACGACGAAGTGGTGCACGGTAAAGGCTCGCTGCTGGATCAGGTGCCTGGCGACCTATGGCAGAAGTTTGCCAACCTGCGGTTGCTCTACGGTTACATGTGGACCCATCCCGGGAAGAAGTTGCTATTCATGGGCGACGACTTCGGGCAGTGGAACGAGTGGAACCACGACGCCAACCAGCAGTGGGATCTACTGCAGTGGGAATCGCACCAAGGCCTGAAGAAGCTGGTGGCCGACATCAACGCACTCTACAAGCGCGAACCAGCGTTGCACGAAGTTGACTTTGAGGGGCACGGCTTCGAATGGGTCGACTGCCACAACCATCAGGACAGCGTGCTGAGCTACGTCCGCCGCGCCGAAGACCCGAAGGACTTCGTAGTGATCGCTTGCAACTTCACGCCAGTCCCCCGCACCGAGTACCGTCTTGGTGTTCCGGAGATGGGCTATTACGAAGAAATCTTCAACACCGATTCGACCTATTACGGCGGTAGCAATCTCGGCAATGGGATGGGTGTCGCTGCAGAAAAGCTGCCCTGGCACGATCGGGCTCAATCGGTCGAAATCACCCTGCCCCCGCTGGCCACCGTGGTGCTGAAACTGAAGGGTTAAGCCCCTAGCAAAGCCAGCGTCCATCAAAACAAGATAGCGCGACCGCGGATGTTTCGTCGAGATCCTTTCACTGGGATCTCGACGAAACAGACCGGTTTCTAAGCCGTTCGATCTTCGAGTGACGAAACGGTTCTACTCGTCGTCGACCGCAACTGACGCCGCTTGCAAAACTTCTTTCGTAGTATCGTTCTGCACGAAGGCCACTACCGAGAGGTTGGCCAGGTCGATGGACGGCAAGGGGTTGGGGAAACTGCGAGTCTCGGCGTAATCTTCCAGGTACTTCTCCTGGCTGGCCTTCAATTCGGCGAGATCGATCGTCAATTCTTCTTGCGCCTGGCCGGCAACGAGTTCTTTGCCTTCAACGCCCCCGGGCATTTCGCGGACCACGTGGTGGTGGAAGCGTAGATTATTGCCGCCTACGTAGCGGATGATCTCCTCAGTCAGCGCCAAACGAAGCCGAAGCTGAGGGGCCTTGGATTTTTCTTCATCGGCTTCTTCCTCGTCGGAGTCTTCATCCGCTGCTGCCTGCTCATCCTTTTCTTCAACTTCATCGTCTTCAGCCTCGTCACTGGCAGGTTCTGTCGCGAGAGCCGCTTCATCAACCTGGGCTGAAACATTGACGATAAGCTTTTGGCCAGAACGAGTCACTTGCAGGTCGACCTTAGCGTTCGCGGTTTCGTCCAGGCGGTCGTTGATGATCGAACGGTACATCGCATACTTGCCTTCCGCACCGCTCATCCCCCCGCCGCCACCGGCGAGATCTTCACCATTGAAGTAAGTCGAAGGGGTTCCGCGAACGCCGTAGTACGCTTGCCGTTCGGTCGAGGCTTCGCTGGTCAACGGGTCGGGACCTGGGATATGTAGGTGGTACTGCAGCGCCACCACCTCGCTGGGCTGGTAGGTTTCCAAGATGGCATCGAACGCCACATCCGCAGCCACGCAAGGTGGGCATTGGGCGCCGGTGAAAAGTTCCAGCAAGACAGCTCGATCGTGCTCAGACGAGGCCCGACCTTCAAACTCGGCCGGCTCGAACGGAGGCACACTCGCTAGGTACTCTTCGTCGAGCTTGGCTTCCAACTTCTCGGAGCGTGCCCTGGCTTCGGAGGCCAATTTTTCGTTGCCGGCAAGTTCAGCCGCTTTCGCCAACGCGGCGACAATGACTGCCTGCTGGTCGGTGGGGGTTTCGCTAGTGATCGATGCGTCTGCATCCTGGGCCAACTTCAGCGATAGATCGGCGTAAGCTTCCTGCCCATCGAGAGCGGAAAGAGCCTTTGTGCGGGCTTGGGTCAACCAGCGGTCACCGTATTTGGCGGCATCTTCGAGCCAGGTCGTCACCATCTGGTCAACCTCTTCGGAGGCGAACTCCACATCGGAGGCCGCGCGAAGCAGTTCCGTATAGACCAAGTGCAGGCTCGGCCCAGAGTGCTTCTCGAGCAGTTCCTTTAGCTTTTCGACCTTGGCGTGCGCGTCGCTTTCTCGCCGGGCTGTAACCAGGTCCGTACTCAACTGACTGCGAGTGAGTTCGCCGACTTTCTCCGCGTCGGACTTCTCCAGCCGAGCCGGATAGTCGCTATCCCGAAATTTGTAGGTTCCTAGAACCTGCCCCG